GACATAGGTAGCCTCTAATCTAGGGGTAGGGAACCTGTGGACCTCCAGTTGTTGTTGCACTCCAGTTCCCCTCAGCATAGCCCCTAGGCAGGGATGATGGGAATTGTAGCCAACAAAATCTGTCGGACACAAGGTTTGGGACAGCTGGTCCCAACTGGTCATGCAAGCTTTCCACATCAGTGTCTTAGAGCCACTTCACTCGAAAACATTTCACTGATCAACAGAGAGCTGCCATGCATTGACGTCATCCCCTTCTAAACATTTTATTCCGAACGTCATTCACTGAGTCTTCCTCTATTTGGGCAGCGCATTCTGAGACATATTCTTTGTGTAAACCTCTGCCTCCTTTATTCAGTGGTTGATTATTAGTGTGACTTCACAGACACATTGTTGTTGCTCTTGTTTTTGGCAGGGGAGGGGAATGTGTGCCTGCAGGTAAGTGAAGTGTCTGCTTCCTTAAGCATTTTCTAAAATGCTTAGACAATCACTTGAAGACAGAGAGAGGAATTGCATCACATTGCTCATAGCTATGCATGATGAGTTTCTGTCCCTCAAGGATGCTCTTCCATAATCCAGTACACACCATCATTATCTTCAGCACCACAGTAATAAGGAAACAATAAGCTGAAATCAGTCATTTTGTGATGAGTTGCCAGAAGTATTTTAGACTTGGGTGGGTAAACAACTTTTAAAATTATGTAAGGGAACTGCACGCATATATATAAAAAACAGTTTTTCTTTGACTTACTCTAAAACCATTTTCCTATACCTGCAGTTTTTTGAAGTTTCTCCCTGAAGCTCAGTCTGGTATTTTTCATGTAGGAATACCTATCTTGTCCCCAGCTCCCACTAAGTCTTGTGCCTTGCTGTGTCCTGCTGTACTCAGTGAGGTGGTAGAATCCAGATATGAGAAAGAGTAGAATGTACTCTTCTAACAGCAGCTTGGGAAATGCCACTTTTTGAGTGGTCCCTCATGTAAGAAAATGGTTCACAAATTAAGATAACTAGTACATCAGGGACAGATTCTACCCTAGCCTATTCCTTACTGTACTAGATTTCTGGTTGCCGGGAGCTTTCCATGAAGGGAAGGATTCCCTAATATGTTTCGCCCACATACATCCTTTTGCAGTCTGAAGTGGTAACACTGCAGTTGGCCATCTTGTTTTGTTCCAAGTTTATATCAGCCCTGAGAGGATCCTGTTTGTGCTCAGTGGCATCCAACTTTTTACTTCCCTGTTTTAAAAAATTAAAGATCTGGGTTACAGTGGCTTGTGGCACTTAGTGCATTATCCCTTGTCATTGTGCTGACTCAATAGTCATTATGCCTTCTGTATTGCGGGATTTCTGGGCTCCCTGCAGTGGTATCAGATAGAAAATGACGCAGTTAGGTTCTGCCCAGAATGGTGAATATATGCTGCTTTAAGGCTTGCTATCTTCTCTTGACATTAAGGCTGATCTGCCTTTATTTTCCTCAGTTTCAACTTCATTGAGGCTTCTTTAACTGACTTAGGAACTAAGGATATCTAAATGCTGAATTTACTTGATGGAAAGAAAGCATGGTGCAGCTTACATCAAACCCATTGTTATTATTTTATTTGCAAATAATTACAATGTTTCCAAGCACTTAGTTCAGGTCACTTGTGATTAGTTCATGTCATATATCTAATGACTTTGATAAGCGATGGCAAGTATTTGTGCTTTCTGCTCCATATCTTTGCTTAACAGTGGCGGCGGCTGTCCTTTAGCATTTAGCATGGATCATTCACTGTTTAATTTCTTCCTCTTAATGGAAACAGATGCAATTTGGTATTTTGTAATTAATGCGAATAGAGAGACTGTTCATTGCTGAGGTGGATGCACTTAGAAGTCCATCTTGCACTGTGCCGATACATTTAGTTCAGACAATTAAGTCTAAGATTGAACATTAATGCTAGAATTGCATATTGATCACATGATAGTCACTTGGCTGAGATGGTTGCACAAATTTCTCACATGTCAGAGGCACTCTCGGAAGTCTTGTAGAGGAGAAGATCCTTCTGTTACTACCTCAATAGGGCAGACTTGTAAAATAGCTGCATCTAATTTAGGCTGCCCTTAATGAGGCAACAGTCAAAACTCACCTTAAGCTGGACTGTGGGTTTATTACTGATATTTAATAGAATCTCTATGTGGACGCGGGTGGCGCTGTGGGTTAAACCACAGAGCCTAGGGCTTGCCAATCAGAAGGTCAACGGTTCAAATCCCCATGACAGGGTGAGCTCCCGTTGCTCGGTCCCAGCTCCTGCCAACCTAGCAGTTCGAAAGCACAAAGTGCAAGTAGATAAATAGGTACCGCTCCGGCAGGAAGGTAAACAGCATTTCTGTGTGTTGCTCTGGGTCGCCAGAAGCGACTTCATCATGCTGGCCACATGACCTGGAAGCTGTACGCCGGCTCCCTCGGCCAGTAAAGCGAGATGAGCTCTGCAACCCCAGAGTCTTCCGTGACTGGACCTAATGGTCAGGGGTCCCTTTACCTTTACCTTTATGTGGACGCAGTACGGTGGTGGTGGGGAGTGGAAAAAGGGAGGAAACCTTTTTTAAAACAACAACAACCCAAATTGGGGGAGGGAAACAGTAATATTTGGGGGGAAACCCTGTGCCCCCAATTTTCCTCCTTTCCCCTGTCCTTTACATCTCCATGGTGTGTTTGTGTGTGTGGATGGATTTAGTGGAAACATCCCTGTATTCTCTTCTACTAGCTCAGCCAGGCTCCCACTAGCTGCCACAGAGTATGTTGGCACAACAATGAAACCTGGATTGAAATTAACAGTAAAAGAGATTAAACACATCAGCCCCTACATGCCTGGATAGGCTTGTTAAAACTATTTTTGTTATTTAATGATATGTGTACATTGATAAATGATAGAAATACACATTGAGCAGTGGTCACGTGTCACAGCGATATTGGTGCTGCAGTCATCAGTAAAGCAGAAATCATTAAATTGTGAAGGAATGGAATGCTGAGAGGATGGTAAGGCAGGGAATTTACATACCAGATTTTAAAGTAATTTGATGTTTGCCTTTGCAGGTTTCTTAAAAGCTCCACAACTCACCTGTAACTCTTTAATCCACAATTTGTCACTTGTTTAAGTATTTGCATGAGGTATTTACACTGTGGTGAAACCTAATGCTATGGGCTTCCCATTGCCTTTCGTCCTATTGAAGAACCTTTGTTCATTTCCACTGCGTAGTCAGTTGAATGTGCATTGCTTAGCAGAGTTTCTTCCTAGAATTTTTTTTAACTTTAAAGCATCAAAAATAGTTCTGCACAGTGACTCCGGAGGAGCTGGTACACTGTCTTTATCACCCCTATGGAAGGATCAGGACATGAACACTATAACATCATTAGAGAAAATGTTTGCTAAATTCGGCTAGCTGCTTGGAAGTAACAAGATCTTGACCTTAATGGTCAATTAGATTGCTGTTTCATGTTCTAAGATGAGCAAAGAACCATCTATGACCCAAGGGTATTCTGCTGTATGAAATTTTTACATTTCTACAGTGAATAATGCCTGCCAGGAGTTTTGACATAGTTAAAGTGAATTACTGGTAACCACGATAAGAGTTCTCTATTTATTGTTCCACCTCACCTTCATAGTCCTAAAAAAGGACACAAATAAAATTAAAGGAGGTGTTCCAAGACAGTTAAGATTCTGCCGTGTACACAAATGGTCTTTTAATTATACCTAGGGGTTTCTGCTATGTATCACTGTTCAACTTGTATTTGTTGTACTGACACCTTTAAATCAAAACAAAAATAAACAAAGAAAGCTGGGCTTCAAAACTAATTGCATCAGTGCTGGCCATCATTTAAGATTTTAGCTGTTATGAATTTGTAGTGATGAATATATTGGAGTTGTGTAGAAACAGCTTTCATGGTTGTGTCATGCAAGACAGGGACGCACACTTTGCATAAAAGAGAACTATTTTCGCACCCATTTGAAAACTCCAAAGGATGAGACTGCTTTCAAAGCAAATTAACTTTCACGGTCACAACTGTTGTTCGTTTGTAACAGGAAATACCTGCTGTGCTAACTATTTCTACACTGAAACATCCTCAAATGCCATGGGTACACCTAGCAATCTCAGAAATATAGTTCATGCTGCGCTCTCCCATCCCCTGGAATGCAGAAATTTGAACCCGGAGGGTCTGACTGAGATCTACTTGGCATGTCAGGAAGAGACAATAACAGGGGATGCGCAAGTATTTGTATACCAGCCTTTATTAATCAGGTGCCCTCCATATGTTTTAGAGTACAACCTCCCATCAGCTGGTTGGTCAGCGTTAGAGTGGACATTTCTACCCTTGCTCTCCCAAGCTCACATCTGAAAATTCATTCAGAAGCACTTTTAGGAAGTGCAATTCAGTTCCTTTTTCTTGCCTAGTGCTGCTTGAGAATGCCTGAAGCTGCTATCAATGACAGGAAGGGTAGTTTAGGATTTCTATAATTTGAAGAGCAAAAAAAGAGGATGCTATGACAGCCATTCAAAGCAAATAAATGCAATTTGTCTCAAATTTTCCGCTGAAAAATAGGACGTGTCTTGGAAAAAGAGGACACATGGCAACCCTAGATAGGCATAAGTTTAGAAATTGTGTGGATTAGGGCTGGGCAATATATCAATACAGTGGTACCTCAGGTTAACTACTTAATTTGTTCTGGAGGTCCGTTCTTAACTTGAAACTATTCTTAACCTGAAGCACCACTTTAGCTAATGGGGCCTCCTGCCGCCACCGCGCCGCCGGAGCATGATTTCTGTTCTCATTCTGAAGCAAAGTTCTTAACCTGAAGCACTATTTCTGGGTTAGCGGAGTCTGTAACCTGAAGCGTACGTAACCTGAAGCGTATGTAACCTGAGGTACCACTGTATATGCATCATCTAAAAATGATTTGAAGTCCATATCTTGATAACGGTTTCATACTTTTTGACCTGGCAATATATCGTGAATCCTGGTGTGTGTTTGTGTGTGTGTGTGTGTGTGTGTTATGCAAAAATCATGATGCATCCTTATTTCAGAAATTGTGAGGGCACAGGAGATCAATGTAGTGATAGTGCATGCTGAACCAGCCACCGCTTGCGCATGTTCACAGGGGAGTACTAATGTAGGTGACGCAACAAAAAAATCACATTAAATTCCTGTTGGCAATCTGTTGACAGCCGTTGTCTTCAGCCCTTGATTCACTGCTCATCTGGTGTTTGCCGATTGTACTTAACTCAGAAGTTGCACGTCTGTTTCCATGGTGCTGATTAGCATACAGAGCTGGCATCTAAGGTTGCAGATTTACAAAGGCTGGAACGGCCAGACTGACCTCACTAAAACAACATTGATCTTAAGGCAGTAGTACGGAGCTAGACTGGGGTAGGTAGGTGGGGGCGTTTCTGAAGCACATTGGGGACACTCAAAATGGTGATTTGTTCAGCAGTGATTGTTATAGTTTCCAGATTTTTGATTTTTGATTTATTTTAGCCAAATGGAATTTCACGATGTGATTATATCCACTGTTTGATCTCTCATTGGCTGAGATTATGCCATTAATAAACCCTTTCAGGGTTCTTTTCTTTGGTGCAACACCAAAATGGCTATGAAGATAATGTAAAACTGCGAGACAGAGTGAAAGATATGGCATGTTTTGCGGGTGCCTTCTTGTTTTTTCAAAATTGCGAGTTTCATGCTGAAAACGGAACATCACAGAAACTCTGTGTGCTGTTCGAATGCATCTTTTAGCATTTTCATGCAGAGCATATGCCAGGAATTGGCTCTGAATTTAATTAAATCAGTTTCCTTTTAATACTACCATCTCCTTGTCTTGAATAACTTCTTGGTAAATAAACTGGTAAATAAACTGGTAAATAAGGAACACTAATGAATCTGATGGCTTCTTCTACTCCTGAAGCATTCCTATATCTCCTGAGGGTACCTTATCCTGAAGTAAATAGACAAGATGGGAGATGGGGCCATCCTCCTCCTTCCCAGATCAGTCCTTCCTAACAAGCTGAATGACTGTGTCAGGCTAGATCTCCTAAAAGTACAGTATCCAGGCTCCACCTCTCAGACACAGTCTTTGGACTCTCAGCTTGAGGGAACTTTAAAGCCTTTATTCAACAAATCATTACACTGTCCAAAGCACAGGATGCAAGATTTGTAAGGCTGCAGCAGATCTCTTAAGGTTCATGACTAGATGATAGCTAAGAAGTTGTCCCAACACTACTTTTAAAGGGTAGGATGGGTCCAAACAGTTACATGGTTATTGACAAGAAGAATGAGCTTGCCAGGGATCGCTCCAGTGGGTTGGCTGGAACTGTTCACACCTGTGCTAATGGCAACATGTCCTTAGTAACAGAACCTAAGTCAGTCCTTCCAGGTCACCTTCCACTTCTGGTTCAGCCAGACCCACTGATTGGTTGTCCTCTTTGGCTACCATGGAGACCTCCTCTCTGGAAGATTCTTCTCCCCATCTGTGACATCTGCCAATAAGGGCTAAAGACTTCTCCTGAGTTGCTGAACTTTGGTTCATCCAAGAGGCTTTGATTTATGAGAAAGGCTGAGACCCTGAACATTTATCTCTGGTCTCTCTCCATGCTAGCAGACAGATTTACAACACCTGCTTATCTGGTTGGCACCATTGCTCAAGCCCAGTCTGAAACACCATTAATGGGAATAATATCATCATCCAGCTGTGCTCCCATAAAGCCCCCCACCCACTCACCATCACCTGACCTGAGCCACAGAACGTTACAGCTGAAAAGCCCCAGGACTGGCTGGCCTGAGACAATGGCATTGCTAGGTCATAAAGGTGATCAACCAAGGCCCCTTGCTAGCTCCCCACTTTCCCTGTGGAACAAAATATGTAATGCCACCTTCAAATTGACTGGAGGAATGTATTTGGAAGGCTTTGGAGAATATAGAGAAAGCCACCAAGAAGTGAATAGGTTGCGGCCCATTCTCTACTGGCTTTTCATAGCTCATCTTCCCCGTGGAAGATATTTGAAAGGTAAGTTACCTGGGCTTCCATGCATACAATTTCCAAGCATTATAAAATAGATAAATATTCACCTACTATAGTAGAACTTGGCAGGAAAGTGTTTCAAGGAGTAGTCTTACAGCAAATGTCTGATCCTTGGAAGCCCACCCAACGTTATTCCGCTGGGAGTCTCAGAAGAAAATGGAAATTTCCTTGGCCATTGATTTCTGTTCTCTGAGACTCCCTTTTTTAAAATGAGATTTTTATTAAAGTTTTTCATAATACAATAGAGTAGCGGCTACCAAACATACAAATAGAAATAAGTAGAATACAGAGTACTTTCTTAGTAAATAATTTTTAGCCGTTACCAGCCACAGAAGGTAGTAGACCCTCTCTCAGCTCTCACCTGGGATTTTTCCTTTCTCCTCCCAGATTCTCACCCTGTCTCTCACGCAGGCTCCTCCATCAACCATCTACCACCCCGCTGAGTATACAATCTCTGGACTTTACGACATAGGACAGAAAGGCAGTAAGATTGTAACAATAAGAAAAGAGAAAAAAGAAATAAGACAAAAATACAAATTAGAGAAAGATACAAAAAGAAAACTTCTGATTTTCCATCTGCTGGTTACATAAAAAAATTAAAAAATGATTGTTTAAGACATTCAGTCCATTCTAACATCCATCTTTTCCACTTTCTGTTAAACAGTATTTCTGTTAAGTCAATCTACTGATTGAGAGCAGGGTAGCTACTGCTGTCTAACAACAGCATGCTTAAAATAATATATTTTATTTTAAATTGGTTTGTAATGTACTGGGTGGAGGGTGGAGTTTTATGGTTTTAAGATCATCTTCATACATAGGCCGTTGGTTTATTAGAATGCTTCTGAGCATCAGGCAGAAGTTGTCAGGTTAGTGGTACCAATGTAGCTTGAACATTATTAGCACTAAAGGTGAAAGAAAGAGAGAGAGAGAGAAAGTTGCTAGGGATGGCAACTACCTTTGAGTTCACTGAATTGGTCAGCCTGTGCCTGGGCTATTCGATTTTAAATTGTGTGCATGCTCATATTATTTAATGTTCCTCACTATAAAATTGGACATTTTCCTTGTGGAAGCATTTGATAAAGTGAGCATCCTCCTGCAGTCTGAAGAAGTTTGGCCGAGGCACAAATTGAACCGCCTCTCTCTGAGAACTAAGCCCTAAAGTGCTGCTGACCTATGCACAGCAATAAAAAGCAGAGCCACCGTTAATGTTTTTCTGCAGTTGTGTTCTCAGGCTGGATTGCTTCTTGAATCCGGAGTGCTTCAAATGTTAAATGGTGGCATTGTATTAAGCTTCATTACCCACCCACGTAAACATTTTCACAGAAATACAAAACAGAAACAACACAGGCATTTAGCATTTTGTGGGTAATTTTATTGGTTTTCAAAAGGGCACATTCTGTGCTTCCTCTGCGGTTGCAGATATGTAACTGGGAATATCCCCTCGGGAAATGAATGCAAAGCATGTCCCATATTAAGGCTAATATGCGGCAAATGCTTTGGAGCTTTTGGAATGCTTGTTAGGTGACAAGGAACCAAAGATGCATATCCACCAGTGCTAGCCCCAAATAAAAAGGTTTTCACTTGAGCAGTCCATGTACCTCTTCAGCATAGAATAGCTTGTGCCTATGTTCTGTTTGTCAGCAAACTGCCTATTGGGAATTTGCATAGTTATGGCAGCCAACAAAAAAGAACACATCAGTAGTGTTAGACTAAGAAGTGCCACTTACTGTAAATAGACAATATTCATACACAGTTTTCAGCACCTCTAACTACCTGACTGCTGTTGGAAGGATCTGTTAGTATACCCTCCAACATTTCTCCGCTGAAAACAGGGACATCCTATTCAATAATAATAATAATAATAATAATAATAATAATAATAATAATTTTATTTATACTCCACCCATCTGACTGGGTTCCCCCAGCCACTCTAGGCAGCTTCCAACACATATAAAAATATAATAAAACATTAAACATTTAAAAAAACTTCCCTATACAGGGCTGCCTTCAGAGATTTAAGCAGAGGTAAGCATTGGAGAAAGGTAATGATTAGTTCTACAATCTCTTCAGCTTTCTCTATCTCTGAGGGAGCTTCTGAATTTTTGTAAGAGACTGGCTTGCATGTGACGACTTCAGACATGAAAGATGTAACATGTACTAAAGTACATACTTTTAATATGCAGTGCTGTAGCCAGCATCCCAGGCACACCAGCTTTCCCTTCAATACTCCCTTTCTGCAATTTATAATCTTCCCCTGTTGTCTTGGAAATGGGGGGTATATATTTGCCTTCAGCAGAGAGGGACACATAGAGAAAATAGCAGCTGACTGGATATTGCTCTGTGATCAGAGGCAAGGTGACTTGAGCAAGTTCATAAAACTCTGTTTCTAGACTACAACATCCATCATCCCCCAACCTTTGGCTCTATTGGCTGGATCTGGTGGGAGTTATTCCAACAATATTTGCAGGGCATCATGTTTCGCCTGCAGTTGTTTTGGCTGAGACATTTCCCATAATGGACATCTATCCCAGAGAATGGGTTATCAACCTGCCTTCCATTCAAGTAATTTCCTCAGACACTCTGGGATGCAGTCCTTTGAAGACTTCCTATAAACTTGACTCTGGACTAAGACAGGGTGGATCTTTTCTAGGGTGATGTTGCTAAAGTTCAGAATTACTTGTTTTGCTATATGAATTTGTTTATTCATGACTGCATTACAAACCTAGCAGCATTTTCCATGGAATTTCTTCCTCAGCTTAGAAGTTTGAATGACTTTATGCATATGTATGGCTAGCATTCAGGTCAGGACACTAAACTTAGCTGATGTGTAGGTGCATGCACAGACATTCTTTATCGCTGAACTCTTAATATTGATTAAACTATCCTTGATTTGCTGGGAACTGCATGACCAGTCCAGCTGACTATCGTTCTGTTTATTAGCATTTAATCTGTTTAGGTAAATTTTCTATTCTCTCTCTCTCTTTTTTTAAAATAATATTTATTGAGAATTTTAAGATTACAAAGAAACAAAGAAAAAAAAGAAGGAAAAAAACAAGTAGCATTTAAACAATACGAATCAATAAAAAAACAAGGTCAAAAAAACAAAAAAACAAAACACATAATACATCAAAATCAAAAAGCAAAAATAGACAAAAAATTTAAAAACAAATCCAATATTCCCAAATCATTAACTGTCATTACCTTGTTTCATTGACCTCCTCACACCTCCCTTTTTTGTATTCTAGTTGTTAATTATCTCAGCAAATCCTTTCCCTCTTTCATAATATTCTATCATTAAATTACCTTAATCTATTTTAACCTTATCTTACCTAAAAAGGCCCTAAAACTTAAAACTTAAATCTTATTTATACCAAATTCTCTTAACCATGACATATTCTTACATAATTCTTTTTAACATTTCTGCTAAAGCCAAATAATTTCATTCCAACATTTTTCTAATACTCTTTATTTTTACAAGATTTTCCTAAATAATTTGTTTAAAACTTTCTTCCAGTCTTCAATTTTCTATTCTCTTGCAGATGTTGTATATTGTAGTTGTCCCCGGTCCCTTAACGAAACCTGAAACCCTATCTTGTATGTTTGAGTGGAGCAGAGTATGATGAATTCATAGAAGCACTGCACGAGTTCAGATCAGGCAAACCCAAACTGAAGCTCACAGGGAACAATGCAATAAACTACACATACTTGGCAACTGTCTTGTGGGACACCTTCAGGAGACGAACCCTACACAAATCTGGACGGTTGGATGGCGCATTGTGGCAACTCCTCCAGCAACTCCTGCAGCCAAGATGGTGCCAAATGTATTGCTCTGCTTTCCTTTGGACCACAGTGGGGCTGAGAGGGGGGTCTTTTTGTCTGGGCAACTGAGGACCTCCATACCCACTGCCTAGGCTTGCGCCCCAGAGATGTCACTTCAGTGCTGCTAATGCAGTAGAAGCAATGTGGGAGGCAGCAGTTACGAGTTACCAGTCTCTGTGGCCTCAGCAGGTGCTGTGATTTTTCAGTTGTTTGAATTACCCCCAGAGGCACAGTCCATTGTCTGTCAAGACAGATGGATGCCAACAACAACAACAACAACAACAACAACAACATGGCACCCATCAGCTCGCATGCTCCAACATAACAAAGATGGAGAAAACTCTCATTGAATTGTACATTCCCCCCAAAAGCTTGCAAAGAGGAGTTAGGTTTTCACTAGTTCCTGCAATTTGAAAGTAAAATGTGTGATAATCTGAATAATTGGAAATTGTGTCCGTGACCTTAGCGTCACATGAGTCTCTTAATTGCAACATCCCTTAATTAGGATGTGCTTAAGCAATACAGACTCCGAGGCGCAGAACACATTCATGGGAATCACTATAGCTTAATGAAAATAAATGCCAGTGAGTCATCCTCCAGCCTTATAAAATGCTCTTCCAGGGGAATGTGCATGCCCTTTTTCATATTGCACTTTATTAAACCTCGTTTTACTCTGTTAAAAGGTGATGAAATGTATTTTGTGATTCTTTCCTTACTCTGAGGCATGCAGAGTTTTTAAATGTCTAACATTTAAATGTTAGAGAAGACACTGGCATTGCATTGCAGCTTTTTTATTTTATTTTTTAAAAAATCCGTATTGGATTTCACTTCATATTGCACACCTTTTACTTGGCAATTGGTGTTCAAGATGAATCCTACATAAGCTGGAAAATCACCAGATACAAATATTTCAGAAAGTATTAGATTTTGTCTTAAGCTTCTGGTCACCTACACTCCAGCAAAGGGGCAGCTTACACCAATTAGAGCAACACAAATAAAATACAAAAAGCTAAAAATATATAAAATATAATAATCAAAAAAGTAGTTGAAGTATAGCATAATTAAAATGATATTAAAATAATATTGTGAATGAAAGTTTAAGAATTTCTAATGGGCCTGTGAAAATATCAAGAAGTTTCTTATATAGAATAGATACTGTGGCGTTTGCCCATTCCTTGTGATTATGTTTATACAGGGGGATGGAAATGGTGAATGTAGATTGACCAATGAGAAAGCTCAGAGGTTTTGAGGTTCAGCCCAGCGGTTTACCAGGGGAGATAGAGGAGTGATGGTCAGACAGAGGCAGTAAAAGTTGAACATAGTGGTTGTGACAGTAGAGTGAGAGACAGGGATAAAACTGAGAGAGAAGGGTGTGACAGTGTGAGATAGTGCCACATCTAGTTAAGGGCGCGCATTTGAGAAACCGTTCTGAACATGCTTAAAACTTGTATGTTCTTCAATAAACTTTAATCTTCGTTGTTGACTTTATAACATGACTGAGACTCAGTATTTCACCAGAAGAAACCTGGTTGGTGGCAGCGGAAGAATAAAGCAGTGGTGTACAGGTTAATAGTCCATGAAATGACCGGGGGCTCTGTACGAACTCCACAGATACCATAAAATGGTTGTTACAATGTACATACAAGGTGTTGTAAATGTTTCAGCTATTTGTGCAGATTAATCTGTTTATTTACATGGCATTTTAACCAAGTTTTGACTTTCTGAGGGATACAAGTCCTTGATAGCAAATCAATTAGCGCCATAATTTATATGGAATAACTTTGTAGGCAGCTGGCCCTCCTGGATTTCTGGGACAGGCATTTGGAGATTTATTTAAGATGCACTACATTCTAAATAATAAGCTGTTGAATATTCTAAGTCTCTGTGATAGTCCAGGAATTTAAACACCAAATACAATAAATAGAAGCATGCGGCAAATCCACTGCTGGGATAAAAATGGATACGTTCACCATGCAGCCAATACTTTCCAAGTCATTTTAAAGCAACTTTTTATAAATCCTTAGCCTTTAAAGTTAAAAAGGTCCATGATATCATTGATCTTGGGCCTAGTTGTTGCTGGTATAGGGTCAACCATTGCCCTGGATGCACTGCTGTGGGTGCAGATAAAAATTAATAGGAAACTAGCATGTCGGGGTGAAGCTCAGTAACCCTTCTCTCTGTCATCTATCTGGAATGCTTTTTAAAATATATATGAATGGGGGAGCTTTTAGTCTTGCATAACTGTTAACTACTGTGTGAAGTGGTGCAGCCAAGGCCCTGAGCTACACACCTCAGAACTAGGCTTCAGTCTGAGACCTTGAGGCTCAAGTGAGTATTTTAAGAAGGAAAACAACAAAGGTAGTGAATCTGATCTAGCGGTTCAGGAAAAGCCTATGATAGAAGTTCTTGGATGATACGCCCCCGAAATACAGGTGGGAAATGGCATAATGTAATTTATTAATTGAGAGATTTGTGTTCCAACCAAAAATGGTTGCAGAGCAGTTTATAAAAGCAAGGTAATGCAAAAACATAGTAGGTAATTAGCAGGAACATGAGTACAATTATCTTAAGTTTCACAACACTGTTTCATACATGTCAAAATACCTTGCTTGTAGAGAACAAGTACTTGAGGTAGGAGTGTAGGCTTTTGACCTCGATTTCAGTTTCTCATGAATATGACTTCTTTTTCAGTATGGTGGGACATTTACCGTATTTTTCGCTCTATAAGACGCACCAGACCATAAGACGTACCTAGTTTTTGGGGGAGGAAAACAAGAAAAAAAAAATTCTGAATCCCAGAAGCCAGAACAGCAAGAGGGATCGCTGCGCAGCGAAATCAGCGATCCCTCTTGCTGTTCTGGCTTCTGGGATAGCTGTGCAGCCTGCATTCGCTCCATAAGATGCACACACATTTCCCCTTACTTTTTAGGAGGGAAAAAGTGAGTCTTATAGAGCACAAAAATACGGTACTTATGTATTCCTCTTACTGTATATTTGTGTAGCCCCAGGTGAATGTCACTCTGTGTTTCCCCTTATTATTATCTGTCTTGGCTCAATTGTTTCGCCATAGAGAGTCTAAAGTCCATACTACATTTGCTGTACAAGTACAGATGATTTGGGTGGTTTTGTTCCTCTTATAATGTCCATTACTGGTTGTCTATGAACTTGGGCAACCAAACTACATCAGTAGCACACAGTTTTGGTTTACTGCTCTTCTAAGCACAGGGAACACCTAGAAATATTAACCAGGAAACTTAAGTTAATAAGTTTGGATGGATTTGACGGCAAAGGTTAATGATAATTCCTGAATCTGGTCTTGATTGAGGAGAAGTTTCCATGCGTGCTTGAACAAGGCTTGTAATGGTCTCCATTACTTAAAACAGCCAGCTTGGCTTTTAGACCTAAATTAATTGCTATTTGTTTCTTGGTTGTCAGCAATATAATTGCCTTCTTATGTAAAGGGAAAGGAAAGACACTCTTCTACTGCTTCTGTACTGCTAAATGTGTTAGGGCAGGGAACATCTATCTGCACTGGTTGGGATCTCTTCCCCTCCCCCAATGCAGATGAACTTGATTTTGCTTTTTAAAAGCTTTACTTGTTCCAGCTTCTCCCTCCTTCAGATCCTAGAGATGTTTATAAATACACAGGCCATCAGTGCTACTTCACTCCCGCCCAGTGCACACATTGGATGGATCATTACATGTCTAAAATAGAAACAGCTCTGTATTCTGTTATGTGAGGGTTGGAGGGTATTTTGGAACTCACTGGAAGCCAGCATCGCACTATAGCAAAAAATTTTTTGAGGGGGTGGTGGTAGGTGGTTGTTTTTTGCTTTTGTAACAGCTGCAGGGCACAGCCACCAGTTTCAGAGGGACAGGTTGTGATGAATATTGAAGTGTGCTGCTTTAATATTGCAGGACCAAACTTTCAGAGGACCGAGGCCAAATGGTTCTGATGTGTTACGGTACTACAGTGACTTCAGAGCCACATGGCTGAACTCCAGGCATCTTGTTCACATAAAAAGTACATGGGATTGATGATCGTTTTATAGAACTGGCTGCCACAGATTTTAGATTGAACCTTGTGTATGTACCGTACTTTTCCGTGTATAAGACTAGGGTTTTTTTACGGGAAAATTATGTTTAAAATTGGGGGTCCCCAATTTTACATGGGGATATGTTATACACGGAAAAGTATGGTATATACGTCCACTGCTTTGATCATTGGTTATAAGCGCAGTTAAAAAAAAAAAAATAGCCAGGAGAGCAAAACTGCGCTTATAACCAATGATCTTCAGACAACACATTCTGGAATTCTCCAGAGATCTGGCAATATAAGTCAGACTCTGAGGGATGAATTTTCCCTACCCTACATCACAAAGACTGAAGAAGACCCTACTTCTTTCTCCATCCTTCATCTTTCTCCATTTGTTAGTTAATATATAAGGACCTAAAAACAGCAGAAGAGCCCTGCTGGATCAGCATCATGTTCTAATTGTGTCCAACCAGATGGAAAACCTGGAAACAGGACCTGAGTGCAACAACACTCCCTCATTGGTGCATGCCAGGAACTAAAGGTAGAACATCGCCATTATGACTAGTAGCCACTCATAGCTGCATCCTCCATGGATTTGACTGCTCCACATTAAAAGCCATCCAAGTTGGTGGCCATCAGTGGGAGCAAATTTCATAGTTAAATTATGTACCGTGTGAACAAGTCTTTGTCTATCCTGAATCTCTCAAAATTCAGTTTTATTCAAAAGCTCTGAAAAGGCTCAATATGGAGGCCAAATGGCCGACATATTGGGAAATTTTGGAGCAAGAAGGAGATAAATTGAGACTGCAGAGTTTTGAAAAATTAAAAAATAAAGTGAGAGATTGGCTCCACTACTATCAGATAATGGAGGCATATAACTTGGATAAGAAAATAGGCTTCCAAGTGGAAAAGTCAAAATTAGAAACAGAATTGTTAGAACCCAAAACTAAAAATTTGTCAAGAATGTATAACTTGCTGTTGAAATGGAATACTCAGGATGAAACGGTGAAATCTGCTATGATTAAATGGGCACAAGATGTTGGACATAACATTATGTTCGCTGACTGGGAACAGTTATGGACCACAGGTATGAAGTTTACGGCATGTAATGCCTTAAGAGAGAATATTATGAAAATGATATACAGGTGGTACATGACCCTAGTCAAGCTTGCAAAAATTTATCATTTGCCCGATAATAAATGTTGGAAATGTAAAGAAACTGAAGGTACATTCTTTCACCTTTGGTGGACGTGCCCAAAGATTAAGGCTTTCTGGGAAATGATATATAATGAACTGAAAAAGGTATTTAAATATACCTTTCTGAAGAAACCAGAGGCCTTTCTCTTGGGCATTGTCGGCCAACTGGTGCCAAAGAAGGACAGAACCTTTTCATGTATGCTACAACAGCAGCAAGAATACTTATCGCAAAGTATTGGAAGACACAAGATCTACCCACTTTGGAAGAATGGCAGATGAAGGTGATTGACTACATGGAATTGGCGGAAATGACTGGCAGAATCCGAGACCAGGGAGAAGAGTCGGTGAAAGAAGACTGGAAAAAATTTAAGGACTATTTACAGAAATATTGTAAAATTAAGGAACTTTAGAAGGATGTTGGATAGAAATTAAGAGGTTTTTAGCTGTAATGCTTTAAGAGACATGAAAAAAAAGGTTAACAATTGGGTAAAAGATTAATGGTAAGGATTTGCTGAACCAACAAACTGAATTGGAATACAAAGAAGGGAGGTATGAGGAGGTCTGGGGAAATAAGAGTAAGGAAGATAGGTTATGGAACATTATTGTGTTTTTAACTGTTTTATTTTGTATGTTTATTCTTACTTTTTACTTTTTTGCTGTAATTTATACTTTTTTCTTTGTTTTCTGTATTTTTGTGAAACTTTAATAAATATCTTTTAAAAAACAAAAAAAAACAAAATTCAGTTTTATTGAATGTCCCCAGATTCTAGCACGTTGAGCACTTTCTTAATACCATGCATAAATATATACACCCCAATCACCTTTTCGCTGAACTAACGCTCCCCTACCCACCCAAATGTGGGACGTGGGTGGCGCTGTGGGTTAAACCACAGAGCCTAGGACTTGCCGATCAGAAGGTCAGCGGTTCGAATCCCAGCGATGGGGTGAGCTCCCGTTGCTTGGTCCCTGCTCCTGCCAACCTAGCAGTTTGAAAGCACGTCAAAGTGCAAGTAGATAAATAGGTACCGCTCCGGCGGGAAGGTAAATGGCATTTCCGTGCACTGCTCTGGTTTGCCAGAAGTGGCTCAGTCATGCTGGCCACATGACCTGGAAGCTGTACGCCGGCTCCCTCGGCCAATAAAGCGAGATGAGCGCTGCAACCCCAGAGTCGGCCACGACTGGACCTAATGGTCAGGGGTCCCTTTACCTTTACCCACCCAAATATAGCCTTTCCTTATAGTAAGGTGACTCCAAACCCTTGGACCATTTTTGTAGCCCTTTGCTGAAACTTTTCCATGTTTACAATATCTGTTTTGAAGTGAGGTGACAAGAAATGTACACAGCATTCCAAGTGTGATCTCACTATAGGTTTGTACAACAGCATTAGGGTAATGGTCACACATTCAGATGCTGTGCACAGATCCAGATCAGCTTAGCTTCAGCATGAATTGTTCATGAATTGATGTACATTTACCATTCTGAACAGGAGGACTTCCTCTGTGAGAAATGGTGTCTGGTTTGTAATACATCCAAGCACCATGAGCCGTCTTTTTGTATACCAAGCCAGGGAATTATGAACTTTACTTGGAGGGGAGCGTGATGTAGCATTGGTTGGTACTGTCATTTTTCAGTGGTTCTAAATGTTGTGGCATGGACCTTTGGAGAGAGGTGACATTGATATAACAGATTGTATAAGCATTGGCCAAATGGTTTGAATTCAGTGGAGCAAATGAGAGCTTTTTGAACAATTTGGACAACTGTTATGGGTTTTTGATATAAAAGTGCTTCTAGAATCAAAGGATGCCCCATATTGCATTAGGATTTTCTGGAGGAACAGAATGTGGTATTTTGCTAATATTTTTTTGGGATTGATATGGTGTTTTGCTAATATTTGTACAGCAAACACCAAACATCGTGAGTTAAAAGCAGGAAAAATAATTCCTAAAATATCCATATTGAGCTGCAGTGTTACTGGAGAATCCTGTTTGGCACCCATTTGTTCAGTGATTTTGAAAGAGTTCTAGGTCCACAGACCGTTCTTCACGGCATTTTACTGCTTCAAAAGTGATGTGCCATCCTTGAAAGTTAACAGATGCGGCCTCCTGCTGCAATACCAATTTTACAAATACACTTCAAAAATTCATTTCCTTTTTTTTGAAACGAAAGAGTAAACATACATCAAAGAGCTGCTTTTCTGAGTCCATATCTTTTACTTCCTTTTTATTTTATTTTTTAAAAAGACTTGTTTTTGTGGATAGACCTATCTTCCTGAACACCACACCATTCCATCCTCTACAGGGAGCGAATGGGGCTAGCATTTTCTGTTGCTGTTTATCATGTTGGGCTGGCTTTCATAGATTCTCCTCTGTGGCAACATATTTTAAGGAATTCTGTTTGTCTATTTATAATGAATTGCTTTTTCTTTTCTTTTTTCCCCTCCCTTCTCTCTCTCTCTCTCTCTCTCTCTCTCTCTTTTTGGATGAGAGAATTTCCTTCTTCTCTCCCAGTGGCCATACTATGTGCCACAAAAATGTCTCTTACATGGTCAGATTATCAGCATCTTTGTGGTCAATGACATTACATAGGGATAAACCTCACTGTGATTTGTCTTCCCGCAAGATCCGCGTGCCACTTTTGTAAATGTAATACAATTTGAATAAACTTGGGGAAACCATCTGGTTATTAAGCAAAGGAAAACATGGCTTGAGCAATTAAGACTTAACTTAGATGTGACTGTAATCCTGATAGCAATGCATTGTGAGTCATACACAGGCATCTGCCTTCTGTGTTGTGACAAATTAAACCATTGGTCTTTCTCGCTCAGCACTGCTGGCACCCTTGAGGGACTCAGGAAGGAGTCTTTCTGAGTCAAACCTGGAAATGCTAAGGATTGAACCTGTGACCTTTTCCATGTAAAACATGAGCTCTGCCACTGGGCTACAGCCTTTCTCCAGAGCTACGGTGCAATGTCGGCTGGCTTACTGCTATGGCCCATCAGTTATTCTGTCCTAAATGCACTATGTTATAACACTGATGTGTTCTGGTTAAGTCTATAGCTGGAACGATGCTGTTGTCATAAATAAGTACTCCTCCTACCTCTTTGTGCTGGTTGAAGAGCAAAGCTTTCAACTAAATAATTCTGATTAGCATGATTGGGGAAGGGCCTTTTTACTGACATACTGACTGAGCTGCTGTTGTTGTTGTTGTTTTTATTATGTATTTTTAAACTGTGATTTTATGTTGTGAACCACCTTGAGACCTGTGGGTATAGGATGGTAGACAAATTTAATAAATAATAAAAATAAGAATAATACTGATGTCAATATATTGAAAGTAACATACTATGGGGCTAATAGGGTCAGTGGTCTGACCCTATAGAGCAGCACCCTTTGTGTAAGGGTTTAGATAAACTACCCAACACCTCTAGAAAGAAACAGATTCTACATATTCAGTTAAGGTCTTGTCATTTTAAAAAGGACGGACTTTCTGAAGAACTGCCCCCTGGCAATGTTTGTGTCAGGAGTGTGTGCAGGAGCCAGGCCTTGTGACCAGTAGGACTTTGCAGGACTGGGGCCTTCCTAAGTTTGTTCTGAAGAGGCAAGGTGTGGCTGCACAGGTGAGGCCGATTGGTAACTCACAGCACCTGGTGGCAAGAGCCAGGAAGGGATATAAGGTCAGCATTTCCCTTTGGCTCTTTGCCACAGCAACACGTTCCCTGCCTTGCTGCGTTTGACTCCTTGACTCCTTGCTTCTCGATCCTCGGACCCCTGACTTCATGACTCCTTGCTTCTTGATCCTCGGACCCCTGACTTCGTGACTCCTTGCTTCCTGACCCTTGGCTTACTGACTCCTGGCTTCTGGACTCCCATTCCTGCTCCCATCCCACCATCTTGCCCCCAGTCCCAGCGTCCCCAGCTGGGACTTCGATCACCCGTGAACTGGACCGTGACAGTTTGACACTAGACATTGGCAAGGACATACTTGGAAAGGTAAATTAACCTCATATGCAGTGGCACAATGGTAAGGTGAAAGAATTAGGCACCACCTTAGAGGTAGTTTGGAGTGATTGCTTGTACATGTACCAGTGGCTGTTGCTGGCTAGGACTGTTGATTGCTAAGAAGAAACTACAGTGGTGCCCCGCAAGACTTTACAGTATGTGTGACTTTAAAGAGCACTTAATAAACTCTTGTTGTACCAAATTTGGCTTTGTTTGGACTTTTTTTGACCATAGGAACACATTAATTGAATTTCAATGCATTCCTATGGGATTTCGTGCTTCGCAAGACGAAAAATTCGCTAGACGAAAAATTCGCGGAACGAATTAATTTCGTCTTGCGAGGCACCACTGTATGTTTTGTGATGGACCTACATGATACATACACTGTAATGCAATCTCAAAGTGGTGGCCAATGCTAACTAGCTTGAACACAACCACCAGCCAGTGTATGTAATCTGCTGTTGGCAACCGTATTGTACATTTTGAACCAATCACTTCCCCCTTATCTTTGTCCTTTTGGGCATGATATTATAAGTGTATCTGGCCTAACAGGAGAACTATTAGTGCCAATAATAGTGTGCTATTTAACAAATAAACTGATAGTCTCAAGCTAAATATTGCCAGAATACAGTTTCACAATTAAAACACAATTATAAGTAGCTAGATAATTGGACTGTTGGATACAGGAAGAACATAGTCACAAGAGACCTGCCTGCTTCTGTAGTTGTGCAAATGCGTCCATGGTTCTTGAATGCGAGAGGCATTACAACGCTGTCTGGTCTTATACTCTGCCCTGTCTGCTTTTCTCCTTGCTATTTGTAGGTAGCCATCAAAGGATGTTCCTTTTGCACATCAGTCCACACTGACTTGCTAAAAGAGCTCCTAACAATATCATTATGGTTACGTGTTTGGTTTTCTTTAAGGAAGAAAGACTTGGAAGACTTGTAGAGAGAGAAAATAGCCACTTACACGAAACAGGAAGTGAAAAGCCTTGTTTCAAAATAGTTTTGTCTAAAATAAAACATAGTGGTGAGTGACTTTCCAAAGCCCACAGCAGAGAACAAGTATCATGGGGTGGAAAGTGTGTAATTGAAATCTGTTGATAGGAATTCTTGTGAGGTTTATGTACTATTTCTCATAAATAAATTAGCCATGCTCTGCAGAATGAAAAAATAATAATTGCATTGTTAACAGTGCACTGTTGAGACGGTTGTTTCCCCCCGTGTACATAATCAAGCAAGCAGTGATGTCTCCCAAGCCAATAATGATGAACATAGGAAGAGTCCTGCTAGGTCAGGCTAATGGTCCATGATACCTAGAATCCTGTTCCTAGCAGTGACTAGTCAGATGTTTTGGGGAAGCCCACAAACACCATGCATTGCTTGTGGGTTTCCCAAAAACATCTGACTGGTCACAGGCAACAGCCGTCCTTTGTCCGCCACCATCCTGTATCTAGAGATGAATTGCTTCTGAACCTGTGCACTTCATTTAGCTGTCTAAGCAAGCACGTAGCTACCCATCACATCTTTTGATGGCAAATTCCATAAGATGCATGTCGTAATGATTGGGGATTACTGTTTCTCCCCATTCACCCAAATATTCCTGCTTGGAATGAGTGTCACTCAGGATAAGTCACCTGCCTGCCATTCCCCTTAGTTTAAGTGTGTTCACTTCTCAAAACCTTGGTGCAAGCCTGAAACACACTGATTTTCTGGTGATCAAAGGGAAATCCATTGCAATATCTATAAAGTATGTAAATAAATTGCTACGTACTGTTCAGAAGGGTAGGTACTGTTCCAGTCCAAAGGTTTACAGGCTGGAGAATTCTAATGGATTTATTGTTCCTGTAGAACTTCTCATGGTACAACTTCTTCACAATGTAGGCTGGTAATCCACAAAGTTATGAGGAAGATCTGACCCATCGTGACTAGCTATTAGATATGTTCCAAGTGACATAACTCACTGAGTACTGTTTGCCCTGGAAACAGGCATGCTTTCTCGTTCTGGCCTTCTGTCCTGCCAGAAGGGCACACCATGACATTGATAGTTCACAGATCATCCATGCATAGAGCAGACTGTTCTGCAACTAAAATGAAAAGTATTTGTCACCCTTCAGAGAGCATGGGTAGCAAAGAAAAGTGTGTGTGGTGTGCGTGCTCATGGCTTGGAAATTACAAATACCCTTTGCCAATAAGTGATTACAGTTTCATCTGATTGCATGGCAGTCTTTTAAAAGTGTAGAAGAAGATGCAGGGAAAGATGAGTTAAGAAACACAAGTCTTCATTTCCTGTAGAAACTAAGCTTTGGACTCTTATGACTGCATCCTCTGCCCCAACATTCTTGATGGGATGGTGGCTATGTTTTTGCTTATGGTTCTCTGTTACTGTGTATCTTGAGCAGCAAACCTAAACTGCCCTTGTTAGGTAGTTGTACCTGGATGCCAAATTTGTGGGCAGTAGAAGTTTCCTTGAGATTGAAGAACTGGATCTTACCTGACCAAATGCATTTCAGTATCCAAGTACAATTCTACAAGGCACGCATTTGCTCCAACTGTTTATTTCACATGTGTTAAATCTGAGAGTTGTGTGGTGTAGGTGTGCTAAGAGAATGAACTGGGAAGATCTGGTTCCTATCTCACCTGAGCCATAGGCTTTTTAGGTGGCTTTGAGAAACGTCTGCTGCCAATCTACTCATGGGAGTAATAGTTACCTGTTACCCATTTTATCAATTTTCTCAGATGTGGCAACCAGAATTGGGTGCAGTTTTGCAGCAGACACATTGTCTTGCAAAAGCACAGCTTTGCCAAGCAGAGGAAAAATACAACATATGCCCAACAGATACTGGCCCAATCATAACAGAAGGCTTCATGTGTATTTGGGGCTAATGATTGTAACATTGGGGCCATTTGCAGGAGTGCGTCTCATGTAGGCATAGCATTGCCTTCTTGTTTTCTAGTTACAAAATTCACCAAGCTCTGAAATATTGATCTGGAAAAGATTTGTTTTATCACTTACAACAGGCAATGCTGTCTCAAACTCTTCTACTCTGTTTCCCTGTTATATATTACATGTATATATCACCTTTCCTCCCAGGATATCAAGGTGGTATACAGGATTTCTTCTCTCGTTCCCGTTTTATCTTCTCAACAATCCTGAGAGACAGTGACGTGGCCAAAGTCATACAAGTTAATGGATGTATAGGTGTTTGAACCCTGATCTCTGTGATCCTGGTCCAACAGTGATTACACTGCACTAATTCATATATTTAGGTATTTGTATTCAGGACTATACAGCCCTCTCAAGGTGGTGGTTCACATTATACAACGAAATAAAGGAAGAAAATGCAGACTTTGCAATAGCAGTTCAATCTAAAAACCCGTCAGTAAAATAATATTAAAATAGCTACAGTGGTTAATTTGCAGCTAAAAGCACGAACCAGCCTTCAATCAATCAGTTAAAAATAGGTGCAGATGTAAATTGACAGATCTTTAGAGTTGAGATATGCAAACCTGAATTGCAAAAGGCGAGCGAGGGCTTTTTTTGTATTTTGCATATTAAGTGCAGTGGCAGCCATAAAAATGATTTATGAGCACAATACAGAGATGTCATCTCTCTGTGCCATATAGGCAAACAATTGAAGTTGATTAAGAGTTAGTAGATGAATGAATCTCATTTCTCTTGTCAGGCATGTTACTCAACTGAAACTCCCAACTACATGTTAGGTTGATTCTATGATTGTTTTCTCCATTGAGTTTTTATTTTTATTTTAAACCCAAAGGAGACACATGTAAGGGGCTTAACCTTTTCCTATCCAGTCCTTTTTTACCCTCACTTTGAGAGAGTCATAGTGGTCATAGTGCTGAATGTAGGCTGGATAGGCCTAGAGAGACCTCAGATACTTGCTTCATAATGAAGTTTACTGAGTGACTTTAGTTCATTCATTCTCTCTCAACTTAACCTACCTCACATGGTTGTTTTGGGGAGGCACATCTTGTATGGTATCCTGAGCTCCTGGGATGAAGAGTGGGATTAAATAATAAAACTGGCTGATGCAGGTTAAACTCTGTACAAGTGGAAATCCTTGCACTAATTGTAAGAGTGCATTGGATCCCACCCTTGGTTTCCATTATCAGGAGTGTCCCCCGATTATAGGGTTGGGACATTCACTGGAGCAGCTTGAGAGGTGCAGGAACCATCCTGAAAACTCCGGATGGAGGACAGCATACAAATTTAATAAATAATACATTTAATTGTTTTTGTTGTTAAACTGAAAATTGCCTCCTGCTTTTCTGCTGATGGCATTTTTCTGCTGGATCTTGATCCCATCTATGAATGGATTGTGCCCTTTGCTAGTGGTTGCCTAGGGACACAGGTGGCGCTGTGGGTTAAACCACAGAGCCTAGGACTTGCCGATCAGAAGGTCGGCGGTTCAAATCCCCACGGCGGGGTGAGCTCCCGTTGTTTGGTCCCTGCTCCTGCCAACCTAGCAGTTCAAAAGCACGTCAAATAGGTACCGCTCCGGCGGGAAGGTAAACGGTCGTGACCAACTCTGGGGTTGCGGCGCTCATCTCGCTTTATTGGCCGAGGGAGCCGGCGTACAGCTTCCGGGTCATGTGGCCAGCATGACTAAGCCGCTTCTGGTGAACCAGAGCAGCGCACGGAAACGCCGTTTACCTTCCCACCGGAGCGGTACCTATTTATCTACTTACACTTTGACGTGCTTTCACACTGCTAGGTTGGCAGGAGGAGGGACCGAGCAACGGGAGCTCACCCCGTCACAGGGATTCAAACCGCCAACCTTCTGATCGGCAAGTCCTAGGCTCTGTGGTTTAACCCACAGTGCCACCTGTGTCCCTCCACCCCACAGGACCACCACATATAATAAGGTACTCTTTCCTTTTACCTTTCCAGCACAAATTTGAGCTGGTTCTATACATTTTCGCAATTTAACTCAGAGTCAGATGCCAACGGTACCTCATTTTCATATAGTTTTCTTTCAACGAATAGCAAGCCTTATACTTCAAATCCTCTTTCCATAACTTTCCCCATGATAAAAGTTGTATATTGTAACCAAAATCTCTTGCCCATTGTATCATCACTGATTTAACTTCTTCATCTTTAGTAAACCATTCCAAAAGCAATTTATACATTTTTGAAAGTAATTTCACATTGTTTTCCAACAAAGAAAGCTATGGCATTGTTGGTTCTCAGCATTTTGAAACAAAGTTCCCAGTAAATGTAAATGACAAATGGACATGCATACCTGGTTTTTATCTTTCCCTTTCTTTTTGGGTTGGGCAGCTTGTAGTTTGGGTAGCTGGAGGAGTTTGTGAAGGAGGAGATGGTTGTGCCTATATCTGCAAGATTGCATTTTGCACTGATACAGTGAAAACGTGGGTGGTGGAGCTGCCACCAAGGAACAGAGATGAGTGACAACCTCAAATTAAGCTACCATTTTTAGCAAGAGCTGGAAGTATAGCATAACAACAGCTCTACTGGATCAGACCAAAAGTCATTCCTTCCTTCCTTCCATCCATCCATCATTCCACCCAAGGAAATCATATCCCATTTCTCTCCTTTTTTGCACATCTGGACGCTCTGTGCATAAGTTCCCACAAATTCACAGGTAGCAGAGCCTGTGGGCGAATCAGCAGTCCTTTCCCCTTCAAACACTTATTTCTGCCTAAGAATGAACACCTAAACAAGGTTTTAAGGCTCTTATTAAATGAGCCGGCATGTTCAATCTTCCACGGCTGAGCCAGTTAGCCAAAAGATGTAATGTGTCACACAGTGGGAAGATCTGCAACATATACCCCACCGAATCAGTCATCTGGCACAGTATAGAGAAAGAGGGTAGCTTTGTAGTGTTTGAACATGTTTATTCTAATATGTTCCAAAGTATTGACTGAAGTTAAGAAGTTAAGACTTGAAAGCAAGCTTGAATTCAAATTCCTATTGTATGTAATAAGCTCCTAGGCAGGAAAGCTTGAGGAGCTGAATACGTAAAACAACCATTTGACGCTTTCTTTGCTTAGTTGGTTAGAGGGTTATGAAGCTCTATACCAGTCTTCCCCAACTTGATGACCTCCAGACGTTGGACTACAATTCCCATCAGCCCAGCAAGCCTGGACAATGGTCGGGATGATGGGAGTTGTAGTTCAAAGCGTCTGAAGGGCATTGGTTTGCAGAAGCCTGCTCTTCACAGTCACTGGGATACCTTTATGCTCCTATCTTTATGCATCTACTTCGATTCCTTTGAAGATAGGGAAGAAAGAAATGCTTAGGATTTACAGCAGGAGGGGAAGGTTTGAAATCTAAAGACATCTTTCTTTAATAATTTTGCATTCCAGAAAATTTCTTTTCAGAATGAAAGTTACTGAGCAGATGTCTCTCTCTACGGTAGTGCTTTTCCTGCAGAAACTTGTTTTCCCCAAGAACTCCCAGAATTATTTCCGGCATCGGGGCAGAGAATGTTTCTGGCTCTATGGGCCATATGTTTATCAGGATTGGCTTCATGAGCAGGGCAACCCACCTGTCAATCACAGGACATCCCATGCTTGGCAGCTAGATTGCCGGGTGCACCAGCCAAAATCCTTTGGGTGGGGACCACGCTGCAAGGGACATTGTCAGCCCCATGTTCAGCGCTTTGGGTAGCTCCAAGCACAGGTCTGGTTTGTTTCTCCCCTTTCTGTCTCTTGATTGGAATGGGAAGAATAAGGCTGTGTTTTATAGGCTTTAATTTATATATATACTTATTTAATGAATTTATTCCCCCCCCATTTTTTTGATTTTTTCACAAAATTATAAACACACAAACAAATAAACAAACATAAATCATAACCTTATTAAAACTAGTCTTATTAACATTATTAAGTGACTTCCTCGTATCCCCCTAGTTGAATTTCAATGCATATCATTTTAACGGTTTTCCAAATCAGTATTCTTATAAAATTAACTTAATCACTTAACATCTTTCTTTCTTTCCAATTCAGCATTAAACATATTAATTCATCACATTGCATATTTAAATCCTAAGCCTATCTGGTAATTGTAAGCTTTTTCCGATTAGTTTAACTTAACATATTTAACTAAATAATCATTAAATTTCATCCATTCTTCCTGGTACTCCTCCTCCTTCTGGTCACAGACTCTTCTAGTCAGGTCGGCTAGCTCCGAAAAATCCATCATCATCTGCCATTCTTCCACTGTTGGTACTTCTTGCATTTTCCACTTCTTAGCTAATAAGATTCGAGCAGCAGTTGTGGCATACAAAAATAATTTAACATCTTTCTTGGGCAATTCCAAACTTGTTATTCCAAGAAGAAAGGCCTTTGGTTTCTTTATAAATGTATATTTCAACATTTTTTTCAATTCATTATAAATCTTTCCCCAGAAGTCTTTCACCTTGGGGCAGGTCCACCACATATGATAAAAGGTACGTTCTTTTTCTTTACATTTCCAACATAGATTATCACAGTTATGATAAATCTTTGCTAATTTAGCAGGAGTCAGATACCATCTATACATCATTTTCATTATGTTTTCCTTTAACATTGTACATGCAGTGAACTTGACCCCTTTCTTCCACAATCTTTCCCAATCTTTGAATTTATATACCGCTCTATACTTGGAGGTCTCAGGGTGGTTCACACACACACAAAAATCACAACATATATAAAATTGAAATAAGAACAATAACCCAATAAAATCCCCCTCTTTGACTGTGAGTGCCTAGTGTGATCAAACTTAAGCAGGACTTAAACCCCTCCAGGCAGCTGTGCATCATGGGTTAAAACCTGCTAGGAATAGGTACCTGCAGCCATCCAACTCATCAAGTGATGTCACCAGTAATGCCAGCTGTCAGGGGTTCAGGAGCAGAGGCAAGGGCAAGGGAGGAAACAGAGAGCGAGGGGGAGGAGGCAGAAGAAAAGATGAGTGATGACGACGACCCGAGATCTCCGAGTCTTTCCAGTGAATCAGAAGATTCACAGAAAGGAGCACCAGTGGCCAGGGCAAGGGGGGGCCTAGGGGGACGCCCCAGGAAGATAGAGCCAGAGGGGACTCAGAGGGGAGCAGTTGGAAATCGGGACCAGCGTCACCGCCAGAGAGCAGGGAAGAGGAAGGGAGCCAGGGATCAAGCGCTGGCAGCTCACAACAGGGGGGAGGGCACGAGTCAGGAGTGGCCACACCTCCATCGGGGAGCGAAGAAACGGTCAGACGGAAGGTGGAAGGTTGGGCGCGCGCGCAAGTTCAAATGCACAGGAAGGTGGCACAGTAGGCAGCCCGGAAAGGGAGCCAGGTCCTAAAGCCCGCCGAAAGGAGGGAGAAGAGTCAGGGGGGTCAGCGTCAGCGTCAGAGGAATCCCGGAAAGAAGAGACCCCAGGGGGCAGAGGGACCCAGAGAAGAACAGTCAGGCGGAAAAGGTGGAGCAGGGCTAGGATATTAAGTTGGTGTACAAGGGGCGGAGACTCAGACGGAGCTTCGCCGGTCTAACCATGAGACGTAGAGTTGCACGCAGCAGTTTGAGAATGGAAACTGTAACTCAATAAAGACTTTTGTTTAATGATCGCTGGCTAGCGTGATCCTCTGTGAGCTAGGATCCGGAAGCAGCTCTGACAGTAAGCTCCGTCTGCACTAAATTGTGGGCATCTACAGCCTCGCGGAGAGGAGAGAAAGCGGGTGCCTACTAGCGAGCTCACGAAAGGCAGACAATATGACGGCCGAACAGCAGATAGCGGAACTCAGAGAAGCAGTGTCACGACTGAATGCCGAGGCTCTTGCATCCAGGAAGAGAGAGGAGGACGCAGCTGCCGCCTACAGGGATCTCCAGGTCAGGTTGGAAGTGCTTACGAAGCAAGGGCAACTGACACCCAAACCGGAGGGGATTGGGTTGGGGAGACGAACAGGCGGTCTGGTCTCTCACTTCGATGGGAATTTGCAACAGTACCCCAACTTTAGAGCAGATGTAATGTGTGCACTGCAACTGCTGGACAAAGACTTTAGAGATGAGCAAGAGAAGGTGGGATTCATCATGTCCCATTTGCATGGAGATGCTAAAGCATGGCTGCGCAATTTGTGGAGAGATAAGGATCCGGCGCTCCAAAATGCGGATGCCTTTATTAAAGCGATGGATGGGTGCTTTTTATCAAGCATTGACGTGGATCTTGCTCGGCAGCAGATACATGGACTGAAGCAAGGGAGGGCCAGCGTAAGGCAGTACCATGCCCGCTTTTCGCTTTGGTCAGTGCTCTGGAATGGGACAGAGATTCGGCTCCTGTAAGAGACCTGTTTTGGGAGGGATTGCACGGCTCGGTTAAAGATGAAATTGCGAGGGGGGAGAGACCCCGGACCACGCAGGAGATCGTTCAGAGGGCGCTGGCGGTGGGGGTGCGGCTGGAAGAACGTCCGTGGAGCAGGGACGAAGGGCGTGGAGGGCGCGAACCAGCCAGGGGCTCCTCCTTCCTTCCCAGAGAAGCAGCGCGTGCGCAATCCACGCCTCCGCCAGGAGGAGGAGCGGAACCTATGGAGGTTGGAGGTGCAAGGGCTCAGTCAGCAGCCAGAGCCCTAGCACCGGCAGCAGTGAAAGCGAAGCCTCCTAGAGGGAACAGGAAGTGTTACATCTGCGATGCTCCACAGCATATGGCGAAAGAGTGTCCCCAGAGGCTCCACAAGCACACTGCAGCTTCAGCAATGGTAACTGCAGCAACGCAGCAAGGAGAACCACAGCAGGGAAACGACGGAGTCTGGTTGGAGGAAGAGGCACTGGGGCCCAACCAGACGTGTCAGTGAAGCAGTCCCCAGAGATTTTACAGCCCATGGACCCCCTCCCGCCCAAACCAGTAGTGAGGCTCACCGCGTCGCTCCAGCTGCCCAATGGAATCACCATGGACGTGCCAATCACCATTGACTCCGGAAGCAATGCGGACTTTATAGGGCAGGACTTTGTCGACCGGCACGCTATACAGTTGCTGCCTGCCACGCTGCCCCTGCAGGTTGTCACGGTGGATGGCAGGGAGCTGCTAGGGGGGCAAGTGGTGAAGCAGACGCCACCAATGGTGATGCGGCTTGGGAATCACAGGGAAATCATCAGCTTCAATGTCACTCAACTATCGGACACGCCCATTGTATTGGGCATGAGTTGGCTGGACAAGCACAGCCCGACGCTGGCTTGGTACCAGAGGCAGCTGACCTTCGGCTCTTCCTTTTGCGCTGAACACTGCATCGTGCCCCGGCAGGAAGGAGAGGAAGAGGAGTCACAGCTGCAGCTGGGCACGCTGCAAGCGGTTCCCCACAAGTACGCAGAATTTTTGGAGGTTTTCTGCGAGAAGGAGGCAGACAGGCTACCCCCCCACAGACCATATGACTGCAAAATTGACCTGCTGCCGGGCGGCGCTGCCCAAACGGACGCTGTATCCCACGTCTGAGGACGAACTGCAGGAACTCAAAGAGTTCATAGATCATAATTTGGAGCGCGGTTTCATCCGAGAGTCCAAGGCAGCGGGGGGGCAGTCCGGTATTCTTTGTTAAGAAGCGGGACACGCCTCAGAAAAGACTTGTAGTGGACTATCGCATTTTGAACAGCGTGACCAAGCCATCGGACTTCCCCATGCCCCGAATCGACGACCTCCTCGCAAAGGTACGGAAGGGCAGCGTGTTCACTAAGTTGGACCTGCGAGGGGCGTACAACCTCATTCGCATGCGGGAAGGAGATGAGTGGAAGACAGCCATGTTCACGCCCCTGGGCACCTACGAATATAGAGTTATGCCTTTTGGATTGCAAAATGGTTCCCACGTTTTCAAGCTTTCATGCATCACGTGTTGGCGGGGCTCCTCTACAAGACGTGCGTCTGTTTCTTGGATGACATCCTGATCTTTTCGGAATCGCAGCAGGAGCATGACAGACACGTCAAGGAAGTGCTGAGCAGGCTACAGCAACATAGGCTTTACGCCAAGCTGGAGAAGTGCCAATTCGACGTGACGGAGGTGGATTTCCTGGGCTACAAGTTGTCTGATAAAGGGCTCGCCATGGACAGCGCCAAGGTCCGAGCAGTGTTGGATTGGAAAAGCCCACGCAACCGGAAGGAGGTCCAACGGTTTGTCGGCTTTGCGAACTTCTATCGCAAGTTTATCAAAGGCTTTGCCATGCAGACAGCGGCCATCACGGACACGCTCAGCTCCAAGAAAAGAAGTTCATCTGGACAGAGCAGGCGGAGCAGTCCTTTCAGGCACTCAAGCGTCTCTTCGCGTCGGAAGGGCAACTGCTTCATGTCAACCCCAGCAAGCCGATGAGGGTGGAGACAGACGCTTCGGACAGAGCCGTGGGAGCAGTCCTGCTGCAGAAGGACCCGCAGGGGGTTTGGAGGCCGGGAGCGTTTTACTCAAGGAAGCTCAGCAAGTCCGAACAGAACTACACCATCTGGGACAGGGAGTTGCTGGCCATTCATGCAGCGTTCAAAGCGTGGAGGCACTTCCTGATCGGCGCCAAGCACACGGTGCAGGTCTGCACGGACCACAAGAATCTAGAGCACTGGCGCACGGCACAGTTCCTGAACCAGAGGCAGATACGTTGGGCTGAGTTCTTTGCGAATTTCGACTTCCGAATAGAGTATGTCCCGGGGGACACCAACATCATGGCGGATGCTCTCTCCCGTAAGCCGCAGTATCTGGAGGAGGCAACGCCAGCGGCCGCCATGCACATCTTCGCACCGACAGTGTGGGCGTGCACGGCGGCAACAGTTGACCTGGAGGCGGTGCGACGAGCGTTGCAGGATGACTCCTTCGCGCAAGCAAAGATGGCAGAGGCGCACAGGGGCACGGCAGCGACCGACGAGTTCCAGCTGCGAGATGGTTTGCTCATCCGTAAAGGGGCCATCTACGTGCCGGGAGACGAACTTCGCGCCAAGGTACTGCAGCAGCTGCACGACGCGCCCACTGCCGGGCACTTTGGCAAGGAGAAGACGGTGGAATTAGTAGCCAGAGACTTCTGGTGGCCAGGAATGAGAGGGGAAGTCGCGGACTACGTGGCGAGGTGTGACACCTGCCAGAGGGCCAAACCAGTGCACAGACCGCCGGCCGGATTGCTGGAACCGCTGCAAACTCCGTTCGAACCATGGGAGAGAGTGGCCCTGGACTTTGTCACGGATCTGCCCAGCTCGAGGGGCAAGACGGCTGTGCTGGTGGTGGTGGACTTGTTCTCCAAGATGGCACATTTCATTCCGTGTGCGAAGGTGGCCACGGCGGAACAAACCGCCAAACTGTTCATAGACCACGTGTTCAAGGTTCACGGTCTGCCGCGGTCTATTCTGTCCGACCGAGGGCGACAGTTCATCTCGAACTTCTGGCAGAGGCTGATGGGCTTCCTGAACGTCAAGATCAACCTGGCGTCGGCTAGACACCCGCAGACCAATGGGCAAGCGGAGCGGGTCAATGCCATCATGCAGCAGTACCTGAGATGTTATGCGAATCAACAGCCTGCGACGTGGGTGGATTACCTGCCTCTCGCCGAGTTCGCCTACAACAACACGAAGCACGTGTCCACGGGGGTCACGCCGTTCTTCGCCAACAACGGGAGGCACCCCAGAACCTTCCCGGGACTGGAAAGAATGGGGGAGGGGAGCCGCAGACAGCAGATGCATTCGCGTCGGAGTTGCAGGAGGTCCACGATCAGCTGCGGCGGCACCTGGAGCTGGCTAAACACGCATACAAGGTACAAGCGGACAAACACAGAAGGGTTGGCGAAGAGATCCATGTGGGAGACTGGGTCTGGTTAGCAGCCCACGCAGTGCCGGCCAGGTCGTTGGCGAAGAAGAAACTAGGGCATAAACAACTGGGGCCCTACCAAGTCGAAGAACAGGTCAACCCGGTGGCTTTCAGGCTGGCTCTTCCGGAGGGTTCCAGGATGCATCCGGTGTTCCACAGATCGGTGCTCACTCCATACAAGGCACCTCACAGGTTTCAGGAACCAGGAACGGCACCGGGTCCGCTCCGAGAGAGAACCGGGCAGGGGGGAGTGGCACGGGAGGAGCGCATCAACGAAGCCACGGAGATTTTGGACTCCAGATGGGGGAAGAGGGGGTAGAATACCTTCTCGCCAAGGAGGGCACCCCGGCCAGTGCCAACAGCTGGGTGCCGGGCTACGCTTTAGACGAACCTCTGCTCAAAGAAGAGTTTCATGCCCTCTTCCCACATAGGCCAATGCCAGCAGACTTTTTCGACGACTGGCTTTTCACGCCCACGCTTTCAGCCAGCACGTTCCGGGGTTCGACTCGGACGAGGAACCGACACGAGACGCCCGTTCCCCGGAGGGGTCACCCTCGGGATCTGCTTCAGAACCCTCGTATTGGTGGGATGATCGACCAGAGGAGCAGTTCCGCAGAAGGTGGCTGGAGGGTCCAGGACGAGCAACGTCTCCAGAAGGTAACGAGGGAGAGACGGACATGGACGCTTTCGGGACGACCCGGGTTTCGAGCACGGCGGCACAGAGATGGAAGCGGAGGTGACCGTCGTCAACGAGAGCAGGGAGGAAGAACCGGAAGACTTCAGATGGCGGCCCGCCACGGGAAGCGAACTGTATCCGACATTCGTCCCCGACACGGCAGCACCCAGATCCCGCACCGGAAGGAGGGGAGGGGGAAGAGGGGGCTTCGAGGGGGATGGATGTCAGGGGTTCAGGAGCAGAGGCAAGGGCAAGGGAGGAAACAGAGAGCGAGGGGAGGAGGCAGAAGAAAAGATGAGTGATGACGACGACCCGAGATCTCCGAGTCTTTCCAGTGAATCAGAAGATTCACAGAAAGGAGCACCAGTGGCCAGGGCAAGGGGGGAGCCTAGGGGGACGCCCCAGGAAGATAGAGCCAGAGGGGACTCAGAGGGGAGCAGTTGGAAATCGGGACCAGCGTCACCGCCAGAGAGCAGGGAAGAGGAAGGGAGCCAGGGATCAAGCGCTGGCAGCTCACAACAGGGGGGAGGGCACGAGTCAGGAGTGGCCACACCTCCATCGGGGAGCGAAGAAACGGTCAGACGGAAGGTGGAAGGTTGGGCGCGCGCGCCAAGTTCAAATGCACAGGAAGGTGGCACAGTAGGCAGCCCGGAAAGGGAGCCAGGTCCTAAAGCCCGCCGAAAGGAGGGAGAAGAGTCAGGGGGGTCAGCGTCAGCGTCAGAGGAATCCCGGAAAGAAGAGACCCCAGGGGGCAGAGGGACCCAGAGAAGAACAGTCAGGCGGAAAAGGTGGAGCAGGGCTAGGATATTAAGTTGGTGTACAAGGGGCGGAGACTCAGACGGAGCTTCGCCGGTCTAACCATGAGACGTAGAGTTGCACGCAGCAGTTTGAGAATGGAAACTGTAACTCAATAAAGACTTTTGTTTAATGATCGCTGGCTAGCGTGATCCTCTGTGAGCTAGGATCCGGAAGCAGCTCTGACACCAGCAAATTGGCCTGATGGTGTGATTTGCAAAAAACGTGGCCCCACAGGCCAAATTGGACCCACTGGTGGGCCAAGATGGGCCCATAAGCCAGAGGTTACTCACCCCTGCCCTACATGAAATGTTGAAGAGCATCAGAGATATCTGTTGGTTAGCGCCAGGGGTGAGAAAGCTATGATGCTTCACTTGTGGTTGGACTGCAGCTTCAATTATCCCTGATGATTGGCCATGCTGGCTGGGGTGATCAATGTTGGATGTCTGTGGTGTACTTTGCTATATACAGTGTAGCTTGCTTATTTTTTGTTTTTTTTAGATATAGTTTTATTGATTTCCAAAATGTAACAATTACAAAAATAGAACAAATAGAATAGAAGAGAATGCTAAAACACAATCCCAATTTACCCTGTTCCCCCCTCCAGAATAGATTAGTCTATTTACGTTTGCCAAAGTCCAGTCTGTGATTTTGGTGGTTGCCATTCTTCATTGTTATCAGTAAAGGTTTTTATAAAAGGATGCCATATTTCAACAAAATAGTCTACATCATTTGCATTATTCGATGCATGTAGTCTCTGTTATTTTTTCTGATACAGTATTCAACTATACACCCTGTTTCCAACAAGAAATATAGATATTCCAATCCTTTCTATTTCTGTGTCACTAGTAGGTGTGCTGCTACTAAAAGAAAAGTAATTACCGTAGTTTTTTTTAATAATAAAAGTCAAAATGCCCTTCTTTAAAAATGGTTAACTTTGGGTACATTCTACATACCGACCCGTAATATAGCTTATTTTTGTAAATACCCTCTTCCAGAAGGGCTTTATATGTTCACATGCCCACCACATGTGAAATGTTGTACCTGTACTATATTTTAACCTCTCCAGCATGATGGTGGGATACTTTTATTAATATAGCTACACTGTAATGATGTCAAATTTATTAAGGAAACAGAAACCAGAAATTAACTAACTGGACATCACCCACCCAAAATTGCATTTATAAAGTCCATTAGTATATATTAATAAAAACACTTCTGTATAAAATGTCTTACTGTTTCTCCAAATGGCATATAAATTCATTGAGGCATTTTCATCCTGGTCTTCTACAATATTGTCATCAGTAGGGAAGGGACTTTAAATTAGTGATGACAAAGTAATTACTTGCTTTACAGAAGGTGCTAGGTTGAGTTTTTATCATATCCAACTACAAAGGATGTTAGGCAGCAGGACTGCAAGGACTTCTGCCTGAAACCACAGAGAACAACTGTCGATCACGGTACACTACGTGAGCCAACAGGCAGCTTCCTATGTCCATATATCGTCCAATCAATTGTCTACGGCCTAATTTTATTTCACTAGTGGATGAACAGCTGTCACTTTCCCCTGAGGGAGATTGTGATATATCTCCTGCAGATGTTTAAGCGAGTGAGTTTGTTCATCATCAAGGCATCCATCACCCATATATGCCATGTACCTCTTCTCTAAACCACTGTAGTGGGTACGTCATTATTCTTCCAATTTTTGTGAGTGGTACTCCAGCTGCCGTTATCAGATTCTTTACAAGGTCTCTGTGATCATTCTTTATACTGTTCTTGGCATATTCTAACAGGAACTCTTGTGAGGTTTTTCCAATTTTGTAACTTATTATCTCTCTGGTGTTTTTCGCAGCATCCTATCAATATTTTTAATATAGTGTTGCTGCTGCCAAGTGTATCTATGGGCCTTGCACTTTTCTTTTGACACCAATATTTTTGAAGGTGTCATCATGATTTATTTTTTTTAAATGAAAGAATTTTAGAGCAGTTTTCTTTCATCGCCACACCGACTGTGCTTTTTTTCTTTTGAACAAGTATAATTCTGGCAAGATGCTGAAATTTAAATCTGGTATTTCTTACTTTTGCTATTCAATTTCTTTTACTCTTTATATTTTTTTGATAGCATTCCTGACATCTTTGTAAACTTACTCAGTTTTTTAAAGTGCTTCAAGAATTTTAACCCTGCACAGTAGACAAAAACATTAAAAGAAACAACGCAAGACCCAGAACAATGATGCATTAAAATATTCAATAAGCAGCACATTCCATTATTGATATTCCATCTGGCAAGCTGCCATGCTTGTGTAGATGGAACGATTGGAAGAGGGCAACAAAACTGAATTCTACCCAGGGCCAATGAAATAGGCGAGAGAGATTAAAATCTGCAGACTCAAAGTTGCTATTTCGTAGCCTGAGGCAAGGGATAAGATGACACCCTTTATTTTGCATACAGAAGCTGAATAGATGGGCAGCTGATTCATACTTCAACACTGATGGTGGAAGAGCACACTCCATGACACCTAAGGGAAGGTTGCTACAATGAAGCGCAGTGCTCTAAACCACCAAGCCTCTTGGGCTTGCCAATCGGAAGGTCGGCAGTTCAAATCCTTGTGACGGGCTGAGCTCCTGTTGCTCTGTCCCAGCTCCTGCCAACCTAGCAGTTCAAAAGCATGCCAGTGCAAGTAGATAAATAGGTACTGCTGTGGTGGGAAGATGAAGGGCGTTTCTGTGCACTCTGGTTTCCGTCACGGTGTTTCATGCACCAGAAGCGGTTTAGTCATGCTGACCACATGACCCAGAAAGCTGTCTGTGGACAAATGCCTGCTCCCTCGGCCTGAAAGCAAGATGAGTGCTGCAACCCCATAGTCGCCTTTGACTGGACTTAACCGTCCAGGGGTCCTTTACCTTTTACCTTACAATGAAGTCAGGTGGTATTTTTTCCAGAATCTCCCCCCCCATGCTTTATTTTCCCATGAATTCTTCTTCTTATTAATTTCATAAGATCATTAGCTACGATAAATGGAACCAATTTCAAATACTATATTAGGCAAGCTTGGCCATTTCAAAGTTTTTAGCTTTGTTTCCTAAACACAGATAACATGCTAAATTAGATCATGCTTAAGGACATCTAACTATCCAAATTTTTCTTGAAAACCCATATCATTGGTAGGCTAATTTAGGGGTTGCAGAACAGGCTGTGTGGCACATGGTATACTCCAGTAGAATGGAGCACTGTGCTCCAGCACCTGCCACCTGAAGCGATCGCCTCAGTATATCTAATAGTAGAGCCAGCCCTTTCCAGGCTTGATAACACCATTAAGAATTCTTGAGGTGGCCCCTCAACACAGATAAATTTATGAAGCTAAGCTCATCATGCTGATTGCATCTTTTATTTGCTGGTAACAATTATTATAATTGATTGTTCACTGCAAATTGCTCTCTGAGATAAATAAGATCCAGAATAAGGGACGAGTTGATTAGAGTTATATTCTAGAGTCTGGTTTTATTTTTTTAATGGGGGAAGGGAATTGATAGTTGCACAAAGGTTAGCTAAAAATCCTTTCACCCCTCTTGACTTTTTGCAATATAACCTAAGCCTCCTGTAAATTGCATTGATAAGCTGGCACAACGATGCACCTTGAAAATGAATGAATGCAATGATGGAATGTAAACATTTCCAAACACCTGCAGTGATCTGGGCTAGATGTATACCAACAAGCAGGGAGATGGCAGAGAGACAGGGCCATGTTTGATTTCTCCTTGAATCCAAGGCTGCGGCTATGGAAGAAACAAGACCCTTTTGGCGTGTTAATGCTGTGAACCTTGCCATCATAGGCTCACGTTGTATATACACGTAAATAAGCTATATATCATAAAGACACTACAGTCTGCACTGTGCCTCATTCCAAAAGAAAACATAAACCCTGGGTAAGCGCCTGGAATCTTGCACCGCTCAGAGATTGTGGTGGCGTGAAACAATAATATTCATTAATGTCAAGAATGCATTCATTATGTTATTTCCTGCAGTACAAAGATATTCTTTTAAAAGAACAAATAGCCAACAAAGCAAACTCCCTTTCCACATTGTAACAACAACAACAACAACAAACCTCACTTTGCACAACATAGTTTCTTAGACCCTTTCCTTGAGATTTGCCTCTGGATAAAAGTGGGAAGTGTTCTCTACAGCTCCTTATACCTATGTCTAGGTATTGGTAGTTTTGTGGGCCTAGTTTATGGCTCTTTTGGGGGGGGAAATGGGTTCGTTTACAATGGCCTATTGCAGAAAAGGAATAAGGGAAAATCATTCTCTGTAAATAGACTGCATTAGAGGAATGTTGGTTGATTGCATCGCTCGATCTTTTTTGTGATTGTTTCCATTATGGTTTCATTTGGAGGCAGAAAATTTCCAATTTGTCTAGCCCTGTGTGTCCCATCCATCTTCATGGTGGTGTTGAAGGGTGATTTTTGTTCCCTTGTAGTTAAAAACGGCTTCAGATTAGGAAGTTTCATCCAGAAGCGTGCTGATGATGATTGTAAGATTTCCACCACAAACCTGGCTAACTGTGAAAAGTAACTTTTCCAGCAATTGTCTCCTGGAAGTAAAGCTGCCGAAACCGTTTTTCTTCTTTGCTCTTGCATGTCAACACGTTTGGCTTATTTTGAAAGCACTTCAGTGTCTGGCAACGATATGGTGCTTGCAACAAAGCAAGTGGAACAGCGGATGCAAAGCCTGGAATGGATAAAAGGAAGGTTCAGAATTCCTTTAGAAATCTCAAATAGAACTTGGCAAACGGTCACAAGCGGCTTCCTATCATAGCTAGACAGGAAGTGTCATATTTGATAAGTAGCATTTGAGCTTTGAAGCAGGAGTTTACACTTTGGGAGATATTTCCCCCCCCTATTGTTAAGTGGAGACAAAACAATCCCCTGGCAGCAAAACTTTCTCAAATGTGAATCAGGCTCAGCTAGCTAAAGGTTGTGAGAACTGTTCATTCAGAATTAGAGAAATTGGCAAGTGTGCGTCTTAGGCAAGTTTATTCAGAAGTACATACCCATTGCGCTCAGTGGGGGTTTGCTTCCTAGTTAGTGAATTTAGTGTTATAGCCCTAAGCATATTTCTTGCTTAATTCGGCAATATCCATATTTGATCGGGTAGCATCTTCAGGAGAAGCGTGGCCTCGTAGCTGAATGTTACCCATGTACCATGTACATCAATGAAAGATCTTAGAATGATATGGATAGAAGCTTGGCTATATTGGTCTCAGTTGCTACTACAATTAGTGGGCGAATGCTGCTTGTACAAGCAAATAGAAATGCTTAGAAATGGGGTACAGCATTAGCCCCATGATCCCCAGACCCAGAAAATATGACATTTGACTAGTATTTTAGAGATGCAATCAGATAATGGCATGTGGTTGTACCCTGGCTTATGGCTTTGTTTTTTGTTTTTGCTTAGTCATGGGCTTGCATCTTTGATTTTTGGGGCTGGCTGAGATTTTTCCATAGCACCTCCTTAATGGCAGATGTAGCTATCCCCCCCCATCCCCTTGAAAATTAACTTATATATATATATAATCTCAGTAGGTGTTGGGATATTCTTTAATAGAACAAATATGTGAGTCATGAATTTACCTTCTGCTTCAGGTTTCTAAAATCTTGCAAGTGTTCACTGCAAACTAGGAAATGGAATTTCAATAAGAGAAAAAGAAATTGGTCCCCCAAGGGTCAGTTGTATCCATAGTCAGTGTTATATTTCTGTCTGGACTACAGTGATGAATGCAATTCCTTGATGGATAGTTTGAAGGCCAGTGGCCTTTGATCTGCAGATGGTAGCAGGGCAAAGGAAAGGAGGAGGCCTACAACTGATGGTAAATGGTATTTTCAAAGTGCATAGCTCAAGTGGGAATAAATCCAAATTGTGATAGTTCCTGAACTGTCCTGGAATGTATGAGTCACCAGCCTGGCAGCAGAGACTTTCTCTAGTGCCCCAGGGCAGGTGCCTGAGACCTTGAGATTCCTTTCTTCTTTAAGGTAAGCCTTTAGCCCTCCTAGGAAAAAAGTTGTGTGTGGGGGGGGGGGAGTGCAGGTACCTACTAAGTTACCGTATTTTTCGCTCTATAAGATGCACCAGACCACAAGACGCACCTAGTTTTTGGAGGAGGAAAACAAGAAAAAAAATATTCTGAATCTCAGAAGCCAGAACAGCAAGAGGTATCACTGCGCAGTGAAAGTAGCAATCCCTCTTGCTGTTCTGGCTTCTGTGATAGCTGCCCAGCCCTGCATTCGCTCCATAAGACGCACACACATTTCCCCTTACTTTTTAGGAGGGAAAAAGTGAGTCTTATAGAGCATAAAATACAGTATTTCTGTGAGTGTGATGTGACCAGCTTAATTTGCTTAACTAGGTGTGCTTAATGTTATATGAACTTGATGGTGAGCCTGGATAGCTCAGCTGGTTAGAGCATGGTACTGCTAACTCCAGTGTTGCAGGTTGGATCTGTATAGGACAGCTGCATATTCCTGCATTTCAGGGGGTTGGACCAGATGGTCCTCAGGGTCCCTTCCAACTCCACAAATCTATGATTCTGTGATATCTGTCCTCAAACAGAGATTTTCATTGTTAGCTTTGGTTTCGCTCCCTTCACCATGTCTTATCAACTCCCCAAAGTGATGAGATGTGCTTAGAAAAGCATACACTTCCAAAGGCAGAAGGAAATGGAAAAAGCTGGATTCGGTGCCTGTTTCACTCTGGGTTTCCCCCTTGAGTGTACCTGATTTCTAGTGGGACCCTGTTGGGTTGATTTTTGATGAGTTGCATCATCGCCTATATCATTGTCTTGAGATGGGGATGCTGGCAATGCCATGGTCTTGCTGTGTCTGACTGCACAGGTTAGCAGGATGTTTCTCTGCCTCCCCTGAATCTGAAAGTGGCTCAGGTTCACTGTGGCTGTAACAACAGGTGTAAGTGATCATAGGTGATAAAGATTCTCAGATGTGTGCCCATGGCAGGGGCATTATGTGAGAGGTACCGGGGGCCGTGGCCCCGGTGCACAATTTTTGAGGGTGCACAGCCCAGGTGTTCCTCTCCGTGGGTGTCACCACATCGGGGGGATTCGCCTTCCAAGGACTGCATTGGCCAGCTGGGCTCCCCCCTGCATGGGTGGGCAGGCAGCTCAGCACAGCCCTACTTTGCTTCAGTGGGAGTGGGCTCACTCTGGCAGCGTTGGAGGAGAGGGTTGGACTAGTAGGCTCCGTTCACCCTCCATGCCCCCTCACCCAACACCTATGCTCGCGTGCCTTGCCTAACTCCTGTGCGCATGCCCCAGGCGACGGCAAGCAATGCTACGCCACTGTTGCCACACAGAGGCTTTGAGGTGTCTGCCTTATAATTCATGGTTATTGCTTTACCTCTTGATATGGTAATGAGATGGTATAAGTTACCAACCAAAGTTGTTGGCTGCATGCTGATTGTTTTCAAAGGAATTCTTCTTCTTATGCAATCACTTATAGCCGAGTAAGATTGTCTTCCATAAACACAGTTTTAACGATGAGTCTGTAAGTGACTGTGGAGGCCAATTCTGGAACCACACGACCTTCCACAGTGGGGACATTGGTTACAAGAACCACCACCAAGTTGCTCTATATATCCTACTTGCAAGTTTGCCACAGGCATCTTGTTAGCCACTGTGAGAAGAGGATGCTGCACCTCAGATGGACCATTAGCAGGATTCAGCAGGCTTTTCCTGTATTTTTATGGCTGTCCCAAGGTCACCCATGAGCTTCATATGGCTGAGTGGAGTTTTGAACCTTGGTCTCCTTGTATCTCCATTACTCCATATCAGCTCCCCTCAAGACTGAATCTCCTCAGGTATATGCATGTCTCAGGATTAGCTTTAAAATGTTCTCATTAAACTGGCCTGGCAGCTGCCAAGAAGTGGTGCTAACTGAATTTATGGAGACATGTTCTCTATTTTATATGCACTCATCTGAACAACTGTATCCACTTGGAGGCTTAAACACACTGCCCTTCCACATCATGTATTCTCCTTACTTAGCAGTTTGTGTCGGATAAAAAAGAAGAAACAGTTTAATGCAGTCATCAAACACAAGGTGACCCCTATTAGCAGCTCTGATTGCCATAGTTTCCAGATTTCAGATCCTGGCTTTTCTTCCAGGCTTCCAATCTCCAGCCTACAGACATTTTTAATTCCCACTCTCCACTCTATGCTTACCATTCAGCTTTCCCTCCTCCGTACGTAGCACAATGCTGCTTTTTGGCTGTTCGGAGAGAATTAAATTGCAAGAGTGAAAATTCCATCTTAAAAGCATACAAGATGCCATTCAACGAGTTTTAGTCAACACAATGCAACAATGCATAGCTTTGTGTTTACAAGTCATGAGCCAGGTGCTTACACCAATTGTAACAATCAATTTCTCAAATGTGGCAAAGAAAGGTCACATCTCACTTCTTATGAGTCCATGCCTTTCCCTTTGTTGGGCTTGAAAATAATACTTCTCAAATAATAATCCTCAAGCCGCATCCTGTGGTTCAAGAAAGTGTTGTTCACAGGTAGGGTTTTTTTGTGTTGCTTTTGGAATTGTTGCCAATACTAATAGGGGATTCAAGTGGAATATGCAACAAAACGTTGTGGGGTACCTCCCACTCCTGTGTGTGCATTTTATTCAACGGTAATAATGGTAGCTTCCTCTTAGTGCTTGTGGGATTCATTTGATAGTGATGTGGAAAAAATTCCAACCACATCCTCTGGTGAAAGCCTGGGACTTCACAGCCAGATGCACAAGAAATGCTCTGCTGGTCATTTGACATAATATGCCAGTCAAATTCATTATTTTAGGGCTCAATTCAGACAGAGCATTTTCCACACAGCAGTTCCCCTCCACATCTCTGTGCATGATGGGTGACCCTGAGGAAGGTTCTGAACCCTGATAATCTCTCTCCCGCTCCCTTAACATTCTTCTATCTTTAATAAATGCAGTGCCACCGTGATTTTTCTTCAGAGTTGTGAGGTAGGGCCTTGTTGTTCCAATTTTACAGAGTACTACACATCCGTCATCACAGCTATCTTTACAAGAACCTTGTGAGGTTCTGTCATGATTATTATCCTCTTACTGCAGGGACTGAGGCTGAGAGACTAGTGAGTTGATGGCCGCTGTGAAATATGGAAGCGGTCCTTGGCAGCGCATCGTCTTAGATACTGCGCTCTGCCAATTCTAGCAAATGTAAGAGCGTGTGGCATTAATCTTCACGAAATTATATCTGAACTGCCTCAGAATGGTTGAAAAGGAGTAAAGTCAGTTACTGGTCAATTTTAGAAATGCTATTATCTGAACTACATCCGGACATTAGGAAATAGCGATGAAATGGAACTGAGCAAAACCTTCCAGTAGGTCATCCCCCCGGTAGGCTGAACTCCACACACCTCGTCACAAAGTGACGTCAGATGGCACCCCAAATCAAGTCAACTAAAAGGACAATCCATTAACACCAGCTGTATTTTTTGTAATGGCTATATGAGGTGCTTTTTTTCTGGGGGGACGCAGGGGTATGCATACCCCTAAACATTTTGTGAATCTAAGTTTGGCCTCATTGAGGGGCAGTATTTCAATATGAGTAGGAAAATGAGAGTACCCCTAAACATTTTTTTTAAAGAAAAAAAGTACTGGCTATATGGACATGGAAAAGACACATGCCCGGGAAGCTGAAAATTAGGTTCTTTATTGAAAAGGATAGGTAAGTAAATAAGTGCCTTTAAAATGCAGTTGCTCACAATTTGAAAGCATACAGGTGCCTTATTAAAACCATCACTGCTCCATACATCTCACTTTGGAAACCCAACCAGCTAGTTTTATTGATTTCAACGCTTTCTTCAGGCATTTTGAAGGGAGACTTGTAACTGAACAAAGCATTTTTCAAAAAAATATTATTGAAAAAAACGTTGCTTGTGAACCTCACAAATGCAAACATAACAATATGTGGATGACAACTTCTAATATACAGTATTTCCTTTTGGCTGAATAATGTTCATAATGGCTTTCTAATGGATAAATGTGAGGCTGAGTTTGGCACATAGAGACCGTTGTGATCTATATGCCACTCTCTCAGTTTCCCTCTAAGATGCCTAATGAAGACAGACTTGTGTGAAATCTCTCTGAACAGATAACTTGCATTGTGACAACTTAATTCTCCTTCAGATAGCTGCCTTTTTCTTTACTGAAAAGTAAAGTCATATGCCTAAATCATTCTTGAATCAATTGCCCAGTTTACTGAAAATCATTCTTGAATCAATTGCCCACAGGTATGGATGTCAGTTAAAAGGAAGAACATGGTAGCTAAACCTCAAGACAGTGTGATGAATTCTGCATAATAAACCATGCAACGAAATGGCACCTGAATGAATGCAATTAATGCCTGTGTCAGCAGAGACAAGAGTTATCAAAAGTTCCCAGAGCATATGTATGTGTAAAGCCAACATGCTGGAAATGAGGCATTCAAGTGAAACTCAAGATGTGTGTCATTTTCTTTTTTAAAAAATTGCTTGGTTCACAAAAATGTGCATTGTCTTTTTTCAAGTCATACCGCCCTTTTTTACATTCAAATACATCCTATGTTATGTTCCTCAGATATGCTGTCACAAATATTGCAATGGGGTGCATTTTTTTTCCAAGTAGCAGTTTTAATCAGAGATGCTAGGGCTGCTTAGGTCAACAGGCTAGAGTGATGTGGTCCTGGGCTACTTGCATTGCATAATACACTTGTTTCAGCTATTACGTTTCAGAGAATATGAGTTGTACCACTAGAGGATGAGTTCTCTGTCCCCCTGTTCATCATAAACAAGGCAGTAACTATATTGCTTAGTTCCAATGTGTAAACAGAGGTGAGCATTAGGGCTTTCATTTTTCTAGATGACGCACAGATAAGTAGAGGACTCATAGTGGCCTTTCCCCCATAAACTTGGGATGTGACACAGTCTGAATTGTCCTACTGAGCCCAGACTAAATTGCAGAGTGGAAATGGCTAGGAACTGGTATTACAAACGGGCAGCACATGTAGAAAATCAATGCTTCTGCTCTTCATGAGGGGAAAGGTCCGTTTAATCTATAAGCCGTTGCTTCTTCCCTTCTATGGAATTAAATCCCACAAAGTAATGGCCACCTACTTATATGGCTTTAAAAGAGAATTAGACAAATTCATAGAGGATAATGTTATCAGTGGTTAATAGACAAGGTTGCTATGTTCTCCCTACACTGTTGAAGGCAGGGTACTTCTGAAAACCAGCTGCTGGGAATCACAAGTGGGGAAAGTGGTATTCTGCTCATGTCCTCCTTGGGGGCTTCCCATAGGTTGACCACTTTGAGAACAGGATGCTAGATGAACTGGACCTTTGGCCTCATCCAGCAAGGTGCTCCTTAAGCTTTTCAGCATCTCTGTGTAGCAGATCCCTCTTCTCGGCAAGTAAATAGTAGAAGGAAGACCATGGTGGCTTTTGTGATATTACACTGCAAGAAGTAACCAGCAGACAGAAATGCTGTGTAGGTGGTCTGTCAGAAAGAAAAGTCAGGATTTGATAGGGACATGGCTGCACTGTACAATGCTCTTGTATGGGAAAGATAAATATCTAACTGAACCTTGTGACTAAAGGTTTATTTGAAGAAAGTAATGAGGATCCCGTTTGCTGCATTTATACCAGAGATGGGGAAGCAGCAGCCTCTCAAGTGGTGTTGCACTCCCAGCATGGCCTACGGTCACCCTGGAGGACCATAGGTTTCTCACTCCTGGCTTAAGGTCATAGGTCTGCATGATGGAGGACTTGGCCCTTTATTTCCAATGTGTTTCTGCTTTGCCTGCCCACTCTATTGGTTATCCACAGGGAGTCTATAGAGTGCCTTGGATATCTGTGCTTTGCCGTTTCCACAAAAAACATCAGCTCCACAAAAGTGATGCATCTTATGCTGTATTGGCAAGTCCTGCTATTTGTGAATGGGAGCACACAGTGGAACGAAGTGCATCCCGCTGATCTTAACGCACTGGATTGGAATTAACAACAACTTTAATTATTTTTATTGGATTGCTTTTCTGTTTTGTTAAGAGCTCCTTGAGTCGTTGATTAAAAGTTTAAAGAGTATTATTCTGAGAAGATGATATGGAACACTGTTCCGTTAAAGGTAAAGGTAAAGGGACCCCTGACCATTAGGTCCAGTCGTGGCCGACTCTGGGATTGCGGCGCTCATCTCGCTTTATTGGCCGAGGGAGTCAGCGTACAGCTTCTGGGTCATGTGGCCAGCATGACTAAGCCGCTTCTGGTGAACCAGAGCAGAGCACAGAAATGCCGTTTACCTTCCCGCCGGAGTGGTACCTATTTATCTACTTGCACTTTGAGGTGCTTTCGAACTGCTAGGTTGGCAGGAGCAGGGACCGAGCAATGGGAGCTCACCCCATCACGGGGATTCAAACCGCTGACCTTCTGATTGGCAAGTCCTAGGCTCTGTGGTTTAACCCACAGCGCCACCTGCGTCACCGTTCCGTTAGATCAAAAGAATAGAGTGAATAGGGCTTTTTGTCCCTAGTGAGAGAGCAGTGTCCATGGAAGGTTGGCTCTAACGTTGCTTACCCTTCATGAAAATGGGCCAGCAGTGAGATAAGCCTCTTGGTCATTTGATGCTACCTTATATTGAGCTAGACCCACTGGTCCTCTAGTTCAGTATTGTATGCTCTGACTGGCAATGGCTCTCTAGTTTGCAGGCAAAAGTCTTTCTTATCCTTGTAACTGGCGATGGCAGGGACAAAACCTGGGTCCATCAGTACACAGAGTACGTACTTTGCTACTGAGCCATCTCCAAGAGTCCTCCTCTAAGATTCATCTTAGATGTAGCCACATCTGGGTTATGGACCTGGAATGGGTGCAAGCTTGTTGTGTGTTTCTGCTAACAGTGCAGGCAATAAAGGGCAATGTATCTTCCAGCCAACTGAAGCTGTGAAGGCATCAGTGACGCTTCCTCTCTTGCTTTCGCCCCAACTCTGCAATGTACAGTGGGAGCCTTTATTTTTAAACCAGCATTTGGAATTCAGTGTTTCATCACCTCTTCCTTTATATAACAGAGCGTGTGTCGCAGTACAAATATTTGGACCTTTTTTCTTCTTGGGGCGGGGGAAGAGTGATATAGGATCAGCTTTACCTCTTTCAGCATTAATAGAATGCCTCGTCTTTGCTGCCATTTATAAGAAAAGGAACCCCCTGGTGTCCTTGCAATCGCCATCTATTTTGCTGTTTTTCTCTGCGGTGTTGTGTAGCCAGGACTGGTGTAGGTTTATAAAGCCACATATGGTAACATGTCATAAACAGTCACAGATTTCACAAACATTTTGTATTGGGGCAAAAAAATATCCAGTTACCATATTTTTCCATGTATAAGACTAGGTCCCCCCCCCAAAAAAAATGTCCAAAATTTGGGGGCGTCTTATACACGGGGGTTATCTCCCCCCATTTTCTTAAACCCGAGTCCCCCAGAATAGGGATCGTCTTATACATGGGGACGTCTTATAGACGAAAAAATACGTTAATTCCCCACTCTACCACAAATGTATACAAGGTAGACAGTAAAACGACACCTTATTTCAACAAAATTCCCCTAACAGTAATAAAGAAATAAAGAAGGGGTAAGTACAAAGAAAAAGAAGAAAGAAATAGGGAAAGTAGGTAGAGGAGATAAAGAAGAGGTAGAGATTTGTACAGATGTGTGGGCAACAAACTTTCAGTTTTCGAATGAAGTATTTCTATACCTCAGCTATTTTATTGGCTTGGTTGGTTGTTGTTATATTTTAAAATTATATATCTTGCTGGTGCTACCTGGATGTGATCAGAGCCTGGATAGCTGTCAATTGCAGTTTTATTTTTAGCCCATCATTCACGTCTCAAATCCCATGTCAGCAAAAAGCTGTAGTGGAAGACAAGGCAAACTGTGGCTTTAGTATGAGTTGGAAGAAATAAGGAGTGATTTTGATAGGTTTGTTATGTGATAAACTGTTTCAAGTGAATATGAGTTTGAATAAATCATAATCAAAGGTTGGGGGATTGTTTGGCCTTCCACATATTGCTGAACTACAACTCTCATCACCCTTGGGTATGCTTGCAGGTGCTGATGGGAGTTGTAGTTCAGTCAACATTTGGAAGAAGGGCACAGGTCCTCCATATATGGTATAAAGAGATCATTGTTTTCTGAACTGCAAGATACTTAGTACGTTCCCATCTCCCTATGTATATAAAGACTGAGGGACCGAAAGATGTCAAGAGCTGCAATTCAGTTCAGAATGCAAGAACGTTTCTGGAAATTGGAGGAGGAAGGAGACAGCCTCTCATCCGACAGCCAGTTTTGATGGCGAGTAACATTGCTTTCTGGCCCTGTAAACTAGCAGCTACATAACAGCACAGTGAAAGACTCTGAAACCAAAGGAGGGAGGGATGGGAAGCCCTTTAACAACTGGCAAGCAGGAATGTGTGCAGTGGAGGGCAACCAGGAAGATCAAGGATCTGGAAACCAAGCCTTATGAGGAACAGTTGACGGAGCTGTGTATGTTTTGCCTGGAGAAGAGGAGACTGAGAGGAGATATGATAGCCACCTTAGAATATCCCTGGTGCTGTCACATGGAAGATGGAGCAAGCTTGTTTTCTCCTGTTCTTGAGGCTAGGACCCGAAGCAATGGCTTCACGTTACAAGAAAAGAGATTCCAAATAAACGTTAGGAATAACTTTCTGATAGTAAGAGCTGTTCAACAGTGGAATGGACTCCCAAGAGAGGTGGTGGACTCTCCTTCATTTGAGGTTTTTAAGCAGAGGTTGGATGACCATCTGTCATGGACGCTTTTGTCGAGGTTCCTGCATTGCAGGGGGTTGGACTGGATGATCCTGGGGGTCTCTTCCAACTCTTCCATGAGTCTATGACCATGAGGGCCCACCACCTTTAATAATAATAATAATAATAATAATAATAATAATAATAATAATTTATTATTTATACCCCACCCATCTGGCTGGGTTTCCCCAGCCACTCTGGGTGGCTTCCAACAAAATATTAAAATACAGTGGTCTATTAAACATTGAAAGCAAGAAAGTAAGGCCTCAGTGAGATCCTACAGCGCATTTCCCCCTCTCCTGGCAGCAAATCAGCCCAAGATGCACATAGCTGCATTGGACCATAAAATAATGATCAGCTGGAATGGAAACAAATCAGTCTGATTGAATGGCTTCTGTTGGGCAGTGGTTGCCGAAGGGCCAAAGGCAGCTTCTCAGCAGAGTCAGTAGAATAGCCCTGTGTCTCCCTCAGTGCAGTCTTAATCATGTAATGCACAAACATCAAATGGCCATGCATACAAAGGTTTTTAAATATTGGATCCACAGGGAAATCATATATTTTGACTCACCAGGTGGGGCAAAGGTGCTGTGGTAGCTTCCCAGCAGGTCGGTTGGTGTTGCTTACTGGGAAAGAGGGGCAAGGCTTGACTCCACCAGTGCCATTCTACTGTGCCGAACTCCCCTCTGCCTCTCTCACTCCTGGTCATCGGCAGCAACCCACTTGCCAGGAAGCCAGTGTAGCACCTCTGCCACACCTGGCAAGCTGTTTCTAGATTCATGTGTGGTCCTCTTGGCATTCAAGCATATCACACTGCAGCAGAGATTCTACAGGTGTGCAGGTTGTGGCCAAAGACATGTTATTTATTGGGCATGGTTTGATAATGATTGTGTTCGGTGTAGAAGAAAAACTTAGGAAGTGGTTTAATTTTGTTTGGAGAGCTAATCTAAGGAAAGTTCCTGTCCCCGTTCTGAAATTCAATATTCATAAATAGCTGATGAGACATAAGAAGGAGACCTTTATTAAAGAATATCGGTTGGAATTGACACAAGCTTTGGAGACTCGTGATAAGACAAAATTTTGGAAATTGGTGACTGATATGGAAGGTCGCTCTTCTCCAAAAGATGAGTGTCACATTGCGGAACTATGTAGGAGGAATTTTTTTGTACAGCAGTCTAATGATCTAATGATGCTTAATGAGTTTCAGGGGGGAGGAATCAGTCTGTACCCATGAAGCTGTATTATATTGAGACAGATCATTGATCCCTCTCTGTAGTACCGTCTACTTTTCCTGATGGTGGCTAGTTTTGACTGCCTGAAGTCCTGTTTAACTGGAGCTGCTGAACCTTGCTTGCTTTCTGTCCCCTTTCCCCATATAATATATAAATCCTCTATTGCTATGGTTACTGTTTCCATTGCCTGGTGTGGGCAGCCTGGTAGAAAGAGTGCACTTGCTGCTACCCTGCAGCTTTTTCCTTACTGAGTGCTTGCTACAGCCCTATTGAAAATGTAAATTATCTGTATATCAAATTAGTTTTAAAAGCTACCTCCAAATATGGCGTATCCGTTTCCTTCCCACCCCCAGCCCCAAAATCGTTAACAGTGTTCATAAGGGGGAAAGTATGCTCGTTTGTGGGGTCCTATGCAGCTACGTGGATTTCTCATTAATACAGTAGCTTTCCAGGGATCAGAGATGGATTTAAATCTAACATGTTGTGGTATACTGGATTAATCCAGTGTTGGCAGTGTTTATGGAACTGAGCAACTTTTATGGTAATACAGACAATTAGTGCAGCTTATTTGCTCTAAATACAAATCGTATCCACAGGAGAAACACAGTAGATGCTGCCAAGTCTCATAAAACTTGCTTGCCTATGGCTCATGAATTAGTGTGCTAAGTAGTTGAGAAGGACACATTGGTGCTGGGCTTCTGGATGGAGCACGTCACACCTTAATGATGAAGATGATGATATTTGTTTGTTTATTTATTTATTTATACATGCCCTGCCCATCTGGCTGGGTTTCTCCAGCCACTCCGGGCGGCTTCCAACCGAATATTAAAAACACAATACAGCATTAAACATTAAAAACATCCCTAAACAGGGCTGCCTTCAGATGTCTTTTAAAAGTAAGATAATTGCTTATTGCCTTGACATCTGATGGGAGGGCATTCCACAGGGCGGGCGCCACTACGGCCCTCTGCCTGGCTCCCTGTAACCTCACTTCTCGCAGTGAGGGAACCGCCAGAAGACCCTTGGCACTGGACCTCAGTGTCCGGGCTGAACGATGGGGGTGGAGATGCTCCTTCAGATATACAGGACTGAGGCCGTTTAGGGCTTTAAAGGTCAGCACCAACACTTTGAATTGTGCTCAGAAATGTACTGGGAGCCAATGCAGATCTCTCAGGACTGGTGTTATGTGGTCCTTCAGGTATACAGGACCGAGGCCATAAGCTATACCATAAAGGGTTTCCCCACTGGGATGCAGCCAGATGCCTCTCCCCTCCCATCTAAGGGCCCAGCTCAATGCGTTTGCTGCCATTGCAAAGTTGTGACATAGTAGAAATGGAGATAGGTGGAAACCCCGCAGAACCATGGCCAATCCGTCTGTGGGTAAAATTCCTCCATGGTCATGAGAAACGGGGGCCGACCCATGTCCTTAACAATGCTGCTGGTGGAATTTTCTTCTAAAGGAGATTCCTCTTCACTAAACCATTTACTTAAGGAGTGGGTAGGTGGATAAGCCTTGAAGGAGAAAACTGGATGAAGGGCGGAAGCCGGTGTGGGCCTCCTTGTTACACTCCCGGTGTGGACTTGACCAGAAAAGTCTTCAGTCAAGTCCACTCCTAGGCTCCACCCAGGGGAGCCAGAGAGCTGGCTTTGATTGGTTCCCTGGCGGAGGAGGCCCTGCCCCCTTGTGACTGCACCATAGTGTACTTGGCTGAATGGAAGGAAGAACTGCTCCCCCTGCGTCACTGCAAATCATGGCAGTCAGGATGGAAAAGTGAACCTGGGCTTTTCCTCGATGCCACTAGCTTCCAAGTCTGCAGCTCAAGTAGGTCTCCTGGTCTCTAAAAGGCATAATCTTACCATGATTTGGGGAAGACTCACAATGATGGGCCAGTGGTATAAGACAGCTTCCTTTCTTCCTTTATCTTAATTTATTAATTAATTAATTTATAATAATTTTTGGGGGGGAATTTTATTTACAACATAACACAAACCCCCCTTCCCCCAACACAGAAATCCACCCCCTCAGACACAAACATAACAAACAACAAGCATAACATACAACAATACAAACAACCAAATAAAAGACTTCCTTTATCCTGTTTCTGACATCCTTATTTACTTCTTATAAGCTGTTTCCTTTATGAATAATTATTAAGATTTTTCTAATTATAACTTAAATATCCACAAAGTCTCCTGCAGACATTAATCGAAACAAGTCCAGGTATGAATTTTAGGGCACTGTTTCGTGAAGTATTTTCTGCATTTTCCCCATGCTTTTTGAAATTCTTGTCTAGTATGATCTCTAACTGCCTTTATCTTAATTTAGAGTCGGAATGCTTGTAAAGACTTTCATATGCAACACTGCAGTGTAAATGATGGAATGACCTAATGCAGCAAAACTCATCTCCCCTCTCCCCTTCTTGTCTCATCAGGTGCAGGAATCAGAGCTGCTGGATATCAGCCTTGTCAAAGATGCCCGATGCGGGAAACATGCCAGAGCACCTAAGGTAGGTCACATGAGGAGGCCAAAGATTCTCCACTGCTGCTTTACCAGATTGTGTTTCGGAAAAATTCCCTATGGGTCACATTTTGTTCCTAAAAGTTGTCTCTCCAACCATATATGTGTCTTTGCATAACTGCAGCATAGCCGTACTTATAATGATAGCCTCAAGGTGCTTAATTAAGGGCTCTCTGGGAGAGGCAAGCATGCAATTTGAACTTCGTCTTGTACATTGACGGAAAGTCTATTATGTGGAACTTTTTGGATGTCATTGCGGAAGTGACTGTGTTGTGAAGCAAGTACATAATTTCACTTTAGTTTTGAGTGGCTATACCCTTGACAGCTGAATCGGAACTGTAATGTTAATTATGAAGTGCTCCTTTTTTAATAAACATTTAATAGATAGCGTAAGTAACTCATCATGTTTGCAAGAGATGCCTAAATTAAGTTTTTCTATTTTCTGCGTCTGTAAATTGGATGAGAAACCTGCATTGTTGAACCGAATGTACCTTCTAGATAATGGCTGTTTTTCATTTTCAACTTTTCATTAATGATCACACAAGTATGCAATCCAAATTCAAAGCTATGCTTGGTGGCACTTGAGGATTTCTCACGCATCTCACCAGCTATGCTTTATGGAAGCAAGTTGCCATCCTTGGCCTTTCTCAGTTTTGTTTTGCTTTTTAAATAGGCAGCTGCCGTGTGCAGGTAATTGTGTGCTTGGATGTATCATGTGACTATGGAATTGCTTTTCCTAAAGCATTTTAAAGTTTCTTCCTAAGGGCCTATTTCAGTGTCAGAAACTTTCCAAAAGGCTAGAATTGTAATTGAAAACCTATGGTAGCAATTCGTGACATGCACATAAATATCAAATTAGTGCTCCCTGATTATGGGCTTTATGATGAACAGCATGAGAACATTAACAATGGATAGAACATTATTTTAAAAAGCAGCTCCCTCCCCTTCCTTCTCTCTCTTTTTCTCTTTCTTTTTTGAGAGAAGTATGTTTCGCTAAGGTGCACATACAGTTATTTGCTCAGTGGGGTCTTGCTTTTGTTAAAGTGCATAAATGCTTTCCTTGCTGTTGTGCTCCACCAGTCAGTGGCAAGCAGCTTTCATTGCAAGCTGTTTGTAAAAAAGAAAAGAGGCCTTTCCTTTGCCTGGGGATGACATGCCTTACCTATGTGTGTGAGCTTGCCTGTTGCTTTGAGGTGAAAGGGTACCTTAGTAATGTGATAATGTGTTGGAAAATCAGCTAAAATCTGTTTGGTGCAGAGCATGGTTAATTGTGCAGTGAACCCTCTAGTAACAACTGGAAAGATCTGTGGCTTAAATGACTCCGCCCTTTCTCTTTTGCTGTCTCTTATGCCTGGAATTCTATCTTGGAACACCTATGTGATACTACAAGTTTTTGATGAAGCCTTCAACACACTCCTTAGTCCCTGTCTTCTAATGATATTGGGCTTAGGTACCGTATTTTTCGCTCTATAGGACGCACTTTTCCCCCTCCAAAAATGAAGGGGAAATGTGTGTGCGTCCTATGGAGCGAATGCAGGCTTTCGCTGAAGCCTGGAGAGCAAGAGGAGTCGGTGTGCACCGATCCCTCTTGCTCTCCAGGCTTCAGGCAGCTATCCGCAAGCCTTCGGAGTGCGGTGCGAGTTCCCGCCAGGCTCCAAAGGTTTGCAGATAGCAGCCTGCAGCCTGAAGCCTGGGGAGCGCAACGCCAACTCGTGCTGCACTCCCCGCGCTTCAGGCAGCTATCCGCGGACATATCCGCAGAAGCTATGACTTGGCTTCTGCCAAAGCCGCGCGCAGACTCTCCCAGCTGGAGAGGTTGCGCGTGGCTAAAGAGGAAGCCAAGACAGCCAGCGAAATAACTTTTTTTTCTTATTCCCCCCTAAAAACTAGGTGCGCCCTATGGTCCGGTGCGCCCTATGGAGTGAAAAATGCAGTATATCCTTCGCTTTTCCCCTCCCTCCCTCCCTCCTGATACGCCTCCTTCCTGCAAATCCTGCAGCCAAGCTGGTACCAAATGTATTGCTCTGCTTTCCTTTGAACCACATAAGTGAGGCCAAGAGGGGCAGATTGTCGTCTGGGCAGCCTGAGACCTCCATACACACTGCCCGGGTTACGCCCCAAGAAGTCACTTCAGTGCTAACACAGCAAAACAACACAGGAGGCAGCAGTTACAAGTTATTGGTCTCTGCAACCACAGCAGGCGCTGTGATTCTCCCGTGGTTTGACTTCAGCTCTGGAGGAACACTCCATTGTCTCTCAAGACAGATGGATGCCAACAACTCCTCCCCCGCCCCCATCCGCAGCAACCTCCTTTGTCAAATTTTAGATTGCAATCTTACTGAGTCAGGGACCTGTCATTATTTTTATTGTTGCTGTTTCACTTTAAAGCAGTCTTCTCGAACTGGTGTGCTTCATATATTTTTGACCACAGCTCTCATAATCCCTGGCTGTGTTGACTGGGACTGTGATGGAAGCTGGAGTTGAAAACATGTGGACAGCCACCAGGACGGGGAAGGCTGCTTTCACGATGTATATTTCTTGCTGCCATACTTCACAATGCAGGGTTACTCCAAGCTGAGATCTTTTACCTAAGCCTTTTCAGGGTAAAAAGGTCTCTCCCATTGGCTTCCATTGTGTATTGTGTTTATCATCACTTAAAACTCGTGGCGATGCAGGCTTTTGAAAGATAGATGACATTTAAAGCAAAAATGCAAAACAGAACTGCCTAGCCATTGGCCGTTTTTGCATCCTTCCAGAAAGTATCCCCAAGTCTCCATGAGATGTCAGCCCACTGTGAAAGAAGCAGCAGTTGTCATTGAGCTGTGTGTGACATGGACTAGTGCAGGATTGACCCAAGACGTTTTGCTGCCTGGGGCAAAAGTTCCAGTACTCATGGTGCCCTTACTTACTAGATTGGTAGCCTCAATTTTAAAGATGCCACCCTCAATTTTAAATATGCCAGTCATGAGTGGGTTTTCGCAGCCGTGCCTCAAGAATTATTTGACGTCTACCAGTAAATATTAATGATCTGCAGAGTCTCTCCTTTAGCTAAACATCCATCTCACAATCTCTGTAGAGCCACTCCCAAGCCAGTTACAATATTTCCATTGGTTCCAATTGCATTCTGAATAAATCACTTGGGATAAATGGCCCGATGTGGGTAGAGAAATGGAATCTCTGCCAGAAGCAATAGGAGGGCAGTCAAGAATAGAAGAAACTGAAGGGTGTTTCAGAAGAGAAATTCTTCAGGAACAGAAGGAAAATCAGAAAGATGGGGCGTGAAGATCTAGTTTTTACAGGGATGGTCAACTTTCTGTACCAGTGATGCTCTTCCATGCAAAAGAGATTCTCTTCAAAATGAAAACTAGCTTGCAAGGGTGATGGATTCTGGCATTCTTTCTCACATGCTACAATTCTTTGCACTGGGGTGTTTACTTTATGGAAGAGAGTTCCATCATGTGAACCCTTACCTGTCCTCAGAAACAGTTTGACAGCCTCCTGTGATGAAAAAGTTGGTTTTGCTGGACAGGTTGGTTTAACAAGTGTTTCTTTTTCTTTTTTTTCCTGCCAGCAAATGGTTAAAGAACGGCAGCCTCTGATTGGCCGTGGTTCCAGGAGGGAGAGTTTAAAAGGAGAGGTTGAGGAGGTGGGGTTGGAATTGAGGTTGGAGAGGCTGGGAGATAGGTAGGGAGACAGGTTAGGAGTCAGGTTGAGGTGTAAAGAGTGAAAGGGAAAAAGAGTTGGTTCTGGAAAAGAACTTCCATTATGAGTGTATTGTGAAGGACATTGTGTGGTCCTGTAGGAGGAATAGACTGGAATTTTACTGGGCGGCAGAGGTTGAGCCAGGAGAAGTAGGAGCTGGAAAGGAACAGCCTATTTGGGACTCAATCTAGTCTGGAGGGGAGAGATTCTTAAGAGAAAGCAGGAGACTCCCAAACCCAGTGAAGGGAGGGAGTGTGGAGAACGCTTGGGTCTTTTTCTTAAAGTACCTCAGAAGCAGGATTGTTAAAGGGGGTGGATAACTGAAAGAAAGTATTACCTTATAAAGGGACAGACCTATAACACAAAACAACTAAGGGTGAATTAAAGTGAAATAGCATTGTATTCCTGCAGTAACATAAGTTTTATCCACTTGTGTTATGTACTATCTTGACTTAAATAAATCCTTATTGTTTATTTAAAGAAAATCCACCTGAGACGCCAACTTACTGGTTATCCCCTCACAAAGGTCCCCCACAGGATAATCTGGGATAGTTTTATTAAAACAAAAGAAAAACCTTCAGGTAAATGGTTGTTCAATGAGGTGGGGGCAATTTATCTGAGAGCGGGCCCAACGGCGTGAGAGGAAAAAGTGTCATTGCGCCCATCACACCTCCATGAAAATTAGCCCATATGCATCTTGCTAATATTGACAATTTAGTGAAAGGATCAATTTGTAGGAGCATATTCACAATATGAAAAATTTAATCTAAAAAGCTACCCTTTGTGGTTCTGTTTCTTGTCACAGAGTGTTATACGAGGAAGGGATAATTATTTCTCCATAAAACCTTTGTCTCCATATTAATTTCAACCTCCCACCCACTCACCTCACCCCTCTGCCTGCATGTAAAATAGATGGTGGAAGTTTGTTTTTGAATTATGGATAGCTGATCTAACTGTGAACCATATTAAAAAATATTTTTCAGAGACAGTGTTGAGACAGCTCTCTTCTTAAAATGCTGTTCATGACTGCATTTTTAAAACTGGTTTTTAGTAGTCCTATAAGAATGTTAGTTGGCCAAATGTCAGGTTACTCTGAATGTCATAAGGTTTGCTTTTCTAAAAGGTTCTGCTTCTACAATTATGTGATAAGTGGAAATATTAGCTGCTTTCAAAAACAAAATTAGATTTCTGGTTCTTGGGTCTCTCAGCAGAAGCTGAGAAGGATGAGCCTATAGATTGAATCTTAGGAAATAAATAAAAATGCTGAAATGCTTTGCTTATGAGATATAATTCGGTCACTCTCCCCCAGTTCAGGGTTGACTTTAAAAAGAATGCAATCACAAAAAACTTTTGCCCTTAGAATAAAATTGCTTACTCTGAGTTGTGTTTGTGCTAAAGCAGCCTGTAAGTTTTGCTGTGACTTTTTCAGTTAGAAAATGGGTACTTGTAGATGGCTCTGGTGGGTTTGTGGAAACATAAAAGTTCCATCTCTCTGTGTTTCTGTGTACCACATTTTAAGGATATTGACAAGCTGGAATGTGTGTGGAGGAGGGCAACCAATATGATAAAGGGTCTGGAAGCCAAGCCCTATCGGGAATGGTTGAGGGAATTGGATTTGTTTATCCTGAGAGGAGATAGCGATCTTCAAATATCTAAAGGGCTGTCACATGAAGGATGGAGCAAGCTTGCTTTCTTGTGCTCTGGAGGCTAGGATTCTATTCAGTGGCTTCAAGTTACAAGAAAAGAGATTCATGTTCATCATCAGGAAGAACTTTCTGACAGTAATAGCTGGTCAACAGTGGAACAGACTCCCATGAGATGTGGTGGATTCTCCTTCTTTGGAGGTTTTTAAGCAGAGGTTGGGTAGCCACCTGTCATGTATGACCTTATTGAGATTCCTCAATTGCAGGGGTTTGAAGTACATAACTCCTGGGGTCCCTTCCAACTCTACAGTTCTGTAACACCCAACCTCTTGAACATCTTTGAAGAGAGTGATAGAAGATTATATTGTAAGGACTTGAATACAGTGGTGCCTCGCAAGACGAAAAGAATCCGTTCCGCGAGTCTCTTCGTCTTGCGGGTTTTTTCGTCTTGCGAAGCAAGCCCATTAGAGGTTTAGCGGCTTAGCGCTACAGTATTAGCGGCTTAGCCGGCTTAAAGATCAGCTGATAAGCGGCTTAACGATCAGCTGATAAGCGGCTTAGCATCAGCTGTTAAGCGGCTTAAAGATCAGCTGATAAGCGGCTTAGCCATCAGCTGATAAGCGGCTTAGCATCAGCTGATAAGCGGCTTAGCATCAGCTGTTAAGCGGCTTAAAGATCAGCTGATAAGCGGCTTAGCCATCAGCTGATAAGCGGTTTAGCGGCTTGGGGGAAAGGGGGGGGGGTGGAAAAAAACCCCGCAGGTACGCGTAAGACATTTTCGTCTTGCGAAGCAAGCACATAGGAAATTCGTTTTGCGAAGCACCTCCAAAACGGAAAACCCTTTCGTCTAGCGGGTTTTCCGTCTTGCGAGGCATTCGTCTTGCGGGGCACCACTGTATCCATGTGCTAACTGTGGCAACATTGGGCTACTTTACCTTTTACCTTCCATATAAGCTACACTCCATACAGTGATGTATGGAAGTGAAAGCTGGACCATAAAGAAGGCTGATCGCCGAAGAATTGATGCTTTTGAATTATGGTGCTGGAGGAGACTCTTGAAAGTCCCACGGACTGCAAGAAGATCAAACCTATCCATTCTGAAGGAAATCAGCCCTGAGTGCTCACTGGAAGAACAGATCCTGAAGCTGTGGCTCCAATACTTTGGCCACCTCATGAGAAGAGAAGACTCCCTGGAAAAGACCCTGATGTTGGGAAAGATGGAGGGCACAAGGAGAAGGGGACGACAGAGGACGAGATGGTTGGACAGTGTTCTCGAAGCTACCAGCATGAGTTTGACCAAACTGCAGGAGGCAGTGGAAGACAGGAGTGCCTGGCGTGCTCTGGTCTATGGGGTCATGAAGAGTCGGACATGACTAAACGACTAAACAACAACAACAACAAGCTACACTCTCTCCTGCCACCAGGCCACAGGATATCCTGGGAATAAGGTGTACCTGGGGTTTATCTAGGGCTTGTTTGTTGGTGCTTGGGGGTGGGAATGGGGCTCATGGGTGGTGGGGAGTGGGCACATTAGCACGGTGAAAAGCTGTAGATCATGACCTATGCTTTTATCTTGCGACACTAGAAATGATATAGCATATTAGCAGTTAGCAAATGGAAATTCAAATTAACATGGGTGCTTAACATCCCGAAGTTTCACACAACAGTTTCTATGGAAACTAGAATCTTTATATAGCTCTGAGGATTTTGCTAACAAGCTGAAATAGTGGCATTAGTTGGGTGTAGGGCACATTCCCCATGGTGAACATTCATTTTTAAATGTGCTATGCATTTTATTATTACTGCTCAGTAGTCATACATATTTCAGCAGGAAAGGCTTTAAAAATAAAACCATGCATTGTTTTCTTGAGCCATATGCAAAGTAGAAGATATTAAAAACATTTAATTTCTCTAAACATTCTGAAAGGATGGGGGAGAGATCATGGATGTAGCCGGGGTTAACCGCCCTCCATCAATAAATAAAAATAGCTAACTTGCTGACCAATCACATTGCAGGTAGCTCAGTTCTGCCCCCCCCAAAACTCCTCCCCCTCCCAACATAAATCTTGGCTATGCCCATGGGAGAGATGTTAAGCACAGGGAAAGTTTCTTTTGAATATTTTTGCTGCTGGTGGTGATGATAATTTTACTTAAAATCTGTCCTTCACCATAAGGTCCCAGCTTGGGTTATGCACATAGCAAAACAACAATTAAATAATGCAATCAAAATATAAGTATATAGTGGTGGTGGGGGTAAGCCTGGTAAGCAATGTGGAGAGTTTAAAAACTCTTTTTCCACTGAGTCTCTGCACAAAAAGGGCTTTAAAACCCTCTGCCTTGCTTACAGGGCTCTGGGATGGTCATGGAAGTGATCATGGGATCTCAGGGGGCCATCTTGAGAGCTCAGGCGGTGGGGGCGGTTCTGTGTGTTCTTCTGACCTTGCGCAATTTTGTCTTTACACACAGCCCCCAGGAACGCAATCCTCGTGCAAGCAGCGCTTGCACTGTAAGTGTACTTGCTAACAGGCCATTTTGGACCTGTGCCTCCATACACTGTTTGGGGACATGGTTGAAAGAGCTTCTCCCGTCAGAGATCCTTGGCTTTCATCCATCGCTTCCTTTGCTACAGCATGTGGAGCATCTGCATGTTGGACAGAGGAAATAGGTACACAGTTGCTTACTGAAGCTTTGTAGGCGGCCCCCAAGTCCTCTCTTTTAAGGCAGGGGAACAGACATGCACTGTCTTAGTCACTAAGTGGCTGGCTTTTCCCTTTGTGGTCGATGGCTTCATGGTCAGGCTTTAGTTGGATGGAGAAAGCTATCAGTCTGGGCACCCAAGTTCCTACTGCACTACAAGGCAGGAAATGTATTGCCTGCCTTGCAAGGTGCCACTGATGAGGCGTTCTCTACTTCCCTTGTAGCTATAATAGAAGGGGCATCTATCTCATGCTGTCTTATCTCTCCCTCTTGTTTAAAGGATAAAAAGGTAAAGGGTAAAGGGACCCCTGACCATTAGGTCCAGTCGTGACCAACTCTGGGGTTGCGGCGCTCATCTCGCTTTATTGGCCGAGGGGGCCGGCGTACAGCTTCTGGGTCATGTGGCCAGCATGACTAAGCCGCTTCTGGCGAACCAGAGCAGCACACGGAAATGCCGTTTACCTTCCCGCTGGAGCGGTACCTATTTATCTACTTGCACTTTGACATGCTTTCGAACTGCTAGGTTGGCAGGAGCAGTGACCAAGCAATGGGAGCTCACCCCGTCGCGGGGATTCAAACCACCGACCTTCTGATCGGCAAGTCCTAGGCTCTGTGGTTTAGACCACAGCGCCACCCGCGTCCCTTTGTTTAAAGGATAGGGCAAGAAGCTTCTGGGCAGTCTCAACTAAGCAATGTAATGGAGAATCTTGCAGTGCCTGCTTCTTCCTGTATTTTTTAAAAATATTATTATTGCTTTCTAAGCCCTTTGAGTCCCCCCCCTCCAGATTTCTTTTTTTTCTTTTCATTTTTTCTGACTAGAAACAAGCAGACACCTATTTCATACCCTCCAATACTCCCCACTAACTGACCCACCTTGACCCCCCTCAATTTTTGTCTCCGACCCCCAGAACATTCCCTATCAACAGGACACAGCACACAACTTTTAACTGATTAATTAATTTATCTCATAAAAATTATTCACCGCTTGATTGCAAAAAACCTCAAATACAAAATGGTAAAATCAATAAAAAAATTACAACCCTACTTTAAAACATAGAACAGTTAGATTCCTAAAACAGATTAAGATTACCTCAACTTTCTAAGCATTTAGGTGGGCTTGTCTGAACAGGTATATTTTTAGCAGGTGCTGAAAAGAGGATAGTGAAGGGGCTTGCTTGATCTCAGTAGGCTCAAATGTTCTTGCTTATTGTTTGTGCTGTTTATTTTTATTTCTTGTCCTTTTTATAGGTGATTTAGAAAATCTCAGTGAAAGTATTTTGAAGATGGGAACACACACCCATCTTACAAAACTAGCAGATCTTTCACAGGCCCTAACAAGGTGGTCTTTATATCAGCTTTGCTAATTAGGGGAGCAAATTTTAATCAGCAAGTGAAACACTTACTGTAGTTGTTTTATTTTCCTTATTTATGGAAATAAGCAAGTCTGCAGTGTAAACATGTCATATGAGAACAGAAATTTAGCAATGAGGGAATTGTGGTTTTCTCATTTTTGAACTTAGTGAACATGCATGATGGTATGTCTCTAACTTTTAATTAGAAAGGATTGCATACAATCACGATAACCTTCTAAAAATATCAGCATTTAAAAGAACAGCCCTCTGGCATGTCAGTGAAGAATACCCAGTTTTGCATTTCAGTGACATTAGGCTTGACTGGTTTCTTTCATTTGCCACTATTTCTGTTTTTATCTTCAGATAAATATATGGGATTTTTTTTTTTGTTTAGTTGCAAAGCGAGCTAAATTAGAAATTCTTTTAATTGACCTGTACCAAAGTTATCTATTACAGCCAACAATACATAAAGTATAGATTATATTCAAAGCATGGGGAACATGGGATCTGATTTTGCTTCTTGAATAATGGCACGTCTTCAGAGGAGTTTTTCTTTCAGGAGCATTTTGTATTGGCGGGGGGAGACAGAACATTCTCCTTGTGTAGAACATAAAATGACACCCACCCACCCAATTTCGCAGAGGTTTCTCTTGTGTACAAATGATTTATGTCCCGCAACATCTTCGCCAAGTGTGTGTCAGGGGTTGTATCTAATTAAGTTCTACTCAGAGCAGACACTTTGTAATTAATGGACCCAAATTAGTCATGTCAATCAGTTTCAGTGGGTCTACTCTGAGTGGGTGTAGCACTGAAAACAATCCCAGGATGCTACAATTACTCTTCTCTGCTGGATGTAATGATGAGCAATTTTGGAAAAAGTAGAAGCTGTGTCTTGGTGGAGCCTTGTCCTGGCTCCCAGTTGTTTGAAGAACAAAAATTTGAATGATTCTTTGCAAGCGTGCTAATGCTTAGATTGGTGCCCTACATTTGCAAATCACTCATCTAAGTCACAGCAGGCAGTACATCTGATACTGACACAACCCTTGCCATCCTATATGGGGAAGGCTCAACTTAATTCATCAAACAGTTCTGTTCCTTAGCAAGCAATCTTGCACTCTGTCTCAGAGGTGGGATTTGCTCCAACCGTTTGTGCCTCCTTCCTTGAGTGCCTCTGGGACATAGGTGATGGAGGGAATGTCTCTACCCCCTCTGGAGAAAGAGAGCTAGACTCAGCATCTGGCATGAGAGACACTGTTGAGGTGTCAGAGAATAGGCTTCAGCAGTTGTGGTTAGGAAAGCAAAGCTGAAGAGTTCTTGCTGTGGGGATTGATGAGGCGAGAGAACAGTCTGAGGGACACACACATCTGGTCACACCTCCAGGGTCTTCACTATTAGGCTCCCCCAGGTCTGGCAGAGACCTCCCCACCACACTGGAGCCAACCATCAATCTACATCATCCTGACTTGGCCACCCCATGACAAGCATGTGATTTTAATGGAAAATATAGTCTCCAAGACCTCCATTGTTCATTCTGTGTATTCCTGGCGGCTGTTAACAATAACCATTTGGTACTACAGAGAGAGGGAAGGAGGGCAGGAGAAAGTGAGAAAGACCAAATACTAATAAAAGGTAAAATAGCTGACTAGTTTACCGTAATTTTTTTCTTTGGTTGTCTAAGTAATTCTTATTGGTAAATCAGTTGCCTTCCCGATATGTCTATCCCTTTAAAAGGCTCATTTGTAACTGGTTGCAAAAACAACGAGGAAATGTTCAGGAAAATGCAAGCTAATGACCCATCCTTTACTGAATGACCTGAAAAGATCAGCTTGTTCTGAACTACATGCATTCATGCCCAGGAACGTAAATAAAAACATTCTTAAATTCATCCTCGAAGCCAACACAGGACTTTGTGAATAGAAGCCAAGTGAGGTTGTGCATCTTAATGTGGGTTTCTCAACAGAATGAAGGAAGTTTGCCCTTGGAAGAAACAAGGACAGCCAAGTAACATAGGTTTGCAGCCCCTTTTTGGTGAACAGTGAACCAAACGTCGTGAAGTACTGGCAGGTGTTAACTAAACACTTGAATGCCATTAGACCTGCTGCTCAACTGGACTGCTAATTGCTTAAGTTCCACAATGTACACAATACCACAAACCTTAAGTGTGGCAATAGAGTGGGATTCTCTGGGGCAAGCTGATCAAACAAGGAAGCAGAGCGAAGTAGTTTACTGGACACACATTTATGACCTGAATGTTAACAAAACAGAGAACATCTCTTCAAACTAGGACTGTATAGGTCCCTAGATTGGGGGCAGGGGTGGATTGTCATCAGAATGCCATGTTTGAAACACTTGGCATTCATTTTCAAGAGACCTCAGACATTGAAAATCCATAGTGTCCCTGCCTTTGTGGTATTCCTCTTATTCTGTGAGTTTTCTGCGGGAAAGAAAACTTGCACTGAAAGTGAGCTATGAAGTAAACATCACATGTAGTTAGCAATGTTAGCTTCCATCAGATGGCCTATCGATGTCCAGAATTCCTGCAACATTTGTTTTTCGGCTACTGACATCAATTAGGTAAACTCGTTTTGACAGATTGGACAGATCTTATTGAACTCTGATGCTGCCTCGGTTGCTTTTTTTTTTTTAATGCCTATAATCCCTTTTTGGATTTGAAGATGTGTGCTTACTATGAGAAGCATCCTAATAGCACTAACAAGGGGAAAGCGTCCCAGCTCCCAGCTCCCAAGTCTCAATTTGATTATCATGCAAGGCGCAACTTGAAATGTACATTACATTCATGAATACTGAAAGACTTCTCTTGGGGAGATATTTCATTCAGGAGCAAACTGATCAAAACTCGAGGGTAGAAGCAGGCATAATTTATTTTGCAGTCTGAATTTTCTGATGAAAAGGAGAACTTTGGTTGGAGTTCCTTAGATGATGTACACCCTGAAGTAAAAAAATAAAATAAAAATGAAATTGATCCTTTAAAGTTTTTTTAAGTTTGCTAATGACTTGAGAGTTTGATGTTCAGCTGCTGTAAGTTTGAGGACAGCCACTTCACGCTTTGATTGCAGCTTGAAAACTGAAAGGAGAAAGCTTCCTATATTTTCTGAATCGGCTGTTATCAAACAACAAGGCAATATCAGAACTGAGCTGCTGGTTTCAGACTTGTTGATATGAATGTATAAGCTAGCCCATGTTTCGAAAAACGAAAATCTAATTTGAGATTATAGGCATCAATGCTCGTACATTCCTACATTCAGTCTACCCCACCAAGTTAGCTCCAAATTGAGAAGCACACCAGTGGGTTTGAGTAGGATGCTTCCCCCTGCTGAATATTGACTCGGGACTCTGGTAGGTGGAGTAAGACCATGCATTTCCTCCTCCTCTCTCAAAGACAAAGCTCAGTTGCCTGAAGAGACTGACTCAGTGTCCTACTCATTGCTTGACTCTGAGGTCATTGCAGTAGAAAATGATGGAGGGGGTTGGCTAATGGAAAGGGTCAGGATTGCATAGCCTTGTCAGCCATGTTGCAGACCATCCATCCACACCAATGTGCCTATAGCACTACGTTATTGTAGACCTCAAATGACTGTGCTACACTTGCTCTGAACCCCTAGCACCCCATCAAACTATTGGAGAATTTCTGCACCCCTCTGTGACGTTAACATATATGAGAGAGTGCTGGAGGGGAAATAGTTAAATAGGTTGCACAGACAGGACCCAGGGGGGTGGAGTCCTTGGGACTATAAAACCAGTTCTGGGAGGAGTTCCGGGAGGAGTTTGTTGGGGGTTGTTGGTGGGTTTTAGTGGGTTGGCTGATTGGGAAAGGCAGTTGGTAATAGAGAGACAGTTAGGGCAGTGGGTTCTTGAGTGTGGGGAGGTAGAAGAGATAGAGGAAAATAAGACTAAGAAAGTAAAGACAACAAGGTTTGGAATGCCGTAAAAGTTTTGTTCGTGTCTGAAATAAAATATACTCTTCTTTATTAATTGAGAAGCTGACTGAGACTGAAGTGATTTTACCAGGTGGAACCTGGTTGGTGGCAGCGGTTTAGTGGTGTACGGGTCAATAGTCCGTGAGACGACCGGGGGCTCCGTACGAACGCCACACCCTCCACAACAGTTTTTGGTGAAATCCCTCTCCTCCAACAAACTTCTCTGCCCCCTAATAAAGTGGAGGATGTCTGGGACAGATGTGAATCCAATTTATGAAATTCATTTTCTGAGAATTTTCTTTTTCTGTCATCCTGGAACTGTAGGCAGATGACGTTTTAGCTGGTTTGGCAGAGGTCTTGACAAACATGGCCCACTCCCAGTTCCCACCGACCAATTGTACTTTGAGAAATTTTGGGGCCCATCCAAGTTCTTTCCCCTCTCGCTCCACAAACCATCGTATTACATTCTTGAATGTAAATGAAATGATTCCTTGAAATTGCACTGTTAAGCTTGTATGGTACAATAGAAGACAAGATGATTACTGCTGCCCAAGCTACCAGTTCTGGCCTTACTTAAAGGATTAAAATAGTGAGGCAGCTAGAGACGCAGTGTGTTTCATGCCTGGGCAACAAAATATTAAGAAGTTTTCATATTAAAATGAAGGTGATGTGAGATAAATCACAGAGGCTTCCTAACTGGGAGAAGGGGAAAGTGTTTGTCTTACTGCAGAAACAAATATTATGTATTTGTCAAGGCACAGGCTCAGAGGTTGATATCTTTTGAGAACGTAGGGAAGGAACAAATAAGTCAAAGGACAGCAAGGTTGCATTCAGAGAAATAACCTAATCAAGCTTGGAGCAAGCTTGTTTTATCCTGCTCTGGAGGTTAGGACATGAACCAATGGCTTCAAGCTGGAAGAAAGAAGAGTCTGATTAATCATACGGAAAATCTTTCTGGCCATAAGAGCTGTTTGACAGGGGACTAGAGTTCCTTGGGAGGCTGTGGTTTTTAAGCAGAGGTTGGATGGCCACCTGTCATGGATGATCTAGTTGAGATTCATACATTTGCAGGGGGTTGGATTAGATGACCCTTGGGGATCCCTTCCAACTCTGGTTCTGTGAAGGTAAAGCCAAGTTACTTTTGTTAGGCGTGTGGCTGAATCAGAGGTAGCTCGGTGGTAAAGCACATGCTTAGCATGCAGAAGGATTCGAGATCAATTCCTGGCACCTCCAGATAGCAGAGATATTGGAGAGGGCTGGGAAAGGTCTCCGGCTAAGAGTTCAGATAGTCATTGCTTAGTCAGAGCAGGCAGTGCTGGGCAAGATGAAAAAAATGGCTTTGTCTCAGTAAAAGGCAGACTGATAAGTTCATATGTTCCCCTGGGACCGCTTTGAATAAAGCACTGAGCTCATTTCACGAAGGCAGGACAGCACGGTACAAACTCCAGCACCACCGTCTGGGGAGTGATTTAGAGAAGGTGGGAATACATGTTAAGCTATTCAAAAAGGATTCTTAAAAAATAAAGGAATGTTGCTGCAGCATGGCATAGATGCTGTTCTTTTGGATTGCGCATTTAACACCCCATGGATTACACATGTATGGTAAGGTAAGTATTGCAATCAGACTTGGACTTTCTGCTGCTATAAGAATGGATTTCGAGAAGTTTCAGGGGAGTTAAACGGGCATCCAGCGATGTGTTACATTTTAGCGCACAGCAGTTAGGGAAAGGAACCTGCCAGCTTGTTTGAACTATAGTCTTTCTGTTCCGTCAAGCCACGGACGCCCAAATTGGGAGAGGATAAAAGTCTCAGTGGCATATTTTCTCCTAGTGACTGAAAAGCTACAAGGAGTTATTTCTCTGACAGGAGAAAAAAGCTGGTGAGGGAACAGCAGCAGTGATCGACACGGTAATAGTAGCAGAAGTGATTTGTTTAATCCTATGGAGAGCAGAAATAACTTTGTATGGCATAAGGCCCTGAAATTGCGAATGCAACGGGGGGGAAATGTTTTGGGATCTTCAGCCTTTCCCTGTTGTTACCATGTGTTCTTGTGGACCTGTGTACACACATACCTGCCCCATAAATTTTTTAACCCATAGCCATGGTGTGCCGTAGCAATTCTAAGGGGAATTAGCAATGAGAATATAAGCCAACATTTAAAGTAACCAAATGGGTGGTGTATTACAAAGATAAACAGTCCTTAGACAGCATTCAGACCGGACTGGGAATTAGTGGGTTCAGTCTAAAAAAAGCAGGAGAGGACTGGGTAAGAAGGAACTATTTGCGATACTGGAAGGCTACAGAGGATGGAGATGAGACGAAATAAGGAAATGAGAGGACGATGGATGCCAGATAAACTTGCAGAAGGGCAAATGGGGTTAGAGAAGTGTTAAGTTGTGGGTGAACATATCACAGCGATTCTTCAAACAGCTCTTGTTTATTCAGAGGCCAGAACAGAACTGAGCTGAAGGGCTCAGTCAGCCTGCTTACATAGAGCTCCAGTACAATGTAACTGTAACAATTTTCTAAAACTATCCAATCACTGAACGTCACTTTTGATCCCATATTTGCATAACTATCTACAGTATCCCCCTGCTAGCCCAGGGTGAGAACTTCAGTACATAACAAGAAGAGAGTCCAAACATAACTAACACTTCATCTGAAGCAGGGTGGGCAATTTGCTTGGAGAGTTGGTGAGAAAGAAAAGGAAACACAAAGGAAAGAGAGATGGAAAAGAAACCAGAGCGCAAGCATTATCTATTCCAAGGCATGGGGCGGGGTGGAAAGAGGTTAAGCATACTTTGCATCTTTGAGGTTTCAAACCAGAGGGTAAACTGAGGAACTGCTTTGCTGCAGTAAGTGTGCAAGGAAAATCCTGGGGGCATCCATCATTCTCTCTTTCTTTCTTTCTCTCTCTCTCTTAAAAAAACTAGCTAAAGGGTTGAAAGTAAAACAAGCACTGAAGAATATAATTGGTGCAGATTCAGATGCTTTAACAAGACGGTGCTTTGAGCAATAGGATAGTAGGAGCAGTCACTGATCCGTGCAGATGTATGGCTCCTTATTCTGCATCAAAAATGGCTGGAGATGCATTTTTCTGTAAGGACAGTTTGTGCTTGATCTGTTGCTAAATACCTATGCTGAGGTTTGCCATACCAAGAGAACAGGGCCCTTGGAGAGCGCTCAGAGGCAGTAAGAGATTTCACATGTGCTGTGCATGAGAAGCTGCATCGGATAAACCTCTGCTTTTCTTAGTTTTCAACAGCAGCCCTGTCCTGGACGCAATACAAGAACCCCATTTCACAGGCAAAAGCTTGCCTTCCCAATGGAAACTGCTTAATAAGGTTTTTGTTTTGGGTGAGGAGGAAAAATGGAAGCCTTCAGCCAAGGAAATTACCTTCCAAATGTCTTGTTTGTGTAACTTAAGAACCAATTGTAAAATCCTTATGGTGCTCCAGTTTTCTTTCCTGTTCTAACAGCTGAGGAAAGGATGTGGTATCTCTCCCCCCCCTCCCCATTTCCGTACAGTGACAGCTTCTGGGCACTAGACTTGCATGCTCAATAGTCCTTCTGTGACGCTTGATGTCCCGAAGCCAAAAATACTACCTGTGCTATCAAGACTGTCTTGCTGTGTTAATATCAGGATGATGTATAATATATATATATTGAAACTAACTCTCTACTTTTCATGGAGAAAAGTGCCGAGTACAATGACACCATCGTTGCTCAGCAGTGCCTAGGCTGATCCGTATAAATAGCACCTGTTTTACTCAAGCCTAAAATGTGGCCTCTTACACAGTCTGTCTGGGAGCAGACAGATCTTGTCGGGTTCATTGCCCGGCTGTGTTTGTAGGCAACTGCCATGGGGTCTGAGTGATGAGAGGGGTGAACTTTGGTGGCAGGAGGTGAATGAACTAAGTTGTGGGAAGGGGAAGCCAGTGAAGAAAAGGCTGTAGTCTTCAAGTGAGGTGGTAATCAGAGCATGGAAAGACTGCTTAGTAAGGGAACAGGGAAGAAGGGCTGCCTTTTTGCAGTGTTGTGCATAGCAAGGGAACATGATGTTACAGTGGTCTGGATGTGAGGTGCAAAGGAGATGTAGGCGTCCTAAAGCCAAGGCTTGAGGCCTGGTCAACAGAGTCGATGGTGTTGTCCGTGGATACTGAAACTGAGGAGAGATGTGTTTATGAGGAAAAATGGGGAACAATGAAACATGCAAACAGAAATATCAGACAAACAGTTACAAGACTGGATGGAAGGGAAAGGTCTAAGACCCAAAGATAGTGCTGGGTGCATTTGGTGAAAATTTTCAACAACATGTTTGTATTTCTGTCTTACTCTTCCATTTAAACTACCAAAGGAAACCAAACAAGTGTGCAGAAGCTAAACACAGAACCCTGAAATGCACTCAATATAAACAGCATAGACTAACAAATCAACTTCTGAAGCCAGAAATAATAAAGCCAAAGTTCTATGAATCTAGTGAGGGAAAGAGTTCAAAGTTCTTGCTTTCTTGGCGTAGCCTCAACGTATGAAGAGGAAGATTTGTTGCTCACATATCATGAGCAAGATTTGAGGAAGTCACTCAGGGATGACATGTGGAAAGTGAACAGCAAAGGGCAACGTTAGGTTTTGAAGGAATCTTGGGGAAGTGTAAGGTTAAATGGGGTTTCTAAAACATGGGTATGCAAGTGAAAGAATGAATATATTGGGTCAGTCAATTTGTGCTATGTGTCAGCTGTGGACTTTGCCATACTTATGATGAACTAGATAGATTGGCTGTACCTGGAATGATAGTCAAAGAGCTTAAAATATAAAAGGGGTGGGAGAAAACTGAAGGAAGACTTTATAGGATATAATTAAACTTTACTAGTAACTCTAGTAAAGGGAATTTAAGGGAAGGTGAAAAAGAGCTGTACAAAAAAGATATGGGGGTGCCATAGCTAAGTGATTAAGCACCTGCTTTGCATGCTGATGAACCAAGTTCTGTCTCCAGCTTCTGAAACTGAAGTCATTTCTGCTAGGTGGGCATAGAAAGGTTTCTGTCTGAGACCTTGGAGAGTGCATGCCAGTGAGAGTAATAGACAGTGCTTGAACTACAGGATCTGCCTCAGCATAAACTAGTTTTATATGTTTTCAAATGGACAGTATAACGTTCCGGTGTTTACTTTCTTAATGGCTTCTCACTTGTGGTGGTAAACACTGAAATCCATGTTCCAGAAATGTTTTGCTTTTCTTATAAACTCAATAAAAGCAGAGATGCTCCCAGTGTTCAAAGTGAGGCGGTTTCCAAGGACTCGTTGCTGCTCTACAAAGTTGGTGTCTGATCTTATTCATATGCTTAACTTTCCCAAAAGAAATATTGGGTCTTGAGCATGCTGAACTTAGGCTGGATTGGGCTATTTAAGAATATTCAGTGAAGCAAATAAAACAATGTGAATATGCCCCCCCCACCGCCCCTGCCTCCAGCCGGAACTCATCTTTCATTGTCAGTATATTTGCCATTTGCTATTCACATTTAAAGAAGCGAGATTCAGAGTTCTCATTTGTCTTTTTAATAAAGTAATGATCTTCACTTAATACAAAAAGCCCACATAGACAATAACTTACAAAAATGAGTAGTGTGCATTTTGTGCTTAAAATAACCTCACCTTCATTTCCTTCCTTTATGCTGAACAATGGACTTCTGCGTTCCTTACTTTGAGTAAATTCTGAAAAGCAAAGAAAGTTATTGAGGTTGTTGAATATACTGTATTAAAATGTATTGTTGTCAGAGGTGGGGAACACATCACTATGATAATGGAGAGAAAGCTGTTACAATGACTGGAAGTTTTGAAAGTTTCAGTAATGGAGAAGAATGGAAGAAATTTAAGGAATATTTAGTAAAATATAATAATATAAGTGGAAATACTTGCAAGTACTAAATTTGGTTTAGGATAAAATTATGTTGAATTGTATAAAATGATGGATTGAGAATATTATGAAAAGAAAGGAAGTTAGTAATCTGAACAAGTTAATTTTACCAGAAAGTGGATATTGGAAAATTGCTAAAATGAGATTTAATGAAAATCAGTTAGGAAGGATTTGAGGAAGTCACCCAATAATGGAATGCAATTTGGATTATTAACTGTAAGAAGTTTTGAATGTATGTTTGTTTTTCTTTTTTATATGTTTGTTTGTTATTTTGTGTTGTGTTAAATTTGGAAAATTAATTTTATTTAAAAAAAATTAAAAAAGAAAGTTTCAGTAATGAAGTTAGTGCAGTGTGGGCTACAGGTTACAAGCAGGTAAAGCATGGAAGAGGAGTATTATGCATGGCTAGGCTTAGCTAAGATGTTGATCTAGCAATTGGCACACATGATTTTCTCACACCAGTGCTTTCACCTCTGGTCCATTGGAGATAGAGGCAGAGCTGGCATAACTGGCTCACCATTGGACTTGTCCCCAGATCCCTCTCCTGAAGGGGAAAGCTCTTCACTGACAGATGATGACACCTCCGCAGATGATGATGTATCACTTGGGGGGCCAAATATCACAGAGGGGAATCTTGGGAGAGGGATTGATTGTTCAACCACTCTGGGAGTTGTAGCTCTGTGAGGGGAATGGGGATCTCTGGAAAACTCTCAACACCCTTAACAAACTATAGTTCCCAAGATACCTTGCTGGCTGTTTAAAGTGGTATGATGTTTCTTCAAATGTGTAATGCAGATGGGAGCTTACAGAGCCAGTTTAGAGTGGTATGACAGGCGGGAAGGCGGGGGGGGGGATGATAATCAGTGTGTGTCTTTTGAAGGAGTGGCTGACAATCTTTCATTTGAGCTCTTTTGCGACTGCTGTTCAGCAGCTGAGAAACCAAGTGAGCAGAGTCTTACTGAAAGAGAAAAGTGCAGTGCAGTGTAGTCAAAGGAAAACATGAGCCCATTACCTCTCAAATGACATATGGTGCTTTTGCTTGATCCGTTCAAGCAGAAGGTAAGTTTCCTCAGGAAGCAAATAAACAAGGAAATAGACTGTGTTCACACAAATTGCTACTGCTCTGTAATCCAATTTTCAGCCTGTGCTCATGAAGCGGACCATTAGGCCACTAATGCTGAGGAAATGATTGACAGTTGTTCATTGTAGGGTTCCCAGCTGATTGAGAACAAGTCATAGCAGATACCCTCAAAGAAGAGGTATTACATCCTGTGTTTGTGGGAGAAAAGCATGAATGCCTCTTCTGAGATGGTGCCTGCCACTTGTGATTTTTGTAAGTTACGTGCATTTAAAAACTACAGGTTTTTTTGAATGTGCAGTTTGATTAACTGGAGGCACTTTTTAACCAGTTAAAAGGTTTTAAATCAGTTAATCTAACATTAGTCATCTAAAAATCACAGCCTGAGTTATAGTAGGCTTCTCAGTTTGTCCTGTGTGCTAGTAGTGCTTCACTGTTTGCAATGGCTCTTCTGTGATGCAAACATTCAACTTGCTTAATATTTTAATGCTTTGCTTAGAAACAAGAGAATGCTTAACTTGATTATTCCTCATGGCTCCTGGCCCGATCTACCATTAAAGCTGTACTTACAGCACGGGGGAAAGGTAATTTCCGGTAAATGCTTGGGCCTAATTCCGTTGTAATTGTGGTCTGAAGATCTTGTCTTAGCCTGTGAAAGATTGGGATCTCGTTTGCAGTTCAGCTGCTGCAGGATGAAATAACCACGGAAAGGTCCAGCACAGATGTAAATATTTGCTGAACTGTGGACACGGCTGAATGCCAAAGACCCTCTGCTTGATACTGGATGAATGTTCTTCCCTGCACCTGAGAATCTGTCTTGTCTGGGATAGATCATTTTGGCCTGCAGATAAGTGGGAATATGATTGTCATGAATTAATCTGATGTCAAGCTGCCCTGTATTTAGTTTTAAAGAGGTTTTCAGGTGACACTTCTGCTTCTAAGTTAAAACAAATGTTGGGAGATGAACACTGCAATGCTTTGCTCGGCTATAATTGGATGTGCTCTTCCTGAAGTTGGAGGTTTAAAGACATTGGCAGCAGTTGAAGGGAAGTTATCAACACGAGTCCTTTTTCCCCCTTTGGCATGGCAATGTTTACAGTGTCTTATTTCCAGTTAAGGGTTTGTTGAAAGCTGCTGTTTCACAACAACACACAAATGCGGTAAATGCTGGAGACACACACTACTTTGAACAATTACCTATTGTAGTCAAATTTCCTGTTTGTAGTGAGAATTGGAGATGTTGGCTGATGGCTCCATTCTGCTAACTGGCCTCAGGCACATCAGAGTGGCTGGTTGTTAAGATTGCCATTCCAGGGCCAAGGGTTATGTTACAGTAATCATGAAAGTGCCTTTTAAATGCTTCTTGGGAGTCTGTGAAGGAGCCAGGGTTTGAGCTAGATGTAGTGGCTCAAATAATATCATTTCCTGCATCAATTGACTGAGTCTGAGCAGGAAAAGAGGAGTTAAGTTAAATTATATGGAGAATTGTTTTTAAATTGTTTTCCCCCCTTCTTTTCTGGTTTTCTGGATGTTAACTGTTTTGTTTTATAATTGTATGTTTTATTGCTGTAAGATACATAAATTCATAGAATGGTAGTGCATATGATAAGACTTGGCCAGTTGCAGTACGGAAACCATAACTCCTAGGAGCAGTCCAAGTGGTCTACGTCTGGAATGACCTTTGAGATCAAAAACCATTAAAGTTTGTGTTTCTTTACTGTGAAAATTGCTAATGTAAATGATTGAAGCAGAAGCCCTGTTTGGTAAGGTAAAAGGTAAAGGTAAAGGACCCCTGGACAGTTAAGTCCAGTCGAATTTGGCTATGAGGTATGGCGCTCATCTCCGCTTTCAGGCCCAGGGAGCTGGCGTTTATCCACAGACAATTTTCCGGGTCATGTGGCCAGCATGACTAAACCACTTCTGGCGCAACGGGACACCTTGGCAAGTGCCAGAGCACACTGAAACACCATCTCACCACAACAGTACCTATTTATCTACTTGCACTGGTATGCTTTTGAACTGCTAAGTTGGCAGGAGCGGGGAAAGAGCAATGGGAGCTCACCCCATCACACGGATTTGAACTGCTGACCTTAGATCGGCAAGTCCAAGAGGCTTGGTGGTTTAGACCACAGCACCACCTGCGTTCCTGTTTGGGTACTCTGTACCATGTGCATCTGTAGGCCCTTGCAGTGATGAACTTGTTGCACAAAATCCTCCTGTTATTTGGGACCCTGTATGGGATTATCAGGGACGCGGGTGGCGCTGTGGGTTAAACCACAGAGCCTAGGACTTGCCGATCGTAAGGTCGGCGGTTCGAATCCCCGCGGCGGGGTGAGCTCCCGTCTTTCGGTCCCAACTCCTGCCCACCTAGCAGTTCGAAAGCACATTCCTTGTTTTGCAAATTTACTACGAGCTACTAACCAGATCGAGAAGGATACTCAAAAATTGTCTTCTGATCATCTGTTCATTCCCACTTGGATTGCCACAGGGTGCATGATTGTCCTGTTTGATATCTCATTTTCATTCCAGACCATGCTAGTTTTGTTCCCTCTCAAAGCTCTTCTCAAATGGCACAAGCTCCTCACAGGCTTCATCTTGAACATACATTCCTTAAAGGAGCAACTATGTTTGGGTTTGTTGGAGGAAGCAAGTTTCTCTGGATTTCTTTCTGCACTGTTTAGTTGAACATTTGACCAGGAGCAGTCAATTTCCTGTTGAGAGGACCCTTTGTATAGCTTAGTTGTGTAAAATGTCTCTTGCATACAGCTGACACACTTGTTCTTACTATGCTGCTTCAGGTTTAAAATATTTCACCACTCTTCCATTATTTCTGGACAAGTGTACAAATGATGGATAGAGCCAAATACCTTAGAACAAATGTTTTTGATATATAAATCCGATGACTGCATAGACATTCACAATACAAGCAAATATCATTTATGGGTTTTAATACAAAGTAGTATCTATTTTAAGGGATGCGGGTGGCGCTGTGGGTTAAACCACAGAGTCTAGGACTTGCTGATCAAAAGATCGGCAGTTCAAATCCCCGCGATGAGGTGGGCTCCCATTGCTCGGTCCCTGCTCCTGCCCACCTAGCAGTTCAAAAGCACGTCAAAGTGCAAGTAGATAAATGGGTACCGCTCTGGCGTGAAGGTAAACGGCGTTTCCGTGCACTGCTCTGGTTCGCCAGAAGCGGCTTAGTCATGCTTGCCACATGACCCGGAAGCTGTACGCCGGCTCCCTCAGCCAATAAAGTGAGATGAGCACTGCAACCCCAGAGTCGATCACGACTGGACCTAATGGTCAGGGGTCCCTTTACCTTTACCTAGTATCTATTTTACAATAATGCACTGGGTCAATGCAAGCACTCTCACAAGCATTCGGGTAAAGTATGAGATGAAGGCCAATATTTGAACTTTGTGCTCTGGCTCAAATCTTGCATAGAAGAATGTTCATAGAGAAATACACATGAAAAATCTGATGTGGGAAAATCCATATGTTATTTTATGGGAAAGGCATGCAAAAGGGAGACTAGATTCTAGCTTGCACTCGATGTTGTAAGCATGAGTTTTACTCTATGGCAGAATCATTGTCAGCCATACCTATTTTGTTTGCTTGTTTCTACTGGAAGGTTGGGCTGCTTTTGCAATGCAACAGTAGAAGATGAGTTTTATTTATGAATAGCTTCCTATGAAGCATAATTAAGCCATATCCATTAAGCCATTTTTAATCAGTAAAATGTTTAATCAGTAAAATGTTTGACCCAGTCAGATGATGACTTTCTGTACAGTGTGCTGCATTTTTGTGGTGCTCGATGTCACGGTCTCACCTTTTTGCTTCAAATGGATTAATCCAGTCGGTGGTCTGGTTTATTACTTGTAAGCAACAATATAGAATGGAACCATCATCTAAACAATCTATATACAGTTTAATGCTCTTACAGTTTAGGACATGATCAACAAGCAGTTTGAAAGAACGAAAATGCACAATACAATCTTTTATAAGCCGCAAAGCTCTGTACAAACACACTCTGTATAAATTGGGAGGGGGTGTACACACACACAACACACACACACACACACACTCATTTACTGTACTATGTAGGTTCCCATTGCAAAAAATCTAGAAGAACTAATTCTCTAATGCACAGCTCCCTTAACCAACTACATTCTTTTCGGGCCACCCCAGTGGGGCTCAGGAGCCCAGTTATGTCACCCCTTGCCTGCAGAGCTGGCAGCCTCTCACCCTTTTTCAAACACCCTCCCTTGTGGAGTGTTCCCTCAGCCTCCTCTCCTCTCCTTGGGAGTCCTCTGGGCAAGTTGCTGCTGTCACCCCGATCTCTGGGCTGACCCCCCACTGCCTCAAAGAGAGGTGCCTCACCATTTGTCTATGGAGCTTATAGCCAGGGCTGCTGCAATAAACAGCTGTGCAAGCCTTTGGGAGGCAGAGATGCAAGAGGGCATCAGAGGGGGGAGGGAAAGAAAGAAAGAAAGGAAGGAAGGAAGGAAGGAAGGAAGGAAGGAAGGAAGGGACAGTGTTGCCCGTGGCACCCCTGACCATCATTCAAGGCACCCCAGGGTGCCATGGCACACTGGTTGAAAACCACTGCTCTAATTAATTAGATAGCCCTTCTTTCTTAGCAGTAGAATATTCTACTAAAAGAATCATTACTCATGCAGTTTTAGCAAGAACAGCTTATCAATACCATCACGGTTAAACTGTAAGTTCTTCCTAAAAGAAGCTACTATAAATGAGGGGAAAATAGTACCACTACCATGCCTGCTGACAGGAATGTGTCTCATCACAAGAATGTAAGTAAAAGTCAACAATTTGCACTTGTGGAAAAGCCAAAATTATTCTCTGCAGAGGAACTACATTCTCATGTTCAAATTGTAAGATTTTTCTGTAATGTTTTCTTCTTCACTTAATGATGACTTCTCTGCATGGAGACAGCGGCAAGAAATGCATTTTAAAAAATTGAATTATCCTGCTCATGAAGGCCACGTTGTCTAGAATGAACTAAAACAGGCAGGCCTTAAGCAGATTATTAAGATAGCATAAAGGAAAAAGAAATCTGTCTTTAAAAGTTCATCCAGCAACTCTGGATAGCAGGATCCTATTAATAGCACCATCCCATGCATGTTTAGTCAGAAATAAACCTCACTGTGTTCACTGTGTGTTTAGGGTTGCAACCTGACAGTGAAAATATTTCCATCTCTAATAACTCCAGAATATGCTGGTCTATGACTGTAATAAAGATTTGGATTTGGAATAACTCCAGGCCAACAGAACCCTTGATTGGTAGACAGCTAATAATGCAACCATCATAAATTCTACTCTGTGTAGTCATATTAGCAGAGCTAGGGATAACTTGGTGGGGAGCTATATCAATCCAGGCCAAATTCCACAGGGTTACCTAGAGTTTAGATTACTTTGGTGCCAGGTCTTCTTAAAAACAGAACCCCATCTCACAACTGCGGTCTTCTGAAAGGTGAGCTAGTGCAGTTTAGTGGCTGAGCTATAAGTCCACTCATTGGTGCAGCTTGGGATTTCATGGCCTCCATGATGAAAAGGAGCTTGTTTTAAAACTGTATCTTAGATCATAGATCATAGAATTCTGCTCCAAATCGTTGTTGATTTGGATTTTATGTACTGGATAGGCAGAAGGTAAGCTGTAATTGGAAAAGCCTGTACTCAGACCCTTCTAATGGACTTCCTCACTGGGTTTGGGCTATGTGCTGTTCTTGATCGCTGCAGGGGTAAGGTAAAGGTAAAGGGACCCCTGACCATTAGGTCCAGTCGTGGCTGACTGGGGTTGCGGCACTCATCTAGCTTTACTGGCCGAGGAAGCCGGCGTACAGCTTCCGGTTCATGTGGCTAGCATGGCGAGCCAGAGCAGCGCACGGAAACGCTGTTTACCTTCCCGCTGGAGTGGTACCTATTTATCTACTTGCACTTTGACGTGCTTTCGAACTGCTAGGTTGGCAGGAGCTGGGACCGAGCAACGGGAGCTCACCCTGTCGCGGGGATTCAAACCGCCGACCTTCTGATCAGCAAGTCCTAAAGACCCCATTAAATTGATCTGGGAGACGTATGGACCCTGATGGCTTCTGACTCTTTCTAGGGGATTTGTTTCATGGATGTGACTGGCATTCATGCTGTGGCTCTGGCCACTCTCTGGAATGTTGAGATGTCCTAAGCACCAGTCTAAAGCAGGGTTTCCCAAACTTGGGTTTCCAGCTGGACTACGATTACCATCATCCCTGACCACTGGTCATGCTAGCTAGGGATGATGGGAATTGTAGTCCAAAACAGTTGGAAACCCAAGTTTGGGAAACCCTGGTCGTAAAGGCTCCAAGACACCCATGTCCTAACAGTAGAATCCACACCATTCCTTGGTTTACTAAGGAGTTGAGGAGCATGAAACAGCTGTGTTGACAGCTGGAGCACAAGTGCTAAAAGACTCATGATGAAGATTTGGAATTATCTGAGGATCATTCCTTACTTTATTCCTGGAACCCATATACCCAATCAGCACTGTAATGTCAGTGAGCTTATGCCTGAGTATTATCAGCTGCTCTGCTGACTGTCTGGAACGAAGGCAAGCAACAAAGCACAGAGTTTATTTATTTAAAACCACTTTCACAAAGAACCTAGGGTGGGGCACACTAAAACGGCACTGCAATACACACACACACAACATTTGAAAATATGCAAGCTGGGAAAGTAAATTACAGACCCACAGAAAATTAATGCCCCCAAAGCCTGGATTTCAGTTCTAAAATTTTGTTATCAGCTGAAACTTTGGAGGCTTTAAATATGTTGGCATAGTCTTCAGTATTTACAGATCACAGATAATGTTTTGGCTGTGGAATCAAGCCGTGAGATCAGTTTAGAAGATCTACTCTGGAAGGGCGTTGTTAATGTTTAACTTGCAACATGGGGCCACATTGACTTTTCAAGTACAGTGTAGTACATCTACCAATATTGATGATACTGGGGTGTGTCTTAATGTGCTGGGGCAGGCGATTTTTTAAAAAAAACTTGTGCCACATTCATTATTTGAGTGTATAATATGGATAGTTCCTCCACTCTCGCACACATGCACACACTCAGCAATGATACCACCTTTGTCTATTTTACTGTTACAGTAATTTGGCCTAGTTTTGCTTTCCAAACTCTTTATGTACTGATAGTGCCATGTGAGCAATTAAGCACTACTGTTGTCAGTCAAACTAGAAACACTGTGTGCTTGGCAGATGTTTCAGTATTTATGTGATTTTCTTCAGTACATAATTATAATATATATTTAGGCACCAGTTTCATAGATGAAAATCAAAGGCGGTTTTCAAAGTCATTTGTGTTGGAGTGGTTTCTGTCTTTGCTGCTTTCTCATACACATCGAGCTTACTGTTTTTCATCCTTGTGAACTTATGTAGACCTTCCCAATAGTTTTGCTTGTTATGCAAGGAAAAGCATCATTGACAGCTGAACCAGAGCTAACTCCAAACTAAAGTTGTATCTGCCTGATTTAACCAAAACTTCAGTTTGGAAACCTTTATACATTCCAAAATGAATTATAAGAGGAAAACATAGAACAATTTTCTCTTGTATGGTCTGTGTATTCTGATGTTCTACGTATTAATTAAATTACTGTGCCAATAAATAATAATAATCTTGATATTATTACATCAATATAATTTTGTGCATTGTAATTTCATTGATGTGCAAAATGCTTAAGTCAAAATGAAATGATGGCAAATTGCTAAAGCATTGGCACTGTTCTGGAGACAAAAGGTCTCAGGGACAAAAGATTTGGACCCCCAAATCTGGATTTTCCAAAATCTGGAAAGTTGGGTGGAGATAATTCCGTGGACATCCCGAGAGAGGAGCTGTTTCTCCTGTTTGTTTTCAGTTGGACTTGACGCAGCAGAGCCTTAGGCTTTGGGAGGAACAAAAAGTTAGTTCTTGCTTGATGCAGTTTAATGGCATGCAAGCAGAGAATTGCGTCAGTAAAACTGCTTACACTAAACATTGCATAATTCAAGGCTTTAAGTATTTAACAATCTGCATGATAAATGGTGCAGCACAGCTCAAAAGCAGCTGAGATGGAAAACCCCTGCTCTGCGCCAAAATGGACAAGATTTGTTGACTGGATTCTTAGTAGGGTTTTGGAATTGTTTCTCCAGGCAGGAGGGTTAGAATCAAAGGGATAGGCTAGTTTCTCATTGGCTCAAAAGGGTTTGCTATTTGGATCAATCTTATCAAAAGAACATTGACAATTTGGGAGTTGCTTCTTCAATCAGTGTCCACTCCTCAACTTCTTGCCCTCCTCTGCCTCCATCAACCACCTCTAGACTCCATCCCTGTCTGAACAGGTTCCAAACCATGACCTGCCAAGAACTTCTGTCAGGAGTGTGTGCAGGAGCTAGGCCCTGTGACCGGTAGGTCTTCCCAGGACTGGGGCTTTCCTAAGTTTGTTCTGAAGAGGCAAGGCATGGCCACACAGGTGAGGCCGATTTGGTAACTCACAGCACCTGGTGGCAAGAGGCGGGAAGGGATATAAGGTCAGCATTTCCCTTTGGCTCTTTGCCACAGCAACATGCTTCCTGCTGAAGTGAAGGCACGAGACAGGAGTTGATCATCATGTGAGCTGCGCACAGGTGGTCTGAAGCGAGCTGCTGCCATTCCTGTGGAGCCTCCTTTTATTGAGACAAATATGCAAGCCAGGCAAATACATTTTGGGGCTGTGACCTTTACTCATCTTACGTCCCGAGATCGTGGGGTGGTACAAATCTATTTTGGCACCTGTTCCACAGCGTCATTTTCCCCTTGCACAGTGTATGACGAAGGAGACAAAAGGTCTCAGGGACAAAAGGTTACGGACAGGACACCGCTGACTGCTGAGACCGCAAAAGGTCAGACATAGGGGACAATGTTCCGACAGCCGTGGCTTGTCTGAGGGGGGGTTTTCCCTGCACCCCAGGGTCACGCGTGCAGGCAGACTGTGGCTGCCTGCTGGTGGAGAGTGTGCTCCCTCCGGACCTCACTGTCCACTCCGCGATATCCCTACACCTGCCTTGCTGCGTTTGTCCTCTTGACTCCTTTCTTCCTGACCCTTGGACCCATGGCTTCCTGACTCATGGCTTCTGCACTTCCGTTCTTGCTTCCACTCTGCCGTTTAGCCCCCGGTCCCGACGTCCTCCACCGGGATCTCAACCACCCTTAAACCAGACCGTGACAACTTCCTTGTTCTCAGCCACAGGAGTCCTCGCAACATGCGATTGAGGGAGTCTGTCTTGATCAGGTGCGGCAAACCCCCTGCAGCTTTAGTGGCTGTAATCCCGACCCCGCTCTTCAGATATGTAACTCAGACCCAGGGCAAGCCAGCAAATTAACCATTTGATTTTGTTTTCTGTTACATTTTTGAAGCTGTTTTTCTCTTTTCTGTACAAGGCAGGGATATTGGATCATCTTTTATTTCTTTTTTGCAGCCTTTGGGGTGACCACATTGTGCATACGAAAGTGTTGTCTTGCTGTGGGTAGATTTTTTTAAAAAAATGTTACTAGTTAAACTAGCATCTCATTTCTATTCACTCTTATAGTTGCCCATACAAATCAGAGGCACTCCTGGCTTCCTTGTATGTTCAGTTAGCTGAAGTGTAGGGAAGAAAAATTGTGTATCTCACCTCTGGCTGTCTTAAGGACCACAGATAACATGCTAATGGGTAATTGGGAATCTTTCTGTTGTCTATTCCTTCTTCTAGTGTCCCACAGCGCACTTGGAGAATCACAGCAGCCGATCATTCAGGATATAAACAGCTAGGTGTAAGATGAGACAGATAGATAGAAATTACCATATTGCATTAGGGATAATTGCAAACTCTAGAGATATGTTGGATGGATGAGCAACCTGCCATATGGCTGTTTTCATGTTTACCCAGTAAAACGTAAAGCAGAAAAATGGTTTCCTTCCCTGTACTAATTAATGAACTGATCTCACTTTCCAAAGTACTGTTACAGTATTGTCAAGTGGTCCTGAACATCACAACTATTGCATGTACTCAGTGATTGGGATCCATTGGCCTTTGCACTGTCTTGAAGTTGCCTTAATGCAATGCCTCTGCGCAGCTCAGATCGTTAAAAATGCTCTCTAGTACAGTGGTACCTTGGGTTACAGACGCTTCAGGTTACAGACTCCACTAACCCAGAAATAGTACCTCGGGTTAAGAACTTTGCTTCAGGATGAGAAGAGAAATCTCGCAGTGGCGGCACAGTGGCAGCAGGAGGCCCCTTTAGCTAAAGTGGTCCCTCAGGTTAAGAACAGTTTCAGGTTAAGAACGGACCTCCAGAACGAATTAAGTTCTTAACCCGAGGTACTACTGTACTAATTGGGTTGTCCTAGAATGGCATCATTTTATTTTGTGCGTTTTTGAATCCAGGATTAAAAGCTTTCATGAAAGCCATTATTATTATTATTATTAAACTTTATTTGACAGGCAACATAAAATTACACAACATCCCACATCACACCATAATATACTACAGAACAGAACAATACAATACAATACACAACTATACATTATATACATCACCAATCATTACTTTTATCTATAACTAATTTACAGAACAAAAAGAAGAAAAAAGAAAAGAAAGAGAATTAAAGGAAAATAAAGTTGACTTCCAATTAAACCCATTGTACTACCACTTATTTTGATTGTTTTACACACAGCATCATACTATTATTTTGTTTTCATAATTCTTATCCAAAGTACATGACTATTTATCACATTCGTCTTACAAGAATCAGTCAAGGTCTGCCAGGAGATTTTTGTTGTTACAATAATTTTTCAAGTAATCTTTAAATATTTTCTATTCTTTATGTACCTTCTGCAGTCGGATATCCTCTGATTCTCCCCCTCATTATGGCCAGCTGTAAATATTCTATCATTTGGACCTGGTATTCGATTGTTGTAGCAGTCTTTTTGCTTTTTCAGCTCCTTGCTACCAGAATCCTGGCTTCGGTTGTTGTGTACATGAATAGTGGTCTGACATTATTTTTTATTTCTGATGACATTATCCCTAGAAGGAAGGCCTCTGGGGTTTTTTGAGAATGAGAACCTGAGTAGTTTTAAAAATTCATTATAAATAGAATCCCAGAATTCTCTAATTGCCGTTCATTCCCATCACATATGCGTATAAGAGCCTGTACCTTTTTTTGCACCCCCAGCAAACTTCTGATTTTTTAAATACATTTTAGCCAGTTTAGCTGGGGTGAGCTGCCATCTATACATTAAAGCCATTCTCCAGGATATCAGCGCTGCTCTCAACATCAGTTTTAGGGGTGTCGTCTCTTCTATGGGTTGCTTTGGACTTTGGAGCTGTTTCCACTTTTCATTCTTGCCAAAAATCGCCTCCATTGCCCCGTGTTTATTCGATGGAATCTGTTAAGTTGTGGGTGAACATATCAGATGACACAGCGATTCTTCAGACAGCTCTTGTTTATTCACAGGCCAGAACAGAACTCAACTGAAGGGTTCAGCCAACCTGCTTATATAGAGCTCAACTACAAAGCAACAGTAACAATTTTCTGTAACTATCCAATCACTGAACGTCACTTTCAATTCCTTATTTGCATATGCGGACCTGAGTGAAAACTATCTACAGTATCCCCCTGCTGGCCCAGGGTAAGAACTTCAGTACATAACAGAATCCCTTGAAAATGGCTCTGCTTCACATTAGAAGGCTGCAAATGGCCCTCGGGCAGTTTAGCCTACAGAGCACAACTCATGACCAAGCTTGGGGAAGCGTCCCAACTCAGTTGAAGTTGAAGTCTAGGCAGAGCATTTCTACTGCAACATTTACACTAATGTACTATTTTGGCTGGGATGCAAATATTTCCTGTGTGAGAGGAGGGACACTTCCACCTGTGCTAGAGAAAGAGTGTGTGCGTCTTCAGTCCTCCTCTCTGTGGTGGATCACATGCTATTCTGAGGATACAGGAACCCTACAGAAACAGCTTGCAGGGTGTGAGAGATGGCAGTAGCAAGGCGGTGGGAAAGTCCCATTGTCTGGCTCAGAGTCTTTGGATCCAAGCCAGTATTAAATGCCTAATATTGTGATAGGCGCTGCACAAATTAAATCCAAAATAAAGTCTCTGCCAGTGTTTGTTTGTTGTTTTGTTTTGTTCCAATCTAACAAAAACCAGACACAAAAGGGATAGGGAATGGGAAGGGATAATTAAAATAAGTAAAAGTAATTATAAAAGGCATAAACAAAGAAAATCTTTCTGACTGATTGCCAAAAGTAAATAAGTTTCCAGAAGATACCTTTGATTGTGGTAGCAGTTTCGCCCCTGTAACCCAATGTGGTGATCAAAGGTGTTTTGTTTTGTTTTTAATATAGAGATGCTGATTTGAAATTAACAAGAAAAGTGGCGTGGATGATACAGGAAATAATTCATGCTGGAAAGCTTTTGTCTCAGCAGCTGGTTTTCTTACAGAATCTTAAAGTGCTTGTTACCATTTTCTGAAACCTAAATACATTCTTAAATTAATTTGAGTCATTTCCCATGGCAAATATATTTATCTCATTGCTTTATCCAAGGTGTCAGTGTTCATTGGTTTTTAGCATCACTTTCATAATAATATTTTGATCCTGAGCTTAGACATTTCATATTGCCCATCCTTTTGGTATATTTTGAAATTTATGGGTGATTAATATTTTTACATCAACCAACATTGGGCTTTCAGTACTTCTAAGAGCATAACTTCTCACTGCATAAATTAACTTTGGCTGAGTTGCAATTTCTCCTTTATAGCCTGAATTTCCAATAACCAAGTAAATGAACAATGAACTTCTACCTTCAGGCAGACTGCTGATTATCCATGCTAGAAATTCTGGCATGTGCTTGGGAGCTGTGGATAAGAAAAACTTAATCTTGGACTTAACTTTTGCACCTTCAGATTGAACAAGTTCAGTTACCTTGTAGAAGAACTGAATTTCAGCTGAATTTTTGAGAGCTTAATAACTAAAGCAATTGTAAAAGGCTTACAAGGAATCATATGTATTATAACTGCCTTAATAGTTGTTGAAATAAAACATGCTAATCCTCTAGTGGCCCTTCCTCCGTAGTGGAGGGAATGGCTGCCAGAAACTGGCCCCTATAGCCATTAAGCACTTTGAATCTCACAGTGCTTTCTTCTGAGCATGCTTGGGCCAATCTTCTGTAGATTTGGCAATGATGCGTAGGTTTCCTGATCCCACCCCCTGCCAACACAGGAGTTGATGGGCTTGCAAGCAGGAAGAACATCTGTCCAGTTTGGAGGAAAACTTGCACTGGAGTAAGGGTTCAGGATATGAGAGCTGCTGTGGTCAGAGTGATAGACCAGGACTAGGGACATCCAGGTTCAAATTCCCACTCATCTATGAAGCTCATTGTTCCTCACTTCAGAAACGTTATTGTAGAGTTGGAAAAGGTTCGGGAAATGGCAGTCTTAATGATCAAGGGGATGGAGCAACTGCTGTATGTGGAAAGGTTGCAACATTGGGGGCTTTGTATTTTAAAGAAAATGTAAGAGGCAGCAGGGTACATGTTTTTAAAATTATCCCAGAGATGGAAGGAAGAGACAATCCCAACCAGAGAAGAATGGCAATCCAAGTTGATGGACTATGCCGAAATGGCAAAATTAACTGGGAAGCTCAAGAACCAAGAAGACAAGAAATTTAAAAAAGAGTGGGAAACGTTTATAATTATATACAAAATTATTGTAAACAGGTCAAAACATTAGCAGGATTCTAAACACACTTGTATTGTAACAGAATGTATAGATAACCTAGGAAGATACAAAAATGGATGAGATCATCTCTCCATCAGGACTTTTATAATGCACTACCACAGGATACAAAGTACAAGAATAATTTGAGGAATCAAATGTTCTATTTTTTTGTGTTAGATCATCAATGAACTCATCTAGTGTTGAAGTGGTTTTGATCAAGTGTGTTCGACCTGTGGAAATCCATTGTGAAAATTCAATGGGGTCACTCCCTGATAGCCAGTTTTCATAACTTCAAAGTCCAATATCCCCAAATTAAAGAAGTATGCACTTTGCTTTCAGAAAAAAAACTTATAATAACCAATATTATGTTAATTTTTATGATGAACAACTTTGTTTCATTAATTTTTTTCTATTACAGCTATGGATTGTGGGAAAGTTGTACCCAGTAGCCATTTTTCCCCCCATGATGTCTAAAAAATGTAAAATTTTTGTTACAAGGAATACAAAATCCAAAAATTTCATTCTTTGGCAAGAAAGAGCATGTCTTTGCAATAATTTTCAACACCAAAAACTTTTAGTCCCATCATGCCCACAGGCTGAGAATAGAGGTTTTCTAAACTTAGTTTTTCCACCAAAAAAAGTACATTTATAAACTCTATCTTCCTGAATCCCCAAATGGTTTTTGACCTTCTGGGGCAGGCTTGTCCAAAGTTCGTTTTGGGGGCCTAATCCGGCCCACCAGTCAGTTAAATCCAGCCCCTGGCATGCAATTCAAAAGCAAGGAGGAAATCTAAACCTTTTCCTGTTTTGTTTCCACCACCCTCTAGAGTTTTCAGTTATGCCAAACAAGAATCTAGAGAAATTAAAGTCATACTTGCAGTCAGTAGGGAAACTTCAAAGTGCAAAAATACTCATGGATATAGTTAGGAGACAGTTTGCTAAAATCCTTACCAAACTTTTTTACTGGCCACAGCTAATAAAGAGATGCCTTGATAGTTGCCATATTCCACTCTATTCTGATGTCATGAGTATCATGACGCTGGTATATTCTTATCGGCTTCAGTCTTCATCTGCCTTCACAGCCATTGTAACATACCACTTGTTACCTTCCGCCTATTCTGCAGTTGAGGACTTATTGGATTCACTCACTGGGTCATTACCTTGTCGTGGTGAGTGGGCTTGCAAGTTGCTATGATCCTTGTGAGCGAAACCACTGGGAGTCTCGTACTCCCAGCAGGATCACCCAAGGCGGTAAGGTCAAGAGGGAGGAGCTAGACAAAGAATGATCCAAGAATGATCCAAGACATCAATAGTTTCAAGCTGAGCACAGGATTGGCACCTGGGGGTGGAGGGAGAGCTGTTTTGTGCATTCAAAATCCCCACTCCCCAAATGCTTTCCCAACTACAATTGAAAATATGCATGTTATCTTAAGGTTACCCGACGTCCCCGTTACCCAGGAACAGTCCCCGGATTTACAAATCAGTCCCCATACAAAATCCATTGAAGTTGAAAAGTGTCCTCGGATGCATTGAAACAAATCTGGTAACTTTAGGTTATTTGTGTCTATTTCCCTCTAGGGTAGAAAAACAGATTAAGCAGAAAAACCCCCAACAGTGGTCAGGGTAGGAGTTGAGTATGATTTCTGAAAAAATGCCTGAAAATGTGATGGCAAAGAAAGCTGAAAACCTGACTCAGGGGAAAAAAACCCAACAACTCTAATTCATGGTGGGTGGTATATTTCTCATGGGTGACTCATTTTTATTTATTTTTTCATATTTAGAAAGATAAACATTTTAGAGGAAGCAGATGGTGGTAGAAGTCCAGCATGTTTATGCAGTGTAGATGGGCATTTGAGAAAGAAAGAAAAACTCCTTGCACACAGATGTTTAAAGATCAGATGTGGCCTTTAATCAGATGTATTTCCTTGGTGCCAGATATGGCTTGTGTGTAAAGGATAGTGGATGGGAAATGCAAAAAAAATTAAAAATTAAAATGTGAGAAAATGCCAGTTTAATCACCGCAAAACAGATAGTCAGAGGGTGTGCCCAAATGACAGCAAAGAGGCTGGATGATGGTTCTTACCAGAATGAGATGAGTATTTGTGTGCTTTAAAGTTTCCCTACTGACTGCAAGTATGACTTTAATTTCTCTAGACTCTTGTTTGGCATAACTGAAAACTCTAGAGGGTGGTGGAAACAAAACAGGAAAAGGTTTAGATTTCCTTTTTTTTTTTAAAGATATTTATTAAGATTTTCAAAATATTACAAAATGAAGAAAGGAAAAAGAAAAAATACAAAATAAAAATAGTTAAAAACAACTCAATCTTTCCATTACTTATCTTTCATTGGCTTGTTTCCCGGACCTCCTCGCGCCTCCCTTTTTTGTATTCCAATTCAGTTTGTTAGTTCAGCAAATCCTTCCCCTTTGTTTATCCTAATCTTTAATCTTATAATATGGTGACATTGAATTTTAACCTATTAATAATCCATTTTTCATATTCCCTTATAATATTACAGCTAAAAATCACTTAATTTCTATCCAACATCATTCTAACATTCATTAATTTTGCAATATTTCTGTAGATAGTCTTTAAACTTTTTCCAATCTTCTTCCACCCATTCTTCTCCCTGGTCTCGGAAGGGTTTAGATTTCCTCCTTGCTTTTGAATTGCATGCCAGCATGGTATTCGGTGACATACAATGGTGCACTATGCAGGAATGGTTGACTGCTACTGTTTGCAGATATAAAACAAGGGGTGCATTTAATGGCTGTAATCCTAGAAAAGCATTTCTCCCCTGAACACTGTTAAAAATGTATTACGCAGAGAAGTGGCATGCTGTATGGGTACGCGTGTGTGTGATCTTTCTCTCCCCAGGTATATATTTTTTAAAAATCAAGGTGGTGGTGAGAGACTTTGGGAAAGCCTTCATGAACAGCAGTCTTAACCCCTTTCTTCTGCTAATGGCAGATAATTATACTTTTCAAAGAGTTGGCTGATTTCTTTCCAGGGGTGGGGGCAGAAAATACCTATTGTGTAGCTTAAGTGCCTGATGTTCTTGGAAGCAATTCAGTAGGTGGCATTGTTTGGAAAGCTGGGGGGAAGCTAAAGGTGGCAGGCTAATTGCTACATTGGGGTGAGCCGCTGGAGACAAGGCGATCAGATTCACAGAACTTTTTCAGCTTGCCCTGAGTTTTGTTACAGGCCCAAGGAAACAAAGATGATTTAGAGGGTTTGGCAAGCTTGAAGAGGAAAATCAGTTGTGTTTCAAGGGCATTAGTATTGAACAGAAACATCAAAGCCTTTCTGTACCTTTGCTTTCTTTTCTTTCCCCCTCTTTTTTTAGAAAAAGCTTTTGTTGGTTTTAGGAACAACCTTTTCTCTATGGCCTGTGAGTCTGGTGGATGGAAAGGAAAGGAAGCTGATGGCCCCATTAATATGAAACTTGTATCAGTGTTCCTGATTAAAAATGGTGCTGTAACACAGAACCCTGTACAGTGGTTCCTCGGGTTAAGAACTTAATTCGTTCTGGAGGTCCGTTCTTAACCTGAAACTGTTCTTAATCTGAAACACCACTTTAGTTAATGGGGCCTCCTGCTGCCACTGCCCTGCCACTGCACGATTTCTGTTCTCATCCTGAAGCAAAGTTCTTAACCCGAGGTACTATTTCTGGGTTAGTGGAGTCTGTAACCTGAAGTGTCTGTAACCCGAAGTACCACTCTATGTTGAAAGTACATATCTTGAACTCAGTAGTTTTAACACATTGTCATAAAAAACTTCCTTAAACCAAGATTAAAGCATTTTGTGCCTCACTAAGTTTAATTAAAAGCATGTCTGCATGTTCTTAATTGAGGGGGAAAGGTTTTCTCAAATAATGCACTCAGTCTTTGCAATTAACAAACACAAAGGTTTTATACAGAACATGGGTGCAGTGTAGGCTCTGGATTACTCCATTCCTCCATGGGATGCTAGGAAATGGCACCTTTGCCCCCATATAAGTGTTGAACATCCAGCTCCGCCCTAAGATTTCAAATTGGTCAACCTCCACAGACCCTCCAAGTGCCCCTATTTTCCAGGGACGTCCCTGATTTAGAGAAGCTGTCCCAGTTTCTGATTTGATCCTAGAATGTCCCACTTTTCCTTAGGATGTCCCTGTTTTCTTTAGAGAAATGTTGGAGGTTATGGAGTTATCCAGCCCCCAAGCCATCTGAAGGCAGCCCTATATAGGGAAGTTGTTTTTTTAAAAAAATGTTTAATGTTTTATTGTGTTTTTACTTATGTTGGAAGCTGCCCATAGTGACTGGGGAGCCCAATAAGATGTGTGGGGTATAAATAATAAAATTATCATTCTCTATTTTCAACAAAGAAATGTTGGAGGGTATGCCTCCATGCTGTACTGAACATCAAAGGCAGACAGTTTTCACTCGTTTCTGGAAGGGAGCAGCTCAAAGATTGATTGTAAAACTTTGGTACAGCACTCTCAAACATCTTGACAGCGAAAGGGGACTATCGGGTATGGGGCTCATACACTTCCTGATAAATCTCATTTCATGTTTCCCCACACACCACTGCCACTCTGGGCAGTGTTTTTGGTACGAGCTGTACCAATTCCTTCTCAGTTCCTAGCTTTTTGTCTACTTTCTGCTATCTATGATTAGCTGCACCAATCATATTTGGCTATACCACAATGCCACAAAGTCAGTTTAGAGTTAGGGTGGTCAGTTTCAACCCTGTTTGAAGACCCTCGCTTTAACAATAAGGGGTGTTTTTTGCAGAGGTGAAAGGGTTGGAAAATATCTTCCATTTGGGCTTAGCTCTAATTAAGTGGGGAAAGTGACACATGGGCTAATAATGATAATAATAATAATAATAATAATAATTAATATACCTGGGGAGAGAAGCTTTTTATGAAACTTTTCTGGCTGGGTTTCCCAGCGGCTTGCTCTGAGTGGCACCTTTTCTCTCTCTCTGCTTTCCATTCTTCCTGAGGAAATGATAGCTCCTTTCATTCTTTGATTGCTGATACAACTACCTTCCACTGCCTGGTCTTCCTCTCTCCTGTCTAATCTGTCCTCCAGGCTCAAGCTGAAATCTGAAGCCTCACTCTCCCTGGACTGGCATGCCAAGGGCCTGCTATTCTTCTGCTTGCTTGCAGCCTGCCAGTTTGTCAAACTATGCCAAACCTGGGCTGGCTCTGTAAACCGTCAACCTGCTGAATCTGGATAATGGCAACAATACTGTGTCTACCTCCATAATTTCTGTCTGGTGTCCTTGTTAAGAGTGTTGGACTGGGAAGACCTAAATCCTCCCTTAGACATGAAAAGGAACTGAGTGGCAACCTTAAACCAACCAGTCTTACGTAACTCTCAGCCCAGCCTAACTCTTGAGTGGGTTGTGAGGATTAAAAAAAGCAGAAGCCTCCTTGAAGGAAAGGCAGAATAGAAATGTAATGAACAGATTAAGTAAACAAGGTAAAATAACTATAATCTGCCTCTTTTGTGCCAGGCCGTCATGAAGTAATTGTCTTTTAGCAGAAGTCCTGCAGTAGCTAAGCTGCCCACCCGCCAACTTCCCTCCTTTCCTCTCCCTGCCTACACACTGCAGCCTATTCCAGTGACAGAGACACTAGCGACTATATTGCGGCCACCCACCTCAATAAAAGAAAGGGAGACTATGCCTCCACGCTCCTGCTTCTGTCTGCTTCAAAGAGAAAGAGAGAAACTGGCCTTTGTGATGCTGCCCACCTGGAGGAGAGAGACTGGCCATTGTGACCTCATGCTGACCTGCCCACCTGGAGGAGAGAGACTGGCCATTGTGACCTCATGCTGATGCTTCCCACCTGGAGGAGAGAGACTGGCCATTGTGACCACGCTGATGCTGTCCACCTGGAGGTCTCAGAGAGACTGGCCATTGTGACCTCACGCTGATGCTGCCCATCTGGAGGAGAGAGACTGGCCATTGTGACCTCACGCTGACCTGCCCACCTGGAGGAGAGAGACTGGCCATTGTGACCTCACGCTGATGCTGCCCACTTAAAGGAGAGAGACTGGCCATTGTGACCTCACGCGGATGCCACCTGCCTGAAAGGGAGGGGGAGAGAGACACTTCTCTCTCTTCCTACATGTCAGCCACTTTCATAGGAGAGATGCCATTTGCACCCTGAACCAGATAGGAGATTCTTAACTCCCCCCCTTTTTTCCTTTCAAATGCAAGGTTCACCTCTCCTCAGGCAGACAGGCTCCACTGTTCACAAATGAGTGTGGTTTTTTTTTGCATACGATAGCTGCTCTCTCATGCCAGCTGTCAGTGATGATAACTTCTCCCTGTGCTATCTCTTCCTACTGCCTGCCAATTATGTATCCGATGAATGGGGAGCCACTATCCCCATTAACAGCCACCTTCTGGAGATGACAAAGCAGCAGAGAGCCAATTTGCAAAGCATTGTGTTTATTTCCATAGAAAACAACAGGAAGCTACAATCTAAATTAAAAGCGAAACTAAACTCCTGTGTTCTTCAAGAGCCACAGTTCTCACAATGATGCTTAGTACCATAGATGTTTGATATGACATGTCCTCTCATGCTGTCTTCCCTCACCCTTTGTCTATAGTTGCTTAGCATGATACATGTTGAGTTCTTATCTTCCTTCTGCCCCAGCCCTTTGTCAGTTTGGGATACTGCTGGCCTGCGGCGGAGAGACACAGCTGGCAGCTTTATGGGCCTTTTCTGAGTGTATCACTTGCCAGGATGCCCAGCTGTGCTACTTTGTGGCATAACCAATACTCAACTCAAACTGTGATTTATCCCCCAGCTAGTGACTATTTCAACACACAGCAACTGCACCACGAAGGGCCAAAGGTGCCAGAGATGCCAGTACAGTTCCAAAATAATGCTTGATGCTGGTGGGTTGCCTTGGTGCCCAACTTTTGGATTTCCAGGAAGAGCCAGCCTGGCCACAGCTGGGAATAAAACAGCAAACTAGGTGGAACATTGCTCTGATCCAGAAGGGCTTTCTTCATATTGTTATAATTTCAAATGATAATTGGCATGAAGGAGTGCATTCAATAATTAAACTGTATAACCAGAGTGATCGAAACCATCAAAGCCTTGGTTCCAAATGAAGAGCTTGATAAAGACCCTGTTTGCTTAGCTTGGCCACACATTTGGGGGTGGCATTTGTGCGAAGCTTATGCCAGAGCTTATTCATGCCTAATAGCCTAGGCTGAGTACACAGATGTGTAAGCACATGTCAGGTGGCTCAATGGGTCAGTGCATCTGGCTGTTAATCAGAAGGCTGGTGGTTCGTGCCCACCTAGGGACAATTGTGGGCATTGCAGGGGATTGGACTAGATGACCCTTGGGGTCACTTTCAACTCCCAGTTGTGGCTGCAAAAATGACCATAAAGTCCACAGAGGGTGTGTGACCCTGATGAGCCTCTTCCATGTGTACCTTAGTACGCAAATAAATTTCTAAATAGTCCTAAGGTTATAAAGGTACCCCAGTCTTGACAGACTCTAGGGTTGTGCGCTCATCTCACTCTATAGGCCGGGAGCCAGCGCTGTCCGCAGACACTTCCGGGTCACGTGGCCAGCGTGACAAGCTGCATCTGGCGAGCCAGCGCAGCACACAGAACGCCGTTTACCTTCCCGCTGGTAAGCGGTCCCTATTTATTTACTTGCACCTGGAGGTGCTTTCGAACTGCTAGGTTGGCAGGCGCTGTGACTGAACAACGGGAGCTCACCCTGCCGCGGGGATTCGAACCGCCGACCATGCGATCGGCAAGTCCTAGGCTCTGTGGTTTTACCCACAGCGCCACCCGCGTCCTCCTAAGGTTATACATGGATATAATTACTATAAAAAACCATCGTCTTGTAGCCTCACATCTTGCCACTTTGTCTGCCATCACAACACATTTTGGTTTTCCCAGCAATCTGAAACCAACAGGATTGTCTTTGGAATTAAATATTTAATAGCTTTAATTGCTCCAGCGGTAGCTGATTGGCTTTTTCAGCAATGTGATGCTCTCCAAGCTCCCATCAATATTTTTGAGAATGTATGGGATGACCTCATTCTGCTACAGGTTAGAGAAGTTGAGTTAAATTCGGCAGTTTCATTGAAGTCATCACCACATATTTTTTTTGATTGATTGATTGATTGGTTGATTGAAATGTTGCTCATCTTTGCCTAGAGTAAATGAATGCATGTTGGCCTACTAACATCATCCTTTATGAACTTTCATAAATATCCACTCTTTCCAAACCCTCTTCTTTTCCAGACAGAGCCAAGCCAGTAGGAAATAACGGAGTGAAGATACATGTTGTGACACCATTGTGTCAGAGCACTACTTTGAGGCTGATTTGTTTAACTTCTCTTGTGTTCTTGCTGGCAATCCTTCTAGATTATCTTTTCATGAACATGACATAGTTGATTGCAGAGTGCCAGACGCCTTGTGTTTTTCTGTGACATAAAACACAGTGCGGTCCATTCAGATGGTAAACTAGTATTCAGTTCCCATGGAATTAGGCTTTACTTGAGCCAGTATCTGGAAAAGGGGGCCAACATTGAGCAAGCCATAAACAAAAAAATTCTGTGTTGTCCCTTGAATTGGAAATATTACATCTGTAGTGGGTGTTTGCCTTAACAGCACATTGGGACACATCAAGCTGATAAAGGAACTGTGAGCTCCTCAAGTGCCTGAATCTTTTATGGTGTGCAGGACTGCAAGTAACCCAGCTGTTTATTTGGCTGATAGGGTATGCCTTCATCATGGTTGGAGAGAAGCAACAGCATATGGATTCTTCCATTTAGGAGTGCACTGTGCATGCATGCGCAACTGATGTGTCCAGGCAGAATTCTGGTGAACAGATGGACAAACTGAACAAGACAAAGGGGAAAAACAAACAAACATTGCAACAATGGGAGGGGAATGTTGAGATCCGATGGGATAAAGGAGATCATGAAATGTATTTCCAAACAAAAATGGCAAAGTATAGCATGATGGGGCATAAATGAGCATTAGGGATGGGGGAGATACTTGATTTAGTTCTGATTTAAAGGTGGATATATCAACTCTGCACTTTGCAAAAGAATAGCACACCAAAACACATGTATCAATTGCAATTCACACTTATCTGCGTTTTGTTACGCAGTTCTCCAGGCAGGGTTTACATAAATGCACATATCAGGGGGAAGTGTGCGTGAAAATGAATACAGTTGTACCTTGGTTGCTGAATGCCTTGGAACTTGTATGTTTCGGCTCCTGAACAATCAAAAGCCGGGTATGAGTGTTCCTGGTTCCGAATGATTTTTGGAAGCTGAACATCTGATGCAGCTTCTGCGGCTTCCGATTGGCTACAGGACGCCGTGCCTTGGTTTTTGAACAGTTCCTGAAGTCAAACAGACTCCCGGAACGCATTCTGTTTGATAACCAAGGTATGACTGTATAGTAGTGAAAATAGCATACAAAACATTATATTAGGGGAGGTTTGCACTAAAATGCTGCTGAATTTTCATGAATTATTTTTTTTAAAAAAAACCCAAATTGAAGAAATATGAAGAGCTAAATTTATGAGTGAAAAAAATGAGAAACGGAGAAAACTAAGATTCACACATTCTTCCATCTATAGCAATTTCAATGCTATTTTATCTCTGTCATGTGCTTTAGTTGACATTTTTGTTTTGAAGCAGCAGCAAAGCAACAGAGAAGTAAGCAAAGTCCTTTTCAAACCCATACTGCTAATGCAGTGCTTTTGTTAATTTAAAAACTGGTAAGATTTATCTTCAGAAGATTTCTGTTCTCTACAATTAATCACAGAATGACAGAAGTCAAAGCTCATGCTGCCTTATTGTCAAACCTACTCAAATCCTGAGTGAATGAATTAATAAACAAACTAAAACAGCAAATAATACTTTGTGGTTTCTTACCCGGCTTTTGTGTAGAGAGATTTGTGCCCAGTTACTCATAACTGGGCTTTTACTAAATGGGATTGGATTGGATTGGGATGCAGGTGGCGCTGTGGGTTGGACTTGCTGATCAGAAGGTCTAGGATTTGCCGATCAGAAGGTCGGCGGTTCGAATCCCCGCCACGGGGTGAGCTCACGTTGCTCGGTCCCTGCTCCTGCCAACCTAGCAGTTCGAAAGCACGTCAAAGTACAAGTAGATAAATAGGTACTGCTCCGGCAGGAACGTAAACGGCGTTTGCGTGCACTGCTCTGGTTCGCCAGCAGCGGCTTAGTCATGCTGGCCACATGACCCGGAAGCTGTACGCCGGCTCCCTCAGCCAAGCGAGATGAGTGCCACAACCCCAGAGTCGGCCACGACTGGACCTAATGGTCAAGGGTCCCTTTACCTTTACCTTTATACAACTACTAAGGGACGCGGGTGGTGCTGTGGTCTAAACCACAGAGCCTAGGGCTTGCTGATCAGAAGGTTGGCGGTTTGAATCCCCGCGACGTGAGCTCCCGTTGCTCAGTCCCTGCTCCTGCCAACCTAGCAGTTCAAAAGCACGTCAAAGTGCAAGTAGATAAATGGGTACCATTCCAGCAGGAAGCTAAATGGCGTTTCCGTGCGCTGCTCTGGTTCGCCAGAAGCGGCTTAGTCATGCTGGCCACATGTCCTGGAAGCTGTCTGCAGACAAACGCCGGCTCCCTCGGCCAGTAAAGTGAGATGAGCGCCGCAACCCCAGAGTCGTCTGCGACTGGACTTAATGGTCAGGGGTCCCTTTACATTTACCTTTATACAACTTCTAAGCAGCAGCAAGAACAGGCAATGTAGCAAGTCACCAGTGGTTAATGGTATGTGTTTCTTTTCTTTTTCCTCCTTTCTGTACAAGTCCAATATAATGCTCAAATATGGTCCAGGATAGTGGGCAAACAACATTCTAGCAGCCATGGTAGCATACATAAACAGTCTCTTTAGATTTCTTGGTATCTCTTCCCCCACTATTCCGAGCAAAAAGGTTTGTATGAAAGGTTATCTTAAACATTTTTAAAAACTCATTATAAATCATTTCCCAGAAGTCTTTTGCCCTTCTACAAGTCCACCACATATGCATAAAGGTACCATCACTATATTTACATTTCCAACATATTTTGGTGGAATTTTTATACATCTTTGCAATCTTAACTGAGGTTAGGTACCAACGGTACATCATTTTCATGCAGTTTTCCTTTAACGAACTACATGCAGTAAATTTTAGATCCTCCTTCCACAGCCTTTCCCATGACTCGAGTGGGATATTATGTCCCAAGTCCATTTTACCATTACATCTTTAACCATGATATCCTTTAATCCATTGTCCCTTTCTTATTTATTTATTTATTTATTTAAGGTATGAGTTACATCTCCGCATATACACACGGAAAGTGCCTGGGGGAATGTGCTATAAAAACTCTAGAGATACATATATTCTGAACTGGGCTTTTAAAACTTTGTTTGCTATAGCTTCCTTCCACGCTTATCAAGCAGTAGTTCCTCCAGGCTGATCGGAGCCTTCCTAGTATATACTAAGGGAAGAAGAGGCAGTTGCCAGGTGAGAGTGAAGAGTAAAACAGACATGTGGATAGTGAGTTTGTGTGGTTTTTTTAAAAAGTCAAATTATGGGTATTTTATTACTTCCACTGAAATTGCTGGATCTTCAAGTGCTTTTGCCTGACTGGATTGCATCCAGTTTAACTGATTCTATTTATACAATCCATTTTGAGATTTGCGTTCTCCCTTCATGTATATTTTAGTATGGTATATGCAAATAGTTGAAATAGTTTCTCAAACATTAGCTGAATCCAGTCTGTTTTAATGTTGTTTGAATTCTGTTACCCTGCTTGTCTTCCCAGGTATGCCAATTTATAGATTAATCTGGCACTTCTTAATGTGTTCTATAGCTTCCTAGCAGCCTGCAATTAAAACACCAGTGGCTTCCTTATTCATGCATTCAGAACCTTTTCCAGGATTTTTCAAAAGCCCAGTATGAGCTGTGTGCGATGATGGTATTAATCCTGCCTTGTTGCCATCTGGGCAAGGGATGAAATCAACTTATTTTTAGCTGACAGTACCTTGTCCAGTCAAAGTTTCAGGATGATTAATTTCCCTGGGAGTTTGTGTGACGGAGGCTTGAACCTGCAAAGCTACAGCTGTCTCCTGTTGGCAACTCTAGGCTAGTTATCACCAAGAGTTAAGGTAGACAGGCACTTCGTAGCAGTTGAGAATGTCGTATCCAGATGTAATTTGTTGAGAAATGGTACTTAAACTCGACATGCTGTTTATATGACAAACAGGTGTATGTTGTGTTTGTATCTAAGATATCAGTGCCCTCTAGGCTGAGGATGTTGTCTTTGGGTTTGCTAAAGTGGTGTGTCTAGCTCAGACAAAACACCAGTGTGCTGCAGCCTTAGAAGATATCAGTTCAAGAGTCAGATAATGTTCTCTTGTAAGACTGTTTCTCATGTAACTAGGATCATTGACTTAATTTTACTTTAAGTCAGTTTTGTAATGAAATATACTCAGTCGAGAGTGGATTTCATGCTCTTTATTCAGCTCATAGTGGTGAGGAGGAATGAATGTTTCCCCAAAGTATCTGATTTATATACTTTATTTACACAATGGGCTGCACGTGATTGGCTAATTCCGGAATTCTCCTGTAGGCCAATCAGGTTGTGGATTCACTTCCATCTGGAGCCGGATTGGGTGGCTCCTGCAGACCAATCATACTGCTGCATTGTTCTAGGACCAATCAGCCTGCTGAATTCTGAATCCTATTGTTCTAGGACCAATCAGACTGCTGCATTTTGGATCCTATTGTTCTAGGACCAATCAGACTGCTGCCTTTTGGATCCTATTCAACTCAGTACATAACAGTAAATAGCAATAATACTTTACCACTTTGCAGCCACAGTTGGTACACATTTACTAGATATCTGGAAATACCCGTGAGAACATGTACTTTCCCCCTGTGATTTTGAAAGACGGAGCTGCTCAAAAGTGAGGGCACATAGCTAAAAGGAAGTTGAAAGGTAGAAGCAAGAGTCAAATTTATCCAAAATACTTGGCAGCAATATTGAAGATTGGGTAGAAGGCATTCCACATTTTATGCACCATCAAATAAGAAGGCTTTTAAAAGAAAAAATGGCATAGCAGGTGAATTTACAAAGACCCACACATCACATGACATGACAGATTAAAACAAACTGTGGTTTAATGTGGACAAAGCGCAAAATATGCTGGACATGTTGGTTTCTTCCTCACTGATCAAGTTTTGGTACTGTGTCTTATGTAGTCACACAACCACACCTTGCTTTCCTGTCACACTTTCTGAGCGAGGCTCTTTTAGCCTATTTTGACAGCTATCATGGGACAAGGAGTTGCTACTGGAGAATAGACGGCTGAGAATTTCTGTCCAGCTTTCTCTTCTCACTAGATCGGAAGAAGAATTTGCATTACAATTCAGCACCAGCTCTTGTAGATAGAAGCGAAAACAGTATCATAATTTCATCTGCTGCAATCACTGAAGCTTACACTTAACACTTGAATGGAGATATTATAATATATATAAGAAAATTGGGAATCTGTTGCTTCTGAGGTAAATTAAGACCAACAACAGCTGCACTTGTTTCACAACCATGCCTTCCAATCTGTGTGTGATTAGTGAATTGATTAATCTGAAACTACTGGCAGTACTGTACAGCTCTGCTGAAAAAGCAAGGGCGGTCCTTCTTAAATCTCCAGGCGGCTTTCATCTCCTTGCAGGAAATCTCCTTATGTTAATACCTGCCTGTTGGTTATAAATGACACATTGGGCTAATATGAACCAGAGAGATCAAACGGGGTTGGCAGGGCTCCCTAACTGCAACCAGGATAAGGACCGCATCACATAACGGCAGAGGCAAAAACAGTGGTTGCGAATATGGTGTGTTAATAATCTCCTTCCAAACTTCCCACAGGCTGTAGAATATCAGCGTTGAGTAATAATAAGAGGATGATGACACAGGGTGAAATTCAACATCACATTATTACAGACATTCAGTCTGCAGAAGTACACCAGCTTGCCAGACAAAAAGATCCTTCTTCCTACCCAAGTCAATTTCAGGGAGTGCAAATCCTTAGGCGGATTAAAATATCAGGGTGTATCTTTCCACTATCATGCCTAGAAAATCTGCAGCAAAGTATTTACAAAATGTTTATAATGCTAAAAAGTTCTTTGGAATTTTTATTGATATTATTTCTAATAGTTTCTAATTTGTAATTTTTTTAACTGTTAATTGTTCATTTGAGCTGTTGTGAGTCAGTCAGTAGATTTTATTGTTTATAGCCAATGGGCCACACTATGAGCAGAAATCACACAACTACAAAATTGAAGACACTACATGCACCAGACCAGGACAAATCTAAAATTTAAAAACATTCCTTCTAGTCAGCATTCTTAAGGTTGGGCACGTGCACTATCCAGAAAGGTTGCCCTTATCATTCTTGCTGCTAGTGCCACCCTGTAGCTGATGCATTTATCAACATCTGCCACTGGAGATGCTATGAGCCACTATGAGGAAAATTTTGTGGAAGAGTGGCGTACAAATTAGCAGATGGCAATGAAGATGATGGAAGAGAGTCACAGTGTATTCTCAAAACACAGTTCTGCAGTCTCCCCAGCAACAGGCCTTTTACATCTTTCTGAACACCAGGCTTAGGATTCCAATGGATGCAAACCACAGAGGGCCAAATCAGACATACCATTATTAACTGCAAACAGGAATTGGACCAGCATTCTCTCCTTTGCTGCTGTCCTCCCCGCCCCCTGAAGCGCCAGGTTAGGTACTTTGGTTGTAAACTTTCAAAACAAGTTATGTCTGAAATGGGGAACTGTGTTTTCATGCTCATTTACTCGCTAAGATTTGAAAACATTGTTTGATCCTTGTTAGTAAACAGATCCTTATTTCAGGCTTAATGGGAAACAGTACATTAAAGAAACAAGGATCAAAGTGTCAACGCTGGTACATAAGAGGAAGACTGGGTGCGCTCATGTCCCAATGCTCATTCCTGTCCTAACAAGCTGTGGTTTATTAAGCCAGGAATGTTAGCATTCAAACCAGCCCATATTTCTACCAGTTACATATACAGCCACCTTTCATCTCACATTTTGCAAATGAAACTATCCCTTCTTGGAATTTATCAACAGCATGTCGATAATTTGAATATGGCTCATCACTGTCGCACAGTACAAAATGTTGCACCATTAGTTCTGTCTCATTAAATTCAATTAAAATCCAGAAAGTCATTGGAAAAATTTTCAGCACCAAGCTAATCAGACTCTGCTAATGAAAACCAATTGCATTGTGATGGAAGATTAATAGATGTGAGCCTGTAAATGCACACATCAGAAAGTCTTCATAAAAAAAAGAAATACAGCAGTCATGATGAACTTCCTGAAAACAATGGGTGGAATTATATGTCACACTCTTCTGAACTCTCCATCTGTGCAAGCATTTCAACTTCCCAAATGGAATTATTCCCCTTCCTCTCATCTCGTGCGCTCTTTTCAAGTTTCTCTGACACCCCCCCCCCGCCCAACACAATTCTGGGGTGTACAGGTGGTGGAGAGGGGGAAAGCCCCATTGCACAAGCAGAAGACATTGTGTAGGGCTTCCATTGATGGGCACATTATATGTGTCCCACCCAATAGAATTGAAATAGCAAGTCAGACCAGTGGAAGGTTTAATCCAGCAGTTTGTTCTGGTTGGCTCCTATCCCAAACCCTGATTAGAAAGAAGTCCCATCAATTTCAACAGTGCTGAGCCAAATACTCCCAGGAAGACCACAAGCAGGGCAGGGAGGCAACAGCCCTCTTTTAATGGTTGTACTTCATAACAATAGTAGCAGTATGATGGGACAGAGGTAAAGGTAAAGATACCCCTGACCATTAGGTTCAGTCGTGGACGACTCTGGGGTTGCAGCGCTCGTCTTGCTCTATAGGCCGAGGAGCTGACATTTGTCCGCAGACAGCTTCCGGGTCATGTGGCCAGCAGGACTAAGCTGCTTCTGGCGAACCAGAGCAGCGCACGGAAACACCGTTTACCTTCCCACCGGAGCGGTACCTATTCATCTACCTGCACTTTGATGTGCTTTCAAACTGCGAGGTTGGCAGGAGCTGGGACAGAGCAACGGGAGCTCACCCCGTTGCGGGGATTCAAACCGCCAACCTTCTGATCAGCAAGTCCTAGGCTCTGTGGTTTAAACCACAGCACCACCCGTGTCCCATATGGGACAGAGGTGCTTATGTAATCTGGCAGGTGACTTTTTGCTGCTTGCTTGGAGGGATTAGGTGGCAGTGTGATGTCCCACCATATCATTTGCTTTTGAACCATAGGATTTACTTATCTTCTAGTAAATTTATCAAACCTTCTATTTAAGCCATCTAAGCCAGCGGCCACCACTGCATCATACAGCAGTGAATCCTGTATGTATGTATGTATGTATGTATGTATAATTTAACCGATGCATTTCCATCCAGCAAGAACCACTCAAGATGGCTAACATTAAAATAACAATAAAACAACATCTTTAAAAAGCAATATTGAAAATCAATATAACAACCACTCAAAAGGTAAAGAGTAAGTTTGGCTGGTTTGGCTTTGTTAGGCCAGAGAATCAAGAAGAAAAGGACCATCACTGGAAACAAATTGTCACTTGTAACTATCAATGTAATTTCAGAAGACTTAAATACTCAGAAGAGGGAAGAATCTGGACAACTGTGCAGGGTGATTCTAAAAGAAGCCGCATTCCCTTAAAGTAGGTGACTGGAGAGGGAAGAGATCAACCTTCTTGCATTCCCAGTAAATATTGTTCATATGCATGCCTATAGTTAATAAAATGAAAATGAAAATGTAACTATGAAGTATATTTGAAGCACAATGTGTAGCTTGGCCTTTAATGTAACTAAAAAATAAATAAAATTAACCTTCCATTTTCAAAAATGGCAGATCTGAACAACGGAACAGGTATGTGGACAGCAAAATGTAGGGAGTTTTTACTTTGTTGTCACATAAGAGTATTTTAATTCTCAGTCCTCTGTTCTGGGCAGGTGACCCTAAAGTAAATGAAGCTGGTATTTTGCCATGATATTATCTGTTGGATAAGTAAACTTCCTAAAAACCGATTTCTGTCTTACTGCTTCACATTGATCATTAAAGTTATGGAGTGCATGGTCTACTGCTCTTTCCTGCTATTCTGAACAAGTAGAGACTCATTGTATGAAGTTCTTAAACAGCCTTGGCTAAACATTACCGATTGCTGTGTTTCAGTCTTCAGTTATTTGGTGCTATCATTTGAATGCAAACCTTGCAGCCTGTCCCAGATTGAACTTTTTCTTGTCCGCTTGGAATATTGAACAAAGAGGGATTGAACAGTAGTTTATTTCTTTTCAGTGGTTTAAAACATCTGCCAGTCTATGCAGTTTTAACCTGCCAAAGTGCAGGGATATGAAGACTGATTAAATATTAATTCTGAAGGGGGATATTTGTATTTTCTATTTAATTATTTGCTGCATTGACTCTCTAACCTCTATGTGGAGAATCAGCTTTGCAAGTGGTGAAACTGAGAAGACTAAAAGCTGATTGCCCTTATGGTTTAAACTTAGTTAATAGCATGACTCTCATAATTGATTTGCCCTGTATGGTGGAATGTCATCCATTATTATGAGCAAGGACAGCTTGCAGGATTGCTTGTGCTGTGTTGTAGCTCTTTTCCCATTTACACAACTTTGGATGCAAGTAGAGCTTCACAATATGGTTTCCTTCCTCCATTTTTCACTGGTGATCTTAGTGGTTCTTAATAGACCACATCTACAATAGCCCGTCAAGTGTCACCTTCTACAAAGTATCCATGCAGATCCTAAAATAGAAGGGTTGTTGTTGTTTAAAAAAATGACAACCCAAAATGTAATAGGACTCATTTTGTATGGGGAGTAGCTGGGCTGTTTAGGTTGCTAGCAAAACAACCGAGATGGTCAGTTAGAAATTAAATTAAATGGACTCAAAACAGGTGAATGACAAGAAATGAGACTTGTGTTTGGTGGTTGGGAGTAGTTGTGTTGTGTTGATCCCCAAGCTCCGATGTATTCATCTGTTTCCCCAAAGGCTTTAATTGTGAATCCCAAAAGTCAAAGGATTGAGTGGTGGCTGATAGAACCTAGACCTGGTGAGGTGCCTCAAAAGTGATGTGGGTGGAGCCTAGGAGTTCACATGGGTAGAGCCTAGGAGGTTCCTGCTTGCAAGGTCCCTTTCCTCCTCCCTTGCAAAGGAACAGTGGAATTTTAAGCAGTTTTGCACACCAGCATGTGACACGACTAGGATTATGCTAAATGGAACATTACAGGCTGACAAGATTTTCAAGAACTGCATTTGGGTTAAATAGCTATTCCCAGTGAAAAACACAATTCCTAACGATGGAGGTTTAATCCTATGTACATCTTAATGTTGTATTCATTAAAGCTACATTAATGATGGTAATAATGATCATTATTGTTACCTACACAGGCCCTGCTGCAATGCTAGGCCAGGTCAGAGGGGAACTGTTTATGGGTTGCCAGAGCACAGTATGCTCCTATCTCCACCTTCACCTCTTGGTTTCCATTGTTCCATCCATCTTCTAGTCACTTTCCCTGTCCCCTTCTTTTTCTCTTCCTCAGCATCTCTTCCTCTCTTCCCTTCAGCTTATTTTCTTCCATCTATTAATTTCCTTTTCTTCTTCATTCCCTACCATCACATCTTTCCTTTTATTTATTCACTAGTCCTTCCACCCCTTCACTATCATTCCTCTTCTTTCCACCCTTCTCCATCTCTCACTTGCCGTACTTCCTTCTAGCCACATCCCTTCCCTGTTTTCACACTTTCTCACCCCCACAAACCAACAAAATATTAACTCTTCTCCCTTCCATCCCAGATAAGTAGTAGTAGTAACAATGATAATAATAGAAATGGTTATTCACTATCTTCCCCAGGGCAACCCAAAGCGACTTGCAACCATCCAGCCAAAAAGACAAAGAAACTCCCACAGAGCTATATTAAAGCAAAGAGGAAAAAGAAATACCGTATTTTTTGCTCTATAAGACGCACCAGACCACAAGAAGCACCTAGTTTTTGGAGGAGGAAAACAAGAAAAAAAATATTCTGAATCTCAGAAGCCAGAACAGCAAGAGGGATCATTGCGCAGTGAAAGCAGCAATCCCTCTTCCTGTTCGGGCTTCAGGGATAGCTGCGCAGCCTGCATTCACTCCAAAAGACGCACACACATTTCCCCTTACTTTTTAGGAGGGAAAAAATACGGTACATTAAAAACATCTCACCACTTCTAAAAATGCCATAGAGATAATTAAAGGCCAAAAGCCTTGTTATAGAGGAAGGTCTGTGTATTTGCATAGAATTGTAGGATCATTTAGTCTACCCCCTGCAATGCAGGAATCTTTTTGCCCAACGTGGGGCTCGAACCTACAACAACCCTGAGATTAAGAGACTCATGCTCTTCTGACTGAGATATGTGGATGTTATACATTTTAAATTTCTGCCTCAAAGGGAGACATTCAGCCAGTGTGCTATGGCACCTGGCGTGCCTTGAATAGTGGTCACGGGAACTGTGGATTAAACCAGCTGATTCTGAAGGTCTTTTGCTAAGCCTAGGAAGCAGGATGTCAGTGGTGTTTGTTATATGCATAGACCCATTGCTTCTTGCAGCCTGAGCGTGCAGAAAGGAAGATTCTGAATAAAATTACCCTCTCTGTTTTTCCTCCTTGCAAATAACTACTGATGCTAATTGCTCAGTTATAATGTTTACCTGTTCTGTGATGATGCTGATTTAGGAGCAGATGTAATGATGAATTCCATGAAATGTAATTAGATACTTCTGGCTTGCTCTGTTTTGCAAGCAAGTGGGCTGTTCTAATTTCCGAGCATAGATAGCACAGGTAGAGTACAGGCAGGAGTTTGCATCCTGCCTATAAAATCATTGCTCGCTCATCTTGATTGGAAATGCAGCCTATTGTAACATAATAAATTCAAATTCAGTTGTTTGTGCTTTCAGTGGTTCTTTCTACAAATCTAAATAGGGGCTATATTGAGATGACTTCAGTGTTCCATTACCAGCTTGCATCGGGAGAGCTTTTTGGGTTTTGTCATGCATCTCCTAACAGAAGTGCAATCTTTAGTAATTGGTTTACTGTAGACTTCCATGAGTAATAAATGCCTGTTAATGCAGTTTACCCATTCACTTCAATAAAATTACTCCTGCTGCAATTTTAAATAATCTGCTCTCACATTTGAAAGTATATCAGTCCTCCTGACATTACCATCTGCGGAGCAGAAAGCAAGTGGTTTCAGGCTTAGACTTTGGGTGACATTTTTAATTTCCATGCATGGATTTAGGTTTATACTGCAGGAATTCCTCTGCAGGTCATGTGGTCAGCCTCTTTGCACTGAGGCTGAATCATCCATGGCCAAACCTTATTCCCACAGATTATTCTGCCCTCCAAAAAAGATTTCCCTTGTTGCTTTCTCTATTTTAAATTTGCCTGTTCTCAGAGAAACCTCTCTATACAACAGCGTAAATATGTCTTTTTCTTTAAGATGTTTTTAATTTAGTTAAGGACTGGTGTGGAATAGTGGCTAAGAGAATGAGCTGTAATTTGCAAAGCACAAATTTGTCTTCAGGGTAACTATTCTGAGTAACCAGGGGAAGAGTCTAGACTCAACACAAACTAGACTGTGAATGTGCTACAATCAGAAACTAAGAAATGCGCCACAGGTACCATATTTTTCGCCCCATAAAATGCATTTTTTTCCTCCTAAAAGTAAGGGGAAATGTCTGTGTATCTTATGGAGCGAATGCGTGGTCCCTGGAGCCAAATTGCCCAGGGGCGAAAAGCAGATCGTGCTTTTTTCTCTTTTTTTTAGAAAGAGGGAAGGGGGTGCTGAAACGAAACCGCTGAGCAACTGATCAGCAAGCGATCGGGAGGGAGATAAGGCTGCGAGTAAAGGAGGCTGCCTGGGAGGGGGGAGGTAAAGACAGCGAATTTGCAAGGAGAGGAGACAGGAATACTAAAACAAGCAATGAGGAGAGAAATTAGAAGAAAAGGAGAAGCAAAAAACTGCTCCAGCTGAGGAAAAGACTCTCAGGCAAACAAGAGGGAAGGGGGTGTTGAAACGAAGCCGCTGGGCAGCTGATCAGGAGGGAGATAAGGGACGCTAGCAATAAAGGAGGCTGCCTGGGAGAGGGGAGGTAAAAGCACATGGATCCTCAGGATTTTTGCATTGGGTCACCCCAAATTCACCATCAGATCACATAGCATGTCCATGGCTACAGCCTGCACCAAAGAAATCACACATCCACTGTTTCGTGGGGCCACAATGGCACAAAAACATGGTTACAAAGCACAGATCCACATGGATCCTCAGGATTTTTGCAGTGTCACCCCAAATTCACCGTCAAATCACATATCATGTTTGTGGCCACAGCATGAACCACAAAAATCATACATCCACTGTTTCGTTCAGAATATTTTTTGTTTTCCTCCTCTAAAAACTAGGTGCATCTTATGGTCAGGTGCATCTTACGGGGCAAAAAATACGGTAATTTAGGCGAATGACAATGTGAAAGGCAGTATTGTTTTTTTATGAATGTAGGAATAATCTATGTCAGACTATAACTAAATATACAGAACTTCCCGATTAGTCATCCACTTTCGGCGACTGTGAAGATGTTCCGGAAGATGTCACCTGGAGACATTGGCCAGTTTATTGTGATGGTGATGAGCTTAGTGTCCCGTCCCCCCCATGTTTTATCCTCCCCCTTCCTTCTCCTGCTTCAGTGTGGCCATGAAAAGGATTTCAGAAGCTATCATTCCTGATTTGAATTAAACATAGTTAAGCATTATGCCTGAACACCAAACGCTTGTTAATCAGTAACTATAGATTGCTTGAAACAAGTCAACTTTAGAACATATGACTTAAAGTTTCCTTGTTTCAAGAAAATTATAGCAAAGATGAACTACAGTTTTCAAGGTTAGACTGCAATGTGTCATTTTGTCCAATAAAAAACAGAAGCGGAAGCTTCCTAATTTATTGTGACTGCACCGGGGGAGGACTGAGTGTATGTTTGAGAATCAGACAGGAGGACAGGCTCTTTTCCATCTCCATATACCGTAGTGCACCATAATGTCTGAGGACAGCCATTGGGCTGATTCCAAGAATCCATATGAAAAGAAAGAAACTAGCCACTTGCTCTGTTCCACAAATGCTTGTGCAGGAGTTTTAAGAGCACTGCAATAGATTGACTCCCATGCTTCTGTTTGTGCAAGCTGTATTTTTCTTGCACGGCAGTCTAGTACAAGGATTTAAAACAGACTTTCCTTTGCAGGAGGCACTTTTGGATTCACCATTAAAGTGTTGAGCCTCAGGAGAGGAACATTTTAGATTCAGTAGAGTTCTCAGTTTCTGGGTTTAGGAGAGACTCAAGGAGGAGAGTTATTAAGCAGCATGTTTATTTCAGTTTAGATTAAAGCACAACTAAATGGGTTAATGTACCAACAGAGTCTGGAGTGAAATAAATTTGACCCACTGAGATAAGCAGTTAAGATCAGAAAGTAAAACTGTGGTACGGTTACCAAATCAAGTGATTACTATGGTGCTTTGCTTTCTCCGGAATAGGAAATGTTATTTAAATAGTCATGGGGATATGCTTCTCACTTTAACCACTTAAACCATGATCCAGAATCCAGCATGCTCAGTCCTCAGTGCATATTTCTGCAGATGGATGTGCAATAATACATTGCAGCTTGGTGTAAGGTAGTTTCATACACCCCTAAAGTAAACCTCTAAAGTTATCATCTTGCAGTATAACTGACCCACGCTTGATGGCCTGTGTGTGGTCAGATGGCAGTGATATCATGTTTACAAGAACGATAAGAATAAACTTAGAAACTGCAAGGATAATAGTAAATATACACATTTGCCATAAATATAAACTCACCATGTCTGCCATACACAAGTCGGTGATGTTTTGCTGTCTGCCATATCACACAAATATTTCTTGTTGCACTCTTAGTCTGACCCTTAAGCTTGTTTTTCCCCCCTATTGCCATGGAATATTGGCAATAGCTGTAATCCCATACATTTTCAGAGCATTAAGGTTGATGCTAGGGTTTCTGCATGCAGATTTGGTGATACATTTATATCACTTATTGGGGTATATATGAATGGTTTGTTATCAGCACAGAAAGACTGGTTTGAAATCTCAGGCAGAAGCAGTCCCTGGTGGTAGAGAAGCTATGGAGCAAAAAGGCAGAAAGTTGGCAAAGCAGACAGTGAAGTGAATTAACAAATACCTAAAGGCAAGGTAGGATGATGCCTGAGGGGAAAACTGAAGAAGTTAGTGGTGTGTGCGTGTAAAATTGTACCAGACGTAAGTAGAGGAGCCTGGGTGCTTGGAGGAAGATGAAGTGACAAGAGTTTTGAGCAAGCTTAGGAGCCAGGGTGCCAAACGGAAGTGAGACGGATTAGGCCGAAGGCTTGGAAGCTAGAAGAAGAAGAAGTTTGGATTTGATATCCCACTTTATCACTACCCAAAGGAGTCTCAAAATGGCTAACATTCTCCTTTCCCTTCCTCCCCCACAACAAACACTCTGTGAGGTGAGTGGGGCTGAGAGACTGCAAAGAAGTGTGACTAGCCCCAGATTACAAATCTACTTCTCTTAACCACTACACCACAGAAGCATGGAGTTTAAGAAATGAGCTGGTCTAGGATAAAGCCTTACATAGGTTTTGGAGACCTAAGAGGCTGTGAGAAGATGGTAGGAAGTAAGTCACATGGAAGATGGAGCAAGCTTGTTTACTTCTGCTCGAGAGGCTTGGACTTGAGCCACTGGATTCAAATAGCAAGAAAGGAGATTCTGAGTAAACCTTAGGAGGAACTCTCCAATGGTAAGAGCTGCTTGACAATGGAATGGACTGCCTCAGAAGGTGGTGGCCTCTCCTTCATTGGAAGTTGTCAAACTGAGGTTGAATGGCCATCTGTCAGGGGCCACATGTGATTCTTGCATTGCAGGGCATTGGACTAAACGACCCTCGGGGTCCCTTCCAGCTCTACAGTTGTATGATTCTGTGATTCTGTGTTCTTAAAGTCAGGAATCTCCCCAGGGTCATATGAGGGAAATATGGCAAAGTTGAAATCCCCCATGACTGAGGAAACACCGGCCCACTCTCCCACCTCCTGATGAGTGGCAGTGCTTTGAAGAAGCCAGGAGAGCAACACAGCCATTTTTTCAGCCGGCCACTACTGCCATCAAGTATGCCTTCCCTGACATTGTAGCTCAAAAACTGGGGAAATCCATCATGAGCTGTTCCTCAGGTGGAACTGTTGGTGCTACAGGGACCCTTTCAGCATCTGAAAGGCTAAAGGGGCAGCAAGCTCTGAGAGACTACACATGCTACCTGTATTGGAGCAGGAAACTGTATTTCACCAACTCATTGTATGTAATCAGAAAGAGTTGGAAG